TGAGCGCGCGCCACGCAAGGGGTTGTCGCGGAGACTAGGCGCGACGGCCCGAGGCTCAGCGATCGGCGCCAAGTCGAGCATAGCGTAAGACTGAGGACGTAGGAGGAGAGGGAGAGAGAGGGAATATACAAGGCAGAGGGCGGGCAACGGTGCGGACAGAGGGGTCTCGCACGGTACGACACCGACGTACCAGGGAACCGAACCAAGGGTCAAAAGGGCCAGGGCGGCACGGAGGCACAAACCTACCAGCAAGACGTAGCGGCACGCAGGCACAGGCTAGTCCCCAATGACGTAAGTATATTGACAAGTACGAAGATACAGCTAGTAACTCACCTAGTCCCCAATGACGTAAGAGGTCGAGATGGGGACTAGGGGCTAAAGGGCTCTACTCTATATACCTGTAGACCGGTGCACAGACCATGTAGCTATTTGTACGTGTTTGGCACGACCAGAGGCTTGAGGGCTTAAGTACTAGGCACAAGTCAGAGGGGTGTATGTCGTACTAACTACTGTGGGGTGATCCTTATCTAATCTAACGATCATGAGGCCATGAGGGAGGGAGTGTGGTGGCAGTGCATTGCCGGGGGTATGTAGACACTTAGACAGAGCGCCAGGAACCTGGATGCCGACGTGAGGCTGCACGTGGCGAACATCGTGGTGCTGCTGGAAAAGGGCGCTGTATGGAGCGCTGGTGGGCTTGGAGGGGGGGAACGGCGGGTTCCGAGGTGTTGTTGGCGCTGAGAGGTGAGAGTCCCGGTCCGTACGGTTGGAGAAAGGCAGGCAGAGGGTGTCATGGGCGCTATGCGGAGCGCGGCCGTGACAGGGTTCATGGTCAGTGGCTCGAGCAACTGCATGCACATCGCACACTGAGGGCAGCCTCCCCCTTTCTCGGATTGCCCCAAATGGAGGTCGATATGTCACACAGGTCACCGAGCGGGGAGTCAGGGGGGTAAAGCCACCAGACGTTCGAGTGTCCGGATGCCCCCGATTTTTCGCATCCGCTTCACACTCCGAACGTCTGGTCACGAGACTAGACTCAGGGGAACGCAGAAGTCCACTCGGATAGCACTGCTGAGACCGAAACTTGGGCGCGAGGGTTAGTGACACATCAAGACGCATGTTCGCAGGAATTGCTCGGTATGTGATTTCCGGGAATGGTCAAACAAAGATACTGACCTTCCATGGCAGATCGACTCAGAGGCAGGGGTTACCTGAAGAGTGAAGAAAGCGCGTAGGCCACTGTGAAGTCGAGAATCTATATGTATATAGATCCTTGGCCCAGCTGGCACAAGTCTAACTCCATATGGAGGCGTATTAAGGGCGTTTGGACGACGTGGATGATACCGACCGCATGATCTGAATCATAGAATTGTGAGAGTATGATGAAGTGATCTGTACACGAGAGATAACAAAATATATAGCCATGATTTGCGCTCAATGGTACATGACATTATACCGTATGGACGGCCTCGTACATCTTCAATCAGAAACACGAAGGAGCAGCGGCAGCATAAGACACCGACGAAAGAGCAAAGGGTGCCGAGCGACACAAGTCCCAGAGAAGAATGCACCACCTGGGTAGCTTGGTAACGATGGACTCGAGCCCCGATGCGAGGAAGCTCGAGGGATCCAAGATGGCAGTACAAGGAGAGCACGAGAAATGAGTAGACATCGGCTCGATTTCCTACAAGCCATCGTTCAGAGCTCTCGTACACATGCTCATACAGCGCACGCACGCCAAGCTGCACCTTCTGCAGGCAACTAATGTATATGCTTGAGTACAGCAGATAGAAGGAAGACGATAGGCATTGGGCGTCTGAGATGATAGGACGGAAACGTGACGGATTACAGAGGCACAACGTGGATGCGAGGGTGGATACGTTACGATGACGGGACGGAGCATGGCAACGCACGTCAGGTGTCCAGATCAGCGGTCGACGGACGGAAAGAGTGGTGGAGGAGCGGAGAGGACAGCGGCGGCGGCGTGACGGCGCATAGCGATCATGCGCGCTGAGGTTGATTGCATGAGTACACGACTCGGAGCGTGTGGCAGTGAGAGCCACTAAGCAAGGTTGGCTGTCGAGGGTGTTTCATGCCGAGTCCTCGACTATGGCGGTGGTTTCATCCTTCGTCTCAACGGACTCAGCTCCTTCCTCCTCGGGCTGGGGTGCTTCCGCGAGCGGGCTTTCCTTCGTAGGAGCGGCCGCGTTTGAGACCGAATTGGTAGGCGAGACCGAGAGCGACTGATGCACGGGGGGCGAGGTGGCGTGGGGGATGCTGGAAGGAAGGCAATGCAAACACAGTCAGCATGTCTCTCCATTCCGTATGAAATTGACCTATTAGCGCAGCTGCGCATGTAGCGCACCGCAGATACAGCGCAAGACGCGATGGAGGAAAGGGGAGTAGCAGATGACAGCAGGAGAGAAGAGAGGTTAGACGGAGATCACCATACTCACTTCTCGGGGTTGGGGATGGCGGTACCGACGGTGTTCTGGGGTGCCTTGCCAGCCTTGCTCAGCGCGTAGTCTCCAGAGTCAAAGTACTTCCGATCCTAGATAGCGCACCAATCAGACCTTCATGGAGAGAGCGTATAGATGCAAGGGTCTGTCTGCTCAAGGATCGACATCTACCTTCTGCATCTTCGTCAAAACATTCTTGTGGGTCGGGAGTTTGCCGTAGAGGCGGAAGAGCTTCTGCTCTTCCTCCGTAAGTTTCTGTGAAAGCCACCGAGTTAGTCAAACATCTACACAGAGCATTGCTGTAACAATCCCTGATCGTTCTACGCGGCAGCGGGGAACAGATCGCAAAAGGAGCGCATGAAGCGAATACATACGCTGATGTCGACCTTGTTGCGCTTAGCAGGTAACATGGCGGCAGAGGGTGGTGGGGAGAGGCGGCTGGCGATGGAGGTGGTGTCGAGAGAACGTGAGGAGAAGACGCAGGGAGGAGAGCGGAGCTCCGGGGAGCGGAAGAGGAGGAATCGGTGCAGAAGCCTTGTGGACGGTGTCAGAGAGTGATCAGCAGGATGAGGTACAGTTTATGGGTGGACGTCGTGAGCGAAGCGTTCCGCAGGCGCCCACATCTCGGCCGTAGCCACCGCAGGCGATTGGGCGGAGACTGGCGGAATTTGGATTTTGCTCCCTCCGTGTGACGTAACATCGACCCGATCTAGATTCCACTTCTACTGGGCACCCAGCCCGCCCTCTCGGAATTCTGCCATCCGGCGATTGCAGACCGTAGTGAATGCGCACGCATAGGAGGCGTATCTGTTCATCTATTCCAATCCTCCAACGACACGGCACTGCCGGAATGCGCGACTTCAGGCAAAGACTAGTGTAACCATATGTCCGACGTTAATACGCCCGGCGTACACGCTGCACCCTGAAACCTTCAACAGCTGACAAAGCCCAGGCCAAAGCATTCGGGAACGGCAGACTTCGCCTGGCCTTCAAAACGATGTAGCTTTTGGGGATTGTAAGTATCCGGAATACGTCCATAAACCCCCCCCCCCCTTTCACCAAAGCCTGCATCCTTCACGCGCATACCCAACACCACCAGTCAGGCTCTTATCGCCATCGCATGTACCGCGTTCACCATCGCTCGCAATGAGGCTGCCCTCGTTCCTCCCACATGCTCCTCCCCCCTCGTGTACGTCACTTTGAACGTCTCCACGCTGCCCATCGATTGCCCATTGCGCGCCTGCTACACAGTTCTGGCTGGTGAACAAGCGCGCATGCCTCCAGGATGATTCTTCTGAGCGTAGTTCTGGAACGCCGTATAATTCAGGAGAAGGCGCGCTTGAGCGGGGAAGACGGACGGTCTCCATCAGATGATCTCGACACAAGACAAGTCGGGTCCCGTGCCAGTGGTGTCCTGAGAGCGTGCCACAGGGTAAGTCCCGGAGCTGCCAGCTTCTTGAGGTTCGAGATCGTCGTCCAAGAGCATATGGAAGTGAGATGTCGTGTCGCCTGGAGCCTCATGGAAGGGAGGACCAAAACCCTGAGTTTGAATCTGAGAGGGCAGGTAACTGGGAGTCGAGCAGCTAGATGTAGAAAGACGCGGCAAGGAACGCAGATTGTGCGCTAAATCCAAGTCACAGAACACAGTTACTGCCTCCGAAAGCCGGGAAGCCGCGCGCTGAGATAAGAAGACCTGATCGTTCAGGTTATTGCTGATTTGATCTGTGGAATGTGCGAGATCTTCCAGCCATTCATCATCTTCGACGTTCAGCATCGCATCCGACAGTGATTTGGAGATCACGACGCGCGGGTAGGGATCGGAGAAAGCTGAGTCCTGTCCTGTCGTATAGGATGCCCGAGACGAATCAAAGGCCGGGGGGTCCTCCCAGTCTAGCATCGGATCCTGGAGAAAACGTGTCATCGATAATCGTGAATCAGTAACGCACGCAGGGACAGACAACGAGGACAAACGTCGAGCGTCGTAGATTGTGAGCTGTCCCAAAAGTCATCAGAACTTTCCAGCGGAGCATAGGCAAGGGACTCCGCTTCGTCGGAGACCCAGATATCGATGTCATTGACCAGACTGGCATCGTCGTGGGTGAAAGGGTCACCGCCTTCCTGACTTCCACCGAGTGTCTCCGCATCTTCGTCAAGCCAGAGGTCGGGTTTGGCTAGAGGATACAGTCTAATATCGGAGGACTGATCGTTCTCGAGGACTTCATCACTTCGAGGCAAATCTGGACAATCTGACAGTGCGAAGTCGTCTTTGTCGGCGGTCCTTCCATAACCTTTATCGGGGAAGATGCTACACAAATCCTGCACAGGGTCGGGATTCAACACAGCTGTTGTCTCGAATCCACTCACCCTACGCCGCGACGACCTTGGCATCGCCTTGTATATACGTTCAAGCGCCCGAGAGAGGGTATCGGCATAGTCTAGATTGTAAAAATCGCCTTTTGGTTCGGCTAATACGCATTTGGTTTGTACCGGGTCTTCGTCTGCCGTGTTGCCTAGGACCGCTTGTAGTAAGTGCTCCAGCGCAACGTTGGCATCCACATCGGTGCTATTCAGCGCCTGGGGAATCGAGGAATTGAGATTATGTGCGCGGGAGGGATACAGATTGGATGTCAAGCCCCACCTGTATAATCCGGCGACTTCTCTTCCGGAATGCGGTGTGTGGAGAACGGCGTATGATGTCCACGACCGCGAGAGAAAGCTTTGAGACAGTTGCGATTTCCCCGTCGAACCGCTGTAACGACACGTAGCGTGTTAGCTGTCCGACCACTGTTGTCCTGTGTGCGGACTCAGTATATGCGCCATGCAAACCTTGCGCCATGGTCCAAATATCAATGGGTATCGCCTGCACATACGGTAAACAGTGTACATGCCTCCGTCAGTTCGCCAAGTGCTGGGTGAGCTCAGTCACGACGAGAGCACGTACCGTATGGAGTGGAGAACAAATTGCTCCAGAAGACGGTCTAACACAGAAACAACTGGGAGAAGTATACTCGGTGCAAAGGGGTCCGCGATTCCGGAGTTGTCTGTGATGTGAACGTGGACGTGGTGCGGGATAGGCAGCATCAGCATACAACGAGGTATCCCAAGCACAACTTATGCGTTCGGACCTGGTATATCGGGCGTCCGAGGAGGCGTTGTGCAGACATAGAGGAGGTCAACTGCGGACAAACGGATGTAGGGTGACCGCCTCTCCAGGAAGGACCGTGTTGGACTCAACGTCACTGATTACGATTAAGCGAATGAGTAAAAATGGCCTAGATGCAACGGAGATCGTCCGGTCGCGCTAGCGCAGCGCATCGCCCAGCGCGCATACAGGTTTTCCGGGCCAAAGGCAGTGCACGCCACGCGAACAATGAATGGGATGATAGCAGAGTATGCACCACCGGCTGTTCGAGAATAGTACGCACATTTCGCAGTACCATCTTCCTCTTCTAAAAATACTTTGGATGAGGCTCTAACCCCTAGACTGTCGCCAACCTGTAACACATGAGAGGCCAGAAGAGTATGAAACGCGCGTCAGCGTTTGCGCGAAGAGGAGATGCGGTCAAATAAGCCAGAGGCAGTGAGACGAACCGCATGAAAGTATTCCAACAGATGCTGGGCGATCGCGGAACTTTGCATGGAGCGACCGCCGTGTACCGTGCGGTTGAAAGTCCCCGAGAGGGAGAGGACCAGGTCGGACTGCAGGATCACATCCACGTCACGGGGAACCCCATTCTTGACGGTGAACACGACAGACGAGGGTTCGCCTATGATGAATTCATAACGGACGTGGAGGTCGATGTCGAGCGCGTCCGTGTGGTCGCGGAGGACGGTGGATGTGGTAAAGGAAGGCATAAGGAGGACTCGGTCGTACGGACTTAGATGGATCAGAAGTCGAGTGTAAGGAGAGTAAATAAGGAAACGATAAGCATCTTATCATCGCGGCAGTGGCGATGAGACAAGCAGATGCACACAGTCACTGCCCTCGGCGGAACAGTCAGGCTCTCTCAGCTGCCCTCAGCTTATATCCACTCCTCGTCTTCCTCCTCCAGCTCGCCCGAAGACATCTCCCGCTCGCGCGGGTCTCCAAACCACACGACCGCCATGGTGAGCACTTAGTTTTGCTGCGTTTTATCTCGCATCTCCTCCCATTGTACCTGATACCATCTACCCTAATTGCCGCAGGCGCACGAGCTAGACCAGAAGATCCAGGATGTCTATAAGCGCATCGAGACGGAGCGCAAGGTTCTCGAGGCCTCCCGCCTCATGCGCCAGGCCACCAACAACCCCGATGTCCTCCGCAGGAACGACGCTCAGATCCGCGAAGCCGAGCGCTCCCTCTCCTACTTCGAGGACACCCTCCGCGAGCTACACGCCCGCAAGATGGCTCAGCAGCAGGGCCGCGACGATCACATTCGATCCGGGAGCTCTGGCTCTGCAGGAGGCTCAATCCCCGGGTCGCCCCACATGGGGCGCCCGCCCGACGGCCGCTTCCCCGGAACGTCTTCCGCTTCCGAGTACGCTGCGCGCACTGGCCGTTCTCCTGAGATGGGCTCTGTAGGAGGCTTGCCTACGGACGATCCTTATGGAACCTCGAAGCCCAAGACGTACACTAATCTCGACCTGATCAAGGCCGACACCCCACATACGACCGCCAAAATTTCGCGCATGCTTCACCATCTCGAGTACAAGCTTCAGGTCGAGATGCAGTACAAGAAGGGTATTGACAAGATGGCGAAGTTGTATCAGGCGGACGGAGATAAGAAGTCAAGGGCGGATGCGGAGAGCAAGCGCGTGGAGAGTGATCGTAAGATTCAGCTTCTCCAAACTGCTCTCAAGCGGTACAAAACGCTGCACATTCTCGACGATGTCGAGGAGGATGACGAAGGAGGTACGCGATCTTCCCGTTTGTCCATGATCTCGCCTAAAGTATGCAACCACGGCAGCCCCGGGTCCCGTCGGTCCCGGTGTCGACGGCGAACGCAAGGACAACCTTCGTTCGAAACCTCTCTCCGGAAAGCTCCAAATCACTCTTAAGGGTGCTCGCGAGTTGGACCATGCCCCTGTTGTATCAACATTCCGCTCTCGTTCGGCCTCTAAGCAAATGGAGACGTACGTATCGTTCCGCGTCGAAGGGACACAGCGCGCCCGCTCGCATCCCACCAAGACCGACCGCTGGATGGACAACTTCGAGATCACTATCGATAAGGCGAACGAAGTCGAGATCGCGGTGTATGACAAGCTGCCGAACGAGCAACATCCAACGCTCATCGGTCTGCTGTGGATCAAAATCAGCGACCTTGTGGAGGCACAGAGAAGACAGAAGGTCATGATGGAAAGCGGGCAAGGTGGCTGGGTCACTGCAGGTGCCATGAACGGCGATGCCCTTGGCTTTTCGGGACAGGCGGGGAGCGTTGGCGACATGAACGCTCCTATCTCCTTCGACGATGGAAGGGTCGTTCCCCCAGGCGCCCCTGGTGGTCTTGGCCCTGGAGCAGGTCAGCCTGAAGGTATTGACGCATGGTTCTCTGTGGAACCTGCCGGTGCCCTTGCGATGCGACTAAATTTCAGTAAGTTGACGCGCACTTGTCACATACGGTAACATACTAAACGACGCCATAGTCAAGGAGAACGTCCGGAAGCGGCCACTCGATGCGCCTGGCGGTCTCGGACGTCAGGGTGCCGTTCGCAAACGCAAAGACGAGGTTCACGAGATGAACGGTCACAAGTTCGTCCAGCGGCAGTTCTACCAAATCATTCTATGCGCCTTCTGCAACGAGTTCCTACTCAATGCGGCTGGATACCAATGCGAGGACTGTCGATACACATGTCACAAGAAGTGCTACGAGAAGGTAGTCACGAAGTGTATATCGAAGTCCAATACAGGCGTAAGTGGCCGGTTCCGATGTCGATATATATGCATATCCTCACGAGTTACTAATATATAGGAAGACGACGCGGAAAAGATCAACCACCGCATCCCTCACCGGTTCGAGCCCATCAACAACATCGGTGCGAACTGGTGTTGCCATTGCGGCTACATGCTGCCCCTTGGCCGCAAGAACGCGCGGCGTTGCACCGAATGCGACATTACCTGCCATGCGAATTGCGCGCACCTCGTTCCCGACTTCTGCGGCATGTCCATGGAGACTGCCAACGCCCTCCTCCGCGAAGCCCGCGAGGTCTCCCGCCGTAAAGAGGAACAGAAACGTCGCCAGACCCAAGGCGTACCGGGCCCCACACGTGTCTCGCCCCAGTCGTCCTACCCTCCTCCGTCCGGACCACAGCCGCCATACAGTTTGGAAGTCCCTCAGCCGCCTGTCGAGCAGATGGGGGGGATGCAGATTGGTGACGTCCCTCAACAGCCCTCCCCACCGGACTACGGATACCAGAGAGGTCAAAGTCCCGTTGTGCCTTCAGCGGATCAGCGTCTGCCACCACAGGCAATGTCCCCGTACCCGCCATCCCCTGTCGTTGGGCCTGGTGGTCGACCGACTGGCCGCTCGCCCATGGCCCCACCCTTCCCTACGGAGCCGCACGCCCAGCGACCAGCACCAGGGTATGAGATCCCGCCAATGGTGCCAGAGGGCTACCAGGTGAGTTGACAATCTGTGTATTCCGATGTCGCAAGCGCTACTAAATCGACTTATGTGCGTCTTAGGGTGCACCTCCGCCGCCACAGAAGCAAATCTCACCCTCGATGAGCCCTGCTGTAGGCGTGCCGCCTCGGATGGCACCCGGCGATAGGCAGCCTTCGTTGTCCTCCATCCAACAGCCACAGCAGCAACCGCCAAGGCAACAACAGCCACCGGTGCGGAGGAGGAAGGTCGGCCTCGACGACTTTAACTTCCTTGCGGTGTTGGGTAAGGGTAACTTCGGTAAGGTCATGTTGGCGGAGGAGAAGAAGACGAAAAGTCTGTACGCTATCAAAGTGTTGAAGAAGGAGTTCATCATCGACAACGATGAAGTCGAGAGGTGCGTTGTCGGTTCCGCTCCGCTCCCTCGACAGTCCCGACCGGAGAACCTACATCTTCATCCTAACTGCGCATCCGCAACCCCCTTTCTGCAACGCTGACGGTGCTTGCTTTGTTTAGTACGCGCTCAGAAAAGCGAGTGTTCTTGGCGGCTGCTCGTGAACGGCATCCATTCCTATTGGGGCTGCACTCATGTTTCCAGACGGAAACGCGTGTCTACTTCGTCATGGAGTACGTTAGCGGCGGTGATCTCATGTTGCACATCCAGCGCAAGCAATTCTCGCTCCGGCAAGCGAAATTTTACGCCTCTGAGGTGTTGCTCGCGCTCGAGTACTTCCACGCGAACGGCATCATCTATCGGTATGTCTAAGACAGGAGGTATTTTACATAATCGTCGTACTCATGTAACACCCTCTAGGGATCTGAAGCTCGACAACATCCTTTTGACGCTGGACGGCCATGTCAAGGTTGCCGATTACGGTCTTTGCAAAGAGGAAATGTGGTACGGCTCGACGACCAGCACGTTCTGTGGCACTCCAGAGTTCATGGCTCCTGAGGTACGTCTCTTTCGTCGGTTTACCCGTAACAGATGCCGATGTCTCATCGCCGAGCAGATTTTGTTGGAGCAACGCTACGGCCGTGCAGTCGATTGGTGGGCGTTCGGCGTCTTGATGTATGAGATGTTGCTCGGGCAGTCTCCCTTTCGCGGCGATGACGAAGATGAAATCTTCGATGCCATCCTTGAAGATGAGCCGCTTTATCCCATCACAATGCCTCGCGATGCCGTCTCGGTCTTACAGAAGGTAAGCTCCCTTTGTTGGTTTGGGCCTGACGGATATGCTAAGGTTATGTTCTTTACAGTTGTTGACGCGCGATCCCTCGCGCCGCCTTGGCTCCGGAAAGGCTGACGCTGAGGAGATCAAGAGACATCCCTTCTTCAAGGACGTCAACTTCGATGACGTGCTGCACAAGCGCATTCCTCCGCCATACTTCCCTACGATCGTACGTCTATCTCACAGCATCGATGGTATCAGTACTTACACGCTCCCTTTCACAGAATGGAACCGCAGATACCAGCAACTTCGACGAAGAGTTCACACGAGAACAACCCACGCTGACACCTGTGCATACCCAACTGTCCTCACGCGACCAGGCCGAGTTCAACGGTTTCTCTTGGGTGGCGAGCTGGGCCGACATCTGAGCGACACTGGTTTACATGGCCTTTTCACGATACTTATTACGTTCCACCTGTTACGTCGAATTGTGTATGCACTGTCGTCTGTCGTAGTCCTTCCTCGCTGTACTTGGATACCTGTCGTCTTGTTGATGACGCCCGCAAACGCCAATCGCCGCCCAGAGAAGTTCCCCTCATGTATCCAACGTCTCCCTCGCCAATGCCTCATTACGCTGTATATAGGTACTACTCCTAGGTATATGGCATATACCTCCCTCGCCGCCAAATGTCGTGTGCCGAGTACGCCAGATCCAATCATGAATTCTCCTCTTGAACTGCTCCAAGGCCACCCGACTTCGACGCCGTCAAGATGTGTCCTCCTGTACCGGGAAGGCCATGCGGTTGTTGCTCTGTCTCTGCGGAGACGTCGCCGTCGTCACTGTGGCCACGCATGAGCTCATGAAAGCTCTGCCACAGAGCGGCAATAGTTTCGTATTCTCGTGTCATCCCGAGGACCTCCTCAAGCTTCCGGTTGAGGTTGTTGCTGGATGAGAGCAGCTCCTCGAAACCCTGCGCGTACGGTATGAGCCACGACGCGAACCACGATCATAATGAACACAACTCACGCTGGAGATTTCGGCTGTTAGCCTGTCGCGCTCTTTTTCAAAGAACGATGTATTTTCCTCCATGATAGTGTGCGGGCGCGGGTGCTCTAGATTAGCCCGACAGTTGTGATGGCGGGTTGCATCTGGAGCCCCATCCGAATCGGGGTTGTTCAGCCGCGCAGCCGTGGCGTGAGAACGCGAAGGTGAGCCACAGAGCGCACGCGGATGGATATTCCGAAGCGCGAACTTCACCCTTCATGGATGGAGGTGGAACCTCACAGTATCTTACAGCACTACGAAGAGTGTACGTACAAGTTGTACGAGGACAGCATCGCGACGCGCACTGCGCAAGGCATTTCGTGTCAATACCCTATTATTGTCGCTGCCAACTCATACATAGGGAATCAAGTTCAATCATCAACAGCCTCATATGCCCTTCAACAAGTGCTATAGACTCGGGAATATCCCGCACCGGCTCGATCTTATCCTCAAAATTGAATAGTCGTACACGTGCGGAAAATTTTCCACTGTCATCCAACTCGTCGTTGCCTATCTGACCACTGTTTCCAGTCCAGGCATGCTCTTCAGTCATTCGTTCATCAGATGCTCATGTATCATGACCCGATTCGCCAAGATTCCCCGCTTCGGGAAGCCATACGTCTCACTTAGAATTCGAAGGACGTGATCAATGAGACATCTCGACTCAAGGTCCACCTGACTCAACCCGTGCCGGAGTGCCTGCTTACTTTCATATCGTTGTCTTTGCGTGAGCATGACACGTTAGGCTCATTTGAGTGATCGTATCTCCGGACACAATGTAAGCCTGTTCCTAGCACAAGACCCTACCCCGATGGGAACCCGCTCAAGATCTGTTCAGGGTGAGTTCAGTTTCGTGGTCAGCGGAAGTCCTTCGACTCACGCGTGCCCTTGGAGATCCTCGGCCCCAGCAGTCTAGTCATAGCGTTTCGGCCCGAACACGATCGATACTGTCGCACATGGATGGGATATCTCTTCCATTGAGTTCGTGGCCACGCGTTTGGCCTGGTGCCTCCATGTCGTCTCATACCGTTTTCGCCGATGCCTTTCCTTCTCAAACCTTACTGTAGACGATCATTGGTGGGGAGTTTGAATAATTGATCGCGAGGCCGTACGTCAGTCGGACTAGCAGCGTGGCCTTGATATCGAGAGACATGATTGTGGTTTGACGTTGGACACTGGACCACCATGTGCTAGACTTCCTCTTCATATCGTATAATCTGCGTTCCTGTGGTGGAAGTGCGATCTATATCGCGCACGGAAATTGACCCTTCTAGCTGATCTCTTTTCAAGGTGATGAACCCTGACTAACTTCGACGATGATCCTCTAGGCTACGCATCCTTCTTCCGGACTATATCAGCACTGGAAGATGCTCAGGGTGTGTGCCCTTCATCCTGGTCTTGGTCCACTGCCTCGCCATGCAGACCTCCATCTCGGATACTCTCGAAGCCAGGCTCGCCATCGACTTTCTGAATGCTCAGCTATCCGTGAACTACGATGCCGCCTTGCAGCGTTATGCGTTATACCAGGATGCGGTCTCCACGGAAGATAGGAGTGCGTCTTGTACTTCCTATATCGTGTGTCGACAGCTGACTGAGATGCGGGACAGGGAATTCATACGCTTGGGCGAGGTTCAACTCAAGACAGAAGGGTCGCAACGCCGCAACGCTGGAATTCGCGTTCAGAAAGCCACGACTTTCATTTGTGTGCGACCACGATGGACTGTTAACGCTTGAGATCGAGCACGCCACACTCGTGACCCACGAGAGAGACGGGGCCATTAGCAGGTAAATGAGTTTCGGCCCTTTAGCGCAAACGTGATGCTTACCGATCGCAGGACCCCGCTGACCCACTGGCATGACACCACGAGAACCTTCCGTATCACATCTGAGCGACGAACAATCGTTGGCAACGATGCTAAAGTGGGCGACCGCGAGAGTCGAATTCACATGCTGGTCTTCGACCTTGAGCGTACGTTGTGATGTTCTACTTATGGACCGCATGTAATTCATACGCTGCGATTGTAGATGCCAAACCAGTTCCTCACATCAACCACCGCGACATGCACCTCGAGGAGCAAGCGAAGGAGTACGCCGAACTCGACAAGCATCTACTCGGGTACCTCAAGGCGCTTCAGTCAGCTGGACACCATGTTCTGTTCCTCGCTCCGGAGTTCGACGAGGACGAGTTCCGCTCCCCGACTCGTTTCTCGTTGACCTCCGAGAACCCTCCCGAGCTTCACGATATCGCTGGCTTCACTGCACCTATGATCAACCGCTACCTGTCTCTTCTCTGGTATACGTCTGCTTTCGTAGCTCAGCAGCGGAAGGGATTTGGTCAGGCGATGTGGGACCAGACTACGTGTTTGGCGGGCTACCATTCTTGGCTCTCCCCTGGGCATGAAGCGGAGTGGCACTCATCGTTCATCATCAGCCAGCCTCCACGAGCCACAGTCCTGTGCGGGCGTGAGGTGATCCTGTACTTCACCCTATCACAGATCTCCTTCTACTACTCGGCGGATTATACGGAGGGTATCGTCGTCAGGTGGTCAATTTCCCCTCTCTTGATATGTCATCAAGCTTACGCCGACTATTGCAGATCTGAGGCAGACTACGGCGACGAAGACTGGACGATCGCTCTCGTGGTCGATGTGACGGCGTCTAGTACGGGGATGACTATCCGTGCAGATAGTAAGTCTGCTGAGCCAATGAGCTATTCATGTATGTTGATATATCGTATCGACCCAGCGGCGCGCTATGCCTCCCGTTTCTCTAACTATTCTGACGTTTCGGAGGAACATATAGCTGCCCGCGACATGCTTATCACGTTCTTCGTCGAGCAATACTTCAAGCTCGTGGCAGGAACACGCCTTCAGCATCTGATCCGGAGCGTACGGAATGAGGTCATCGTTACAAGATCGACTGTTGACTCGGATGGTAGCTGGTGGATGCTAGAACGCGATTCGAAGTTTGGATCAACCGCCCTCGACAGCACGATCAGACACACCAAGATGCACGGTTTCGATGTCGTCGTTGCCATCTCGCAGACCTCCATCAACGCCCAACTTCGTACTCGGCTCTCAAGGATCCAGGAGTTGTTGAGGTGGGAACGCAGCGACTGTCTCATAGAAATCAAGTCGGTCTCCGTCCGACTGGTCTACTTGGATGAGCCTCTCCTCACGGAATCAGAACGCTCCCGCGCGATCGTTACGGTCCACGTATCAGAAGGCTCTCTCATGTCACTTGTGAACAACCGCCTGGAGCTGATGCCTCAGTATGTCGCGCCATACCGCATATTTCGCTCGCCATCCTGATACCTGCTCTAGAGACCAACCGTACCGCTTCGGAGAGTGTCGCCTCGCCTTCGAGGTGAATCTTAGGAGCCGGGAGCATTCGCAGCTGCACAATCCAAACTACTCGCCAAAGCCGTATTCGTATCCCCTTTACGAGCCAACAGACTACGCGCTTCACCACATCTATCTGAACCTTGAGCGTATGTTTTGGCTTCACGCTGGGAATCGCGCCTCTGATCTTCATCCCCTCGCCCGTTTACAGATGCGCAGCACTCGCCAGAGTATTCTACCTTCGACGAGTCCTGGGATCTGGATGGCTTCATTGATCACCGCGTTCAGATGACTGTCGTCGATCGCATACTCAAGGAGTATCTGCCGGAGCTCATGTCCCACGGGGCACACGTCATCGCGAGCGTCCCTATTTACAACCACGAAGCCGCCCCTGCATTCTACCGTCTCACAAGCATGGCCTTCCGAACGTACTCAGACGCAAATGTCGCCATTCGTGACGAGGCAGAGGCATCCTCGTCGCGCCCCGAGCAGATCTTATTCGTGCTCGGTATGACTGCGAGCGGTGTCTTGCCCAACATCAAAACGTTCAAGCCCTCCGCGCGATGGGTCGTCCATGCCAGTGCCGGGTTCTCGCACGGCACATTCGCGATCTCGCGCAGTACTTTCCACCTTCGTCTACATTCTCTCCTCGCGCGCGTCAACGCGCTCACTACTCTGGTGCCCGTCTCACCGTCGTACGATGGCATGGGAGGCGGGCGCGACATCGTGCAGCAATGGGCGAAGCACAAGGACTTCTCGAGCCAATCATGCGATTGGAAGGCGGTTGACTCGGACGACAACCTCACCGCGGACAAGTTCGAGTGGCAGTACACGAGGGAGTGGAATATGTCGGAAGAAGGCACGAGGCTTGCCGTGAAAGGCAACTACTTCGTCTCCTGTGGGTCTGGTTCTCGTTCCATTCCCTAATACTGTCACTGACCGCCAAACCAATACAGGCACTACTCACAATGAGCTTGAGCTGCCCGACGTCACGATGCTTTCCAGTGGATCGCTAGAAGTGAGGATGTCGGGAACGATCAAGCTACGCATCGCGAGCACGCGTACCGACAACACATGGAGGTACGTCCTCTGGAGCGCCCTGAAGCCGCGTGTGATGCTATGATGACTCATTTACCACCGTTCTAGCACCGAATCTTCTGCCTTTTGGAAGGTCTCTATTAACATCAAGACCGCAGGCCGTGGGATTGTCAAGGTCGAGGTCGACGGTATCGACAACGTCAAGCAACTCCCACCGAAGACCGTCATCCGACGCGGCAGCGCTGAGATACCCGACGCGTACCAGATCCTACAAGCAAATCTCCCTCAGAAAGAAGACTTCGCCGACGTATTGAAGGAGCTCGAGGAGTTACAAGGCGCCTGGAAGTATTACTACCCTGGGACGAGCGCCTTCGCACTGTGCAGCCCCATGTTCAACTTTGACGGCGATCTCCTCTTCGAATTGCGTCGCTCTCAATCCATCCTTCAGCACTCGTCCACCCAGAACGGGCTTGGTAGCCCCATCTCGCCGCGTACTCGTGCCAGCCGATCAGCTTCCCCAAGCCCTGTATCTCCGCAGAACGGCGCTGGCCAGCGTAACCAACGTCCGCGTCAGTCGAGTTCCGTCGAGCGGAGGAGCGCTCCTAGCTCCCGCTCTTCGAGTCCAGTCCCTAGCGACCACGTCCGCGGACGAATCACGCCCCCACCCACTCGGTTCGGGAATCAGGGGAGGACCTCGAGTCCTACGAAACCCGTCAGCGATTCGCCATCCAGTCCGTCGCGGCAGGGAACTCCGGGTCTGCGAGGTGGGACTCAAAACCCTCCCGCTAATGTGCGTAGGGAGTCAACCGAGAACATCGGTGGTGCTGCCCGACTCAGCAATATTGTTCAGAATGTAGTCGGTGGGTCTGATAGACGATGCGCTCGCGCGGTTCTGCTGCTGATACAGTTCAACAGAGGAACGGCAAGGAACTGGCTCAAGGATTGCGATGATGCCAGTGAGAATCCCAGTAGCTGGACGTGGAGGTGGGATGGCCGGCAGGGAAGTGAATATGGCCAGCCGCATGGGTCAATGAGTGGCAACTGCCTGTTCTTGATGGTCAATCCTAGAAAGTAGCCGTTTGTAGTCCAACTTGTCTTGAATCATGCACTATCCAAGTTATTGTTGGTACGCGCCAGTGTACCGAGCTAATAATAGAGCCGCTCAATTCTTGAGGACTCAGGACGCAGGACGCACTCAGCTCATGTGATGGATGTGATGGGCTAGCCGAACCTGCCGCACACGGCAAAGTACCAACCGCGTTTCTCGTGCCCGTTGTTTTCCAAGGGGTCTGTCGTGTCCCAACCTCACAAAAAAACATGAATCGCGAGTATGTTGGAGAAGAAAACTTTCCGCGTCGATTGACACTACAGTCATCAACCGGCTGACGTAACACCACCATCAGGTGTGACAATTTGCTCATATCTCAGCGAGCTGTTCCGCTTGCCTCCTCGTTCTTTTTGTGAAATATACCAAGAGCTTGAACGCATATGTCTGCCAGATTCAGTGAGAAAATACCTTCAAGTCACTTTGGGATGGGCACATTTAGTACAGGAGTTTGGACCACATAAGGGGTCCAGAATTATTCAGAAATAACTTCATGTCAATCTGGCAAACAGGATACACCGGACCAGTTAGTGTACGCGGCAGAATGTTGCCATTTTGCCGCTGCCATTCTGCCAGTGGCACTTGCCGTTCTGCCATCGGGCCTATGCTGGCAAATATTGGCAGATGTCATGAGCGCTTAGTCCAGAAAATGATCGTAGGGACTGATCTCCAAAAGCTTTTAATGCCTGTACTCATAAAAATTCCCTAGAGAAGTACAAGTTTATGATTTCTGCAAAAGCACCGCGTTTCGTGGACTCAGGACGATACTGATTGGTTTCACCTTGTTGTCGAACGGTGTGCTTCCGGCGCTCAAATAATAAGGAGCCGCCCACGCCGCTCTTCATGCGCTACACCTCTTCAGAAAGCTGGATAGACTCATCTAAGGCCGACTGAGAAGCATAGAAAAATTACAGGTACTCCCTCAGGCGCTCTGAGGAATGTATGTCAAGGGTAACTTACTCCAGACTCAATGTCTCTCCACCAAGGCGCTTAAGTATTTGCCAGTTTCTGCCGACCATGGCAATTGCCATATCTGCCATACCTGCCGGCAGAATAGCCCGAAACATTTCTGCCATATACACTAACACCGGTATGCACCTGAAATCATGTCAACACTACTATGCAATGTTTCCTAGAAGTATAGAAGGGAAAAAGGTGTGTGGCATGATAGAGCCTCCTGCTCTCTGCAGGATAGCATATGTTACCTGTTTGACGCTGTGGTGATGGCCCTCGGAACATACTGGCCTACCCTGAACTAGGCAAGTTGGGGTTAATCGAAAATTGGTGAAAACATCTTCATAATGGCTCTAAATGATTTGAAAGTCTTTTTGCGCACTGGAGGATCCTATGAAAAGGCCAAATTGCTTGTGTTACATTGGGCAGTGTTGCCTAGTTTGAGGCACTCGGGTAAAATCACGCCTGCACAAGCGAAGCTCTCACTATGACGGGATGTAAGCTAATACATGGCGCGTACAAGATGTGTAGCTATCTACGAGTACCAGAATTGTAGCCGTAGCCCCAGAATTGAGGGAGGAACGGCCCAAAAACATTTGAGCGTTACATCGGGCGGTTGATAACTGTAACTCCTTGAGGGAGGAGTGTCATCGTTGCTCGAGGGTTTTCGAAGGCGAGCTTCTCGGCTAGTCTCGCTTAGCCCACCACCTCCATCAATGGCCTCTGAACGCGTCCCGCGTCCTGCGTCCTCAAGAATTGGGTGGCCCTACTATGAATATGGTTCCAGCGACGATCGATGAGGATTCTAGGCTGGGCGCTTGAGGCGCTTGCTGGGCTGAGGGTTCCGGGAGGATCCGTAGCGCTCTGAGTATTGATCAGCGTCAACTCTGACCGATCTACTAACATGTCCAATACAGAATCTCCAATCACAAAGTAGACTTGTTCAATGTGATTATGTAATTATTCGAGGTCACATACTCCCACAAAGTGCTCATCGCGTTTGACGTCAACTCTACAGGTCGAGGATCTGAGGTCTCTATGTTGAAGTCCTTGCTATCAATAGATTCCTGAGGATATGCCTTGGTATCACCATGCTGTTTGTAGCGTGGGTTTTGTGATTACTCACGAGTTGTGCCCCGCACAGTCAGGCTTCACACGCTGTAAACACGACGTCTGAGAAGCGCGCTCTTCCTGGTGAGCTGTCCTCAGAATGGCCTCATTCCTCCTCGAGTCCTCACTGACCACGTCATTGTCGACTCCTAACGCGGGCCATGATCTTGCGAGGATAGCGGCCAAGCCCCTGGAACCGGGTTCCGATGCTGTCGTGTAATGCGCCGTGCAATTGCTTTCATCATAGAGGAACCCCCCCGTTCATTTGGGATGATCGTCTTCCCCGCTTTGCGGGGCCACCACGTATAAGTGGTGGCGTTCATATACTTGTGATCATAGACGATAGTGAGTCAGGCGGACTCTCCGGGCCAAGGAAATGGCTACACTCGACGGCCCTGCACTATCGATAGCAGGCTAGCCGCAGTCGCTTCCATCCCTCAAACAAGAGTATGCGTTTCCCCAAATTGTCTACAAGCATACCGTTTTGACGTCGGAACCCCGAAGGTGACCTTCTACGCCTGCGAGCAAGTGCGTGGAACGTTCATATGCCGTGAACCACGGAGCGATATACAAGATCCGATAGGAAGCATACTCTTGTGGCCAGAGTCTAGAGGCCAACCATGAGAAATAAATGCGCTTCACATCATCTTGTCCCACCAATATCAACATCGACGTGACCATTCACGCTCGCGGCAACGAAAGAATCATCATGGCCGATGCCGTCTGCAGTGGTCCACAGCGCATTGCAGGACAGTGCAGGACACTGCCTCTTCGCTCTAGTTCCCGTCATTCCCAACAGCGAATCGCTTCTCGAAATACATTGTGTGTGAGTTAATCTTTGTGTGGCTTGGCAATTTGCATTACTAAGTACTGAAGGTGAAGACAGAGACCGAATGATATGACATGCATGCCAGTAGTTTGCACAATGCTGAATTGACGTCAGCTCGGTTTAGGGGTCCGGGGGATTCCAGGTCGCCTGATGCCTATCGAATCCATGGTCGTTTGCCCTTTGTCTCTCATTTTCGTGCAGATAGCAGCAACTGACAACACATGTCGACGATCGCAGTCTTCTGGTCCGGGTTTTTCTCCCTTTCGTATTGATCAAGCCCAGTCTCGGGACGTTGCTGCATGTATTGCGCGCCGGTTTGCCCACCATGAGGTGGACGTGGCGTTCATATGCCGTATCAGATTTGTGGCACAGGGTCCGAGTGTCTGCAATGTATTGCAATGTGTTTCATACTGCGTGAAGTTTTTGTTGACAAGTTCGCCGACAGGAGCGCTTCGAGCGAGTCGTGGTCTCTCGTCTCGCGCGTCTGTACGAGCTATATCAATTCAACTGTTGTGCCAATATCCGACAGACCTCTACAGGCCTTCCATCTTGCCACGCCTCTAAACTTTCCGTCATGCAAGCACCCTCGAACCTCTCGGATTCCTCGGACACTACTCAGCCATCCTCTCCTGCTGCACTCGATGCCACGCTCGCAGTGCGCTACTTGAATTCGCAGCTTGCCGTCAACCACGACAACGCCCAGTTTCGATGCAAGGCATATGAGGGAAAACATACATCAGAAGAGCAGAGTATGTCATGCTCCTACCAGGTGCTATTGACTCTCAACGCCACGTTAATCTCCAGGGCTCTCTTACGCCTGGGCGAAGTACGTCTCCCGCCAAAAGGGCGACGCTCAGGTCCTTGAGTTCACATTCGAGGCACCACAAATCTTCTTCGTCTGCGATCACGACGCCATCTTGGAGCTCAAGATTTCTGCCGTTCATGCCTTATCCCCGGACAAAAAGGATCAGATTGAGGAGTACTTTGACCCTCATTTCCTTGACCCACGAAAACCACTCATCTATCGGTACACAGACTCAACGACTTCAGGCTGTCTTTCCGCATTACCACAGAGAAGCGGACCATCCTAGGTAACGATGTCAAGGTTGGAGACCATGAGAGTCGCATCCATCTCTTGGTGTTTGATTTTGATCGTAAGTGTAGGCCGACCCTCCAGATTTATTCCTCTAATGAACATGAATATCGTAGATGCGCGGCTCCTGGTATCTGAAGACGACGAGAAAGTTAGAGATTTTAATCTCGATCGGCAGTTAGCTTCGTATCTCAAGGCGCTTCAAGTCGGTGGACACCACGTCCTGTTCTTCCCACCCGAGTTCGACGAGAACGACATCCGTTCTCCTGTCCGGTTCTCCCTCTCCCAGAACCTGAGAGACGAACGACCACCCGTGCTCGAGAACATCTATGGCTACACCGTGGAGATGATCAACGGTTATCTTTCCTTGCTCTGGTATACGTGCGCATTCATAGCACGTCAGAGGGGAACTGGCGCGCTTTGGGACGATATGACTTCTCTCGCGGGCTATCAGACTTGGCGCTTCCCTAACTATGCTGCGCAATGGCACTCGTCTTTCAGGTTTACTCCACCACGCGTCACGATCCTTTGTGCCAAAGAGGTCGTCCTACATTTCACTCTTTCCGAAGTCAGGTTCTACCCGGCCAAGCCTGACTTATTCTTCCCCGATTTTGTCGAGAAGTGTGCTCTTCCGCATTGTCAAGATATAAAGGCGCTGACTAATTGCCTTGCGCAGGGAAACGGCGGACTACACTGGTTGGGAGATCGCGTTGATCATAGATATATCTGCTACGAAGACGGATTTGAGGATCAAACCGGATAGTATGTGGCTCCATCACCTTGCCCTCTAGCATATATTCATTCGTGATCTCTATAGATGCCCGCTTCACCTCAGAGTATTCCAAGCACTCAAACTTCACCGAGGTTGATCATGAGCGCGCCTACAACCTCCTGGTCGATTTCTTCGTTGAACGCTACTTCAAGCTCGTTGCAGCGACGCGACTGCAGTACCTCTTCCACAGGATCCGTGAGGAGTATAGTCTGATCCGCAGCCCTACGATCGACAACGACGGCAGCTGGTGGACACTAGAACAAGACTATAGGTCGAGCATCAGCGCCCTGGCTGCCACTATCAAGCATACGAAGATGGAAGGCTTCGACATCGTGGTGGCTATCTCCCAGTCATCTATCAATTCACAGTTCCTACGTCTCTTCAGGAGCGACGAGTTCTCCAGATGGGTGCGCGCCGAAAAGTTCCGCGTTGAAGTGAAGACAATGAGTGTGCAACTATTGGACTCTCAGCGCTCTCAGGGTGGGTCGGTTGCTGAGGACGACTATTCTGACGACGACGACGGCGACGACGAACAAACGGTCGGCGATGAAGACTTCGAGCCCAAAGCCAGGCCTCCCTCTCGTCACGCTATAGTCACAGTCCACGTTCTCGAAGGCACTCTCGGCTGGTTGCTGGACGAGAATAACCTAGACATAAGCCCCTGGTCCGTTGCGGGATCGGCTCACCAGGTCAGCATTGGCACATAATTCTGACACGTTTTGTTTCGTAGCACGCCGTACGCTTTCGGAGAATGTCAGCTGGCCTTCGAGGTCGCGCTTCTCGAGCGTGAAGTTGCTCAAGAATCGAGTCAAGCAAAGCACTGTCCTCGAGCATACGAGTATCCTGCAGAGCCGGTGTCGGAAGCTAGTAAGAAATTTGACGACACATATACGCTGAGACACATCTATCTGGATCTAGCAAGTACGTGGGGCACATTTTACGAGATTCGTTCGTTATGTGTGATAGCGCGACTAACATAAGTGACAGATGCCCAATTTTCTGCACAATACAGCGTTCTGGATGACGACGAGTACGGTGACAAGGAAGCGATGCTTAGGCGAATGACACTGGCCGAGCGTATCAAGACCATTTACTTCCCGATACTCGTCGAACGGGGAGCGCATATCGTCGCGACCATCCCTATCTATCACCCCGAAGCTCGCGCTTCGTTCTATAGATTCACTGACATGACCTTCCGCACCTACTCTGTGGAGACGGAGCTAGCCACCCTCACCGAGGAAGAAGATACCGTCAAGCGCTCAGACCAGATCCTCTTCGTCCTGGGCATGACAGGAAACCGTCCTTTACCACCTGTCTCAACTTTCACGCCCTCGAAGCGTTGGATCCTCCGCGGCAGGTTCTCGCACGGGCTTTTCGCCATTTCCAGGAATACGTTCCTCACGCGGTTGCACGCTCTTCTTGCCCGGGTCAATGCCGTTACAACCCTCGTATCCGTCTCCTCGTCCAGCCGTGCCAAGAACCGTCGCGGACACGTGGTACAGCTATGGGATAAGCACCCGGAGCGCAAAAGGGAGCCGTGCACATGGAAGGCTATTGGCGGGAAGGACGACGCCAGCGCCACGGAGTTTGAATGGAAGTACTCGCAAGACTGGCGGCTGCAGGAAGAGGGCACTCTGGCGAACATGAACCGGGCGTTAGCGATCCATTGTACGTGACCATGCGATTTCGCGGTGCACTGCCTGTTCGCCATTTGCTGATTCGACCTCTCCCTAGGCACGACACACAACCGCCTCGAGCTACCGGACGTGTCCGCGCTCTCGGATGGCTCGCTGGTGATTAAGGTCTCGGGTGAGTTGCATCTGCGCATGCAGGATGCACGCAACAACGAGTCGTGGAGGTATGTCTATCTGGTCCTCCGAACCTTACGCATGACTTCATGATTGACTGGTCTTGTAACTCAGCACGGAGTCAACCGCGAACTGGAGTGTCACAATCAGCATCAAGACGTCCACGAAGGGCAATGTCGAGGTCGACATCGACGGTGTGGACCACATTCGTGCGACGCCTGCCAAGACGACTCGGCGAGGGAACGCCTCGATCCCCGAGGTGCAGCAGATCCTCCAGAAGCACCTCCCGAAGCGCAAGGACTTCGAAAGCGTGCTCCGCGAGCTGCAAGAGCTCCAGGGCGACTGGAAGTACTACTTCCCCGCCGCTAATTGGTTCACCCTTTGTACACCTATGTTCAATCTCGACGGAGACCTTCTCTTCGAGCTTCGCCGCTCTCAGACCGTGCCCCACCGCCAGTCTTCTGACACGTTCTTGGTATCCCCTACCTCACCGAACGCTTCGTCGAACGACCTGCGGGAAGGTCCGCAAGGAGGGAATGAGGGTGAGGAGACATCTGACGGGTCTCAATCTGGGAATGCCGGTGAGTAGCCTCTCCTACGCAGGGAGGCATCCACCCTGACTGATGTATAGGTAGCACTGGAGAAGCCTCGTGAGCCGTCAACGGAGCCCAGACCGCCGCCGCCGCCAAGCAACACGCCGCATCCCGCTGACGACTCGAGGCCGGCGATGAGTGACAGATCTCCCCCGATAGATACCGATCCGATGCTCCTAAACGACAGTCTACCTACCCCCAATGACAGCCCTCCTCCACCATACTATAGTTCGCTCTTGCCCGATGACAACCCGCCCCAGATAGATGACAGTCGGCCCCAGTCGCCCCAGATTCTAGAGACTCCGCCGCCTCCTGTGAATGAAAGCAAGTCCCCTTCCTTCCCACTGGAAAACAGCCCGCCGTCAGCTACCGATATCGTGTCGTCGAAGTCCAGTAGCCATCCGTCGACGAAGCCTAGCGCCCTCTCGACGAGTCACCCCAGGCGGAATGTCGTTACATCATCAATCAACAACCCAATGCCCTCCACAACCACGACGGCCAGAACACCACCGAACTCCTTTGCTTGGTACGCTGGGGGACCTCGTCGACAGCAGTTGGCGCCAGGCCGTATCAGCTTAGCTTGGTGATCCCCTCATTCGGCAGATGTTCGACATAGTTCGTTGAGTCTCGGACGCTCGTTATGTCCTGCATTTCTATAGCCATGTGACACGTTGTACAACTTCTCATTGCTACATAATCAGAATTTCTCGGATTCCTCATCCCGAAATTTCCTCTCAGATCCTTGCGAATATACGCTCTGATATATTGTTACCGAATGCTAGTCTGCATATGATTCGTACGATTGGCTGGATTTGTGTCGAAGCGGACCCTCGAATCCAGGGGCATTGGATTTGTGTGACGCTATATACTAGGCGTTGATCGTGTCCTCCGACCCGTCTCTTGGGCACCAGTGTTCAGCTGTCGTTAATCACGTGCATCGCGAGATACCATATCTGGCGCCCAGTGCCATTGCCTCTCTGGCGCCTACGGCTCGCCAGCAACACACTAAGTCGAACGTCCGAGTCAATGTCCCCCATGCTACCCTAGCGGCCCGAGCTTGTCGAGAAGAAGAATTCTGCCCCAGAAACGGACGATGGTGTCGTTGGTATCGGTGTATGTCCTGTCAACTTGTCGTATGTAGTCGATGGGACGAATATTGTACACGGGACTAGACTCTAAGGCACACAGCGAGAGCCGTTGAGAGAAGTATACAATCACCAAGTTGTGATAACGTACTATCGCGACCCCAGTGTTCGGACAACAAAGCGCCCCCTGCAGAATCCCTTCGATTTATGTCCTTTCATGCTCTCCGATAATGTTGATTTTTGGCACGCAGAAAGAGACGTATGTAAATAGACTATGTGCCAAACATGAGAGATATTGGAGGAGAAATGAGCAATGGAGACGGGATTATACAGGGCTGACCCCAGTGTTCGGACGATTCTCCGCGCCGGAGGTCACGATCTGTCACGCTTGCCGATGCCTGCCGGCCTTCGGGTAATGCCCGTTCTCTAGCTTGATGAGCCTTAGCCGAGGAGCCCAAGTAGGTCGGAGCGTCAAGATGTGGCTACATTGTCACGCCCTGGAGGGCTATTTCTTGCTTCTCCTCTGCGTTCCCCTCAGCAGCCCTCGGAGAATTTATTGCTGGACAAAATGCGTACATGGGAACATGTATGAGGAATTTTGAGGGAAGCGCCCGTAGAGTAGTACAAAGCGAGACTCAGGAAGCTTTGATGGGGATGAGTCGGCCCACTTCCTCCTGCAAGATCGCCCCAATGGCTTATGATATAGATCCCGTTCCTGTTGCTGCTCATTTGGAACGCATCTGGGCACTTACCTTCCAACTTGCAACTTTATCGGTTGGAAATTGAGGGAGATACGTCTGTTTGTCCGAACACTGGGGTCTGTCCGAACACTGGGGTCGCGATAGTACTGACGAGAAGGAATCCAGGGCAACATATCGCTGCTCTTGAGACTTGGGACTGGAATTTGCCCACACCACAAATCGGTACATCTAGCCGTTCACACTCAGTCGTCTTCAACCGGTCAAGAACGTATGACTTTGGTCTGGAGTATAAAGCCAAGGTAAGTATTACGTACCCGTATCTCATAAGCTTCGCAGCTGACACACTACCCTCGACCCAGCACTTGAGTCTCTTCAGCTACCCTGATTGCAGCTCAAAGCGTTCTCGCAGATATTGAAACGAACGTGGTTCGTGCGGGCCAGTTGTATTCCAAACGTATCATCTACCTGCCCCTGCTGGTCATTTAGCATTCTTCCATGCTGATTGGCGCTCCTCGCTGTCAGTCCATTACTACTCAGCTGGCCCCGGCCTTTCGCAAACAATGCGCCTTGCAGGCAATCGATCCCCTGGTCGACGCTAGACGACAGACTCTCCATTGCTTGAGATTTGAGACCAGTTCGCGTATGAGCTGTTGCAGACTACAGCGGTAAGATGGCTTCCCTACGTGAGGCAAACTGGATAAAGTGTGGTGGGCATCGACACCTTGTCTGCGTTTCCATCCAGATGCCTCCCATATCGGTTCGAGCCAAGGAAACTACCGTTCCCGAGACATGCAGGATGAAATCCGAACTGACAGACCACGCAACTGATTTTCGCAAAGCCCCTTGTTTGTTTAGTGAGTCGACTCCGTTTGAGGTTCGTCTCGAGTCTACCTTGCTGCTTTGCTAAATTCAAAACGTCGCCCTATAGCCGTTATAGACATAACTAAACCCTAAATGTCGTCAATTCTCGACTTCCTGGGCTGTGGTACGTACACCAGAGTTGAGTGTTTCTATGTATTGGAGGCACAAGTGAACGTGACACATCGTACAACAGGGACAGGAATTCAGGGAACAGGGCCAGGGGAATCAGTCTAAGAGCGTCCGGATTCATTACCATCGGTCAATCCAGCCTCCGGAGTCTTAGAAGACGCGTCGACCATGCTCGTCCGGCGTTGGGAGGAGCGGAGCACGATGCTAACGACTATGCCTGTTATATCCCCGGCCCTCTTATGAAGCGAGTTACATGTAGACGTTATGCAAATTCTGCGCGCTAATGTGACAGTCGAGGCACTGATGTATTTCGTCTTATAGGTCTTTGCGTTGACAGCTACACTACTTTGGCGCTCTGCTGTTGTCCAGGCCCCCATCGTTCTGTAGGTCATTTCCGTCAGGGGACTCCTCAGCTGTCTCCTCTGTCAATTATACGTAAAACCTTCTTGTGTGGCGTGTGTGCGCTGAATGCGGCGGTGGTCCCTCACTAGGTTCGCATGCAGTCGACGGAGCACCATAACACCGGGTTGGACTGAAGCTGACCACGGTAATGCAAGGGTCTGCGTACCTTAATGGATGTGCACCTCAATCCGCCGGTCGAGATCACTCACCTTGCATGTCTTGAAGGGTATATATACTCACCTGTATCCCTAGCTGGACGGACATCAGTTTCCTCGTCTGACCCTACCTCAACTTTTCCTCGTCTCCAGCCCCGTCGAACCTCTATCCCATCTGCTCACCATGAGGCCCATATCCGAGGGCGAAGCAACCGAATTATATCCTGATTCCTTCAGAGCAAGACTGATCATTGACTACTTGAATCGGCAGCTTGAGGCGAATCATGCGTCCGCCCGGCTCAAGCGTATCAACCAAGAAAGCTTCCCAGAGCACGACCAAGACAGTACGTTCTAATATGCTCATTATCAAAGGACGTATCACTGAGCTATGCCGAAAAGGTCTGAGTCATGCCTGGGAGAGCTATGTTTGCCAGCCGAAGGGCAGGAGCAACTCAGTGTTTCGTTTGAAATTCGGCAAACCTGCACTACGCTTCATTTGCGACCACGATGCGCTGCTAGAGCTCACCGTGCAGGAAGTGATATCGGAACATGGTTCGGTTCCGCATCTGAGGTATCTCACTCAAGCCTACCGCCTAGACCCCATCGTTCATATTTGTATTTTCGCAGCGCTAGTCTAGCAGGAATGAAGTTCGCTTTTCGTTTCACTACAACTCGCCGCACTATCGTTGGCAACGACTTCAAAGTTGGCGACCATGAGAGTCGCATTCACCTTCTGGTCTGCGACTTCGACCGTCAGTACTATATCATTCTATGACACGTACCAAGGGGCTGAACTCTGCATGGAACGGCAGATGCCAAGCTTGTCCCTGTGCGCGACGACGATATCATGGCCCAATCCGAGCTCGAGGGCCTTCTTGGGCCATATCTGCAGGCGTTACAACACGGGGGCCATCATGTCTTGTTCTTCCCTCCTGAATTTGTGGGACTCGACTACTCCCATCCCCCGCGTCTGTCGCTTGCGGGCGACTACGAGGAGCTTCGGCGTACATATGGCGCTGGTCTCACTGCCGATGTCGAAGGCTTCTCAGAGACTACGATCAACGCTCATCTCTCTCTAACATGGGGTGCCTGTGTATTCGCGGCCCAAGAACGAAGGAGTCCTCTCAAGTGGAACTCATCCAGCTACCTTGCTGAATATCAAACCTGGCTGTTCCAGGACTTCCAACCCCAGGCCGGTTGGCACGCCTCTATGAAATTCCGGGAGCCAAGGGTCACCGTCCTCTGCGCCCGCGAAATCGTGCTACACTTCACTTTGTCTGGAGTTAGGTTCTACGAAGCGTGGGCGTTCCCTAGAGGGCCTCCGGAGGAAAAGTACGTACACTCGTTCCTTAGCCTCGCACAGACTCGCGTATCCCTAACACGCATGGTTGGTGCACAGGGAGGAGTGGGATAACGAGGAGTCACTGGAGATTGCGTTGATCGTCGATGTCAGGGCTGTCAGTGAAGATTTGGAGATTCTCGCTGAAAGTGAGTGCATCTGTGGATGACCAACTGCCTGCGACGCTTGCTGAATTCTGACGAACTTCTAGCGGCCCGTTATTCGGAAGAGTTCTCGGTGATAACTGGCCTGCGCGTGGAGTACGCTCAAGCCTGTTGGGACTCCCTCGTCGAGTTCTTCCTCCGACAGTACATCAAGCTCTTCGCGTCACGGCGCATCACATACAGATTTCGCGACGACTACTCTGTCATACGCTCAAGAAGTCTAGATGATGGGAGCTGGTGGATGCTCGAGCGCGAATCTGGCGCGAGTGTTAGCGTCTTCTCCAGCACCGTCAGGTTCACCAAGATGGAGGGCTTCGATGTTATCGTCGGCATTACACAGACGTCCATCAACAACCAGTTCACGCGGCTCTTCAAGTTGTACTCAAGGGATATCTCTTCGCGGGATGAAGCCGACTATCAAGTGGAGATCAAGACAATCACTGTGCGCTTACTGCAATCCAGGGCGTTCCAGGAGCCATGGGACGAGGACTGGGACAGACCCGAGGACGAAGATGGGATCGATGCGGTCACCACTAAGGTTTCACAGGCTCGGGCTATAGTCACGATCCACATCTCGAGCGGAGCTTTGCACTCTTGGCTGGACGACGACTTGATGGTCATCAGGTGCGCACAGTTCACATTCTCACCTCGCAGTTGCGTAATCCTGATATGACTTCTCTCAGTCGACCGGACCATATTTCTGGCAAAGTGGGAGAGTGGCGCCTTGCATTTGAGGTTGACCTGGCGATGCGAAACAACGACGAACTATTCGAGCAGAGGTATCGCCATCAACCTTTTGCCTACCCTTCCCCGCCAGGCGAAGATCCCTACACAATACGCCACGTGTACCTGGACCTACAGAGTACGTATATGATAACCACCATCACCAGACTATGAATGCTGAAGTCTATGACTGACCTTCACAGACGCTCGCTTCTCAGCGCGGTACAGTACGATGGAAGACTGGGAGTACGGAATTCCGGATGTCATACGCGCGCGCATGACTCTTGCTAAGTTCATCAAAGAGGACTACTTCCCCGCACTCGTTGAGAAGGGGATTCACATCGTATCCAGTGTCCCCATCTTCGAATCTGGCGGTGCTCCAGCGTTCTACAAGCTCACAGACATGACATGCTGCACGTACGCGGTGCAATCGAAAGCTTCCGTCCGAGCCGACGGAGAAGATGCTACGTCGTACTCCGAGCAGCTCCTTTTCATCCTCGGCATGACTGGCCACCGCTCTCTTCCAGATATCACCAGCTTTACGCCCTCAACGAAGTGGCTTCTCCGCGGGAGATTCTCGCAAGGCACGCTCGCCATCTCGAGGCGGGTTTTCCACGACAGACTGCATTCTCTCCTCGCTCAAGTCAATGCGCTCACGACTCTCGTTCCCGATGCTTCGGCAACGGACATGAGGAAGGGACTCGTCAGGCGGTGGGCTGAGCACCAACACTATCGCGACAGGTCGACGGAGTGGAGGCCGGTCAATGGACCCGAGGCCTCGTTTACGACCAAGTTTGAATGGGAGTTTGACCACAAGATGCACCTGCAGCAGTCAGGAACGCAGCTTTCCGCACACCGCGACTATGAGATAGAGTGTACGCCGCTTTCTCGCTCTTCGTTGGTTTTCTAGGTCATCGCCAGATCGCTGATGGCTGCCATACTCCAGGCTCCACCCACAACGAATTGGAACTACCCGACGTATCCATGCTCTCCACCGGGTCTTTGGAAATCAGAGTCACGGGCACTATGCGGCTGCGCATGCATAGTTCCCGCGCAGACAGCTCATGGGAGTAAGTATCATCCTTCCGTCCGCTTTGCAGTGCGCGCTGACCCTCTGAAGGACGGAGTCATCTGTTCCCTGGAACGTCACTATCCGCATCAAGGGTACGGTGCGCGGCAACGTCGAGGTCGACATCGACGGCCTCGACAATCTCCAACCCACCCCCGCCAAATCCGTCATCCGCTCGGGCGGCGTCAATGTCCCCAACGCGCAAGCGACTCTCCGCCACCACCTCCCCAGGCGCCAAGACTTCGAGGGCGTCCTCAAGGAGTTGAAGGTGTTCCAAGGAGAGTGGAGATATTACTATCCCGCGGCGACGCCATTTACCCTTTGCACGCCGATGCTTAACAACGACGGCGATCTTCTCTTCGAGCTGCGCCGCTCGCAGACCGAGTTGACTCAGCACTCCAGTCGCAGGAGAAGCTACTGGGGGACGCAACGTTCTGGGTCTCGTACGCCTGCGACGCCATCTAGTGCAGGTGGTCCTCGTAACGGCTTGATCGTAAGTGGAAGTTCGCACTGCTGGTATGCGTCGTGAGCCTGACCTATTCGCCGAATAGAAGAAGATAACGGATTCTGAAGATAAAGGAGACACATCACCACCAGTATCACCTACAGTCACACCGTCCCCACCTCTGGATCCACCAGAGCAGGAAACAGAACCGCAGAAACCACTGTCAGAGGATCCTTATACCGATACTCCCTTCGACTGAGCTGAATATCGCTGTCGCGTATCGTGCCTCACCTAGGCCTGTATCACTTCGCCTCCATATGGCCCTCGAAATCTAGAGCATGCACGCATCCCTGTTTCGCTTTGTACCTTCAGCGTCCCGCAATAATATGACGACACTTCTTCCTCCTCCATGTTGAGTTGCAAACCGCAGCAAGGCCTGCAACTGTGGTCCCGACTGGTAAGCAGAGGACTCGTAAAGCCGCCCGTTCTACAAAAAACGGCTGCATCGACGATGACTCATCTGATTCAAAGCTTGCTGTGTGTAGTTGCCCTGGACGGCCGAATATGAGCACTCCGCAACAATGAGATACTAGTAATCCACAGGAGAAGATCCTACGAAGGGCCTTAATCTCGACGTTTCTTTTTTTCGGCGACAGCATACGTCTTGTACGTCACCATTAAAACCTGGAGATCGGAACGGAACCGGAGCAGGCTTCGATGAGGTTGCATAATTCGACACTATTAGGCGCCGACATGAACTGTTCGAGGACTAGTTGCCCAAATTTCTCATTAGATATTGCGATGACTGCAGGAGTTCGCTAAAACGTTCCAGCAGCAGTATTATACCATCCATCGGGACTGTCGCACAATTGTACAACATTATAGGGCCTTGATACGGGCCTTCTCCTTCTCCTGTATCACGCGCTTCGCGTGTACGTCTGCAAGAGAGTAGCCAGGTCAGCGTTGCACTATCTCTGTAGGTAGACGACTATCTGTACCTCTCCGCTTCACCCACGCCTCGACAGAGATACCCGCGAAGACCACCGCCGCGCCGAGCCACTGCCCAGGCGTGAGCTTGTGGTTGTATACAACGACGGAGAGCAGCATCGTGAACAGTTTCCGCGTGAGCGTGATCGTCCTGCGCACGAGGTCTCGTCAATTCAGTGTTCACATCCCACAGCGAAGCGGACAGGACGTACACGAGCGTCAGCGACCCGAAATGCTGCAGCGTCTCGAAGATGAACAGCTGTCCCAGCGCGCCCGTGAGCGCGAACTGCGCGAGCGGCCCGACGACGGACGGGTGCGTGCGCACGAACGCGAGCGCCGCGCCGAGCTCCGTGCCCGACGCCGCAGGGTGCAGCACGGGCACGTACGGCAGCGGCAGGACGGAGATCGCGGCTGAGAGCGCGGTGCAGAACACGTTGATCCAGAACATCATCTGCTGGCCGGTCACCTTGTAGCGCGCGAAGATCTCGTCCTGCGTCGAGTTCGTCGCGCCGTCGATGAGCAGGTTGATGAGCAGGTACGTAATGCCGATGAGCTGCGCGTACGCCGACGGGCCCTCCTGGCCCGCGCCCGCGCTGCCCCGGCCGGGCTTGGCCTTGCCGGGCTTCTCCTTGCCGAAGCCCATGAAGAGCGTGATGCCGAGGGTGACCATCGCGACGACGAGGTACTTGTGGCGCGCGAACTTGCGGTGGTAGAGGAGGACGTTCATGATCATGACCGGCACAAGCTTGCAGGACTTGCCGAGGACCATCGCGGGGTACGTGATGTACGAGAGCGCGGCGAAGCCGAAGGGCGCCGCGGAGGTGATCAAGACCGCGCACTGGAGGTAGCGCAGCAGGAGCGAGCGCGTGTCGAACCGGGTATCGCGCTTGTTCTCGTGGGGGGTATGGGTATGGCCGTTCGCCTTTGCGTGACCATTTGCACTCCCATTTATGCTCGCATTGCCGTTCGCGGCGCCGTTGGGAGTGGTGGTCTTGGGGGCGTCGAAGAGGCCGAGGATCTGGTGGAGTGTTTGGCCGGGCTTGCGGCGGAGGTATATGTAGAGAAGGGCGGCGAGTGCGCTGAGAAAACTTTGACATGTTCCCATGAAGAGAGGGGAGTTGAACTTCTCAGAGGAGGTGCCGTCTATATGTTGAAAAGGAACAGATACTGAGGGGTGCGTGAGCGGTACCACTCGCGGCAAGGCTTGCGGTGCCAAACGTACGTCGTTCTTGAGCAATTGCCCACAACTGCACAAGCTTTAGGTATCGCTATGGCTGTAGAGCTACGCAACTCACCAGGAACATGGAGTAAACCCCTCCGACGCACAACCCCAACCTACGCGCGTTCGCTTAATCAATGGGCCAGACACGATCAAACGAAGGTTTGGTTGTGGTACCTCAGGTAAGACATTCTGACTGCAAGTTCCAGCCGCAAAAAGTCTATGAATGAAGCAAGTATCAGGCAGAGATCAAAGCGAGAGACACAAGCAAATAAATTAGAGCAAAGACGATGCCAGACAGCGCAGCCAACAGAGCCAGCAGCGACTCCGGCGAATACGTGGAACATCCATACAGGCGCCCATCCTCTCCGATCATTCTCCGGCCCGCCCCGCCGGCCCGTCACACGAGACCAGTTTCAACCACAAAGTATTCCATTGATCATCCACACAGTGCAACACTTCTACACCAACATCCATGACCGGATCCTCAAAGCCACGCCACGAAAGTCCAGTCCAGTCCAGTCCATATCCCTCCACCTAGTACCCTGTTCGAACCCATCACCGAGCATTAGGTAGCCGTCGTCGTAGTGGTGTCAGAGCTCGAGACACTGCTTGAGACGCTAGACACTACACTGCTGAGGGAACTCGATACACTGCTGAGTACGCTCGACACGCTCGAGGGCAGGGAACTCGTCGAGCTCGCCGTCTCAAACAACGGGCGAGGGGTTCTGGTCGGGTGGGGCCTGAAGTACGGGTTGCCACCAGATTGAGACACGCTTGACGAGGACCCAGTCGTCGACGCGGACGAGCCAGAGGACGACAAAGAGCCCGCCGTGGCGGTCGTGGTCACCGTGTCGGTTTCCGTGGTGGTCGTGGTGGTCGTGTCAGTTTCCGTGGTAATCGTGGTGGTGTCTTCCTGACGCTTGGCCAAGCCTGGGGTTCCGCTCGGGGCTGCGGTAACGGTCGAAGTCACGGTCGAAGTCACGGTGACGACCGACGAGAACCCCGACCTGACGCATTCAGCGGGACGGGGTGCAACTGATAAGAAGAGTCAGTCGACGTGGTTGGAAGGGGCAGCCACTACAAGTACGAACCTACAGCACCGACGCCGGTGCAGATCGAGAGGCCGACGGCGACGAAGGCGGCAGTGTACTTGAAGTTTACCATTGTGGTTGAAGACAGCAAAGACGAAAGCGAGATAGCGACGGTAGGTTGTGGTGATAGAGATGTGGTCGAGGATTGAGAAACCGCGGACGGGGAATAAAGAGGAAAAACACTACTCTTTATAGGCTGCTCGCGGGAGATGTTCGCCTCCGGAGTCACTTCACCTGAGTGAAGGTTCTGCGGGTGACCGATCAGGGAAAAAGTTCTATGACATCGCGCATATGCAGACGTCGGGCTCCCGAGCGTGCATGTCACCTTGGTGGTTGACCGATCTGATCAAAAGCTGACTTCTACGACGTCGTGCACTTTGTGAACATCGTCTCTACCCGGGCTGCAGGCTTAGTGGCTGACCGATGCCAAGTGTGAGTCCTGCGGCAGCATCGAACATGAGCGTACTCATGTTACACCCTTTGTACAGGTGTGAGAGGAAGGACCAGAGTGCCCTTTGTGGTAGGACTTAGCGTGCATATGTTTGTGACGAAGGCTAAGGCGAGTGGATCGATGCTTGAACGCACGTCAGGTGCGAGATTCTGATGGACGGGCCCCATCTGCGTCTCGGTACCCTCCGGCGCCGCTGGCCTCGAAGTGCCACACGAATCGATACGGGTTCTCTTACAGGCCTCACTGGACGAACGAGCTCCCGCTTGTATTTGCTGGCTAGTATATCCAAAGCCCGCGATGGACGGGCATCACAGTGAACTGCGTACGAGATGCGCCGCGCGCTCAGCTAAGATATAAGTTGGGCCCTGCGTATGTCCTGACGGGATGAACGGCTGTTATCCAATCACAAACGATTCGCGCTTCTTTAGCATAGCTCCCAGTTCTGACAGGCTGTGACGAGTGACTTACGAAGGCAGACGCATCCACGACGCGTAGACCGACCGTACCCTTCACCCTCAGTTGTGAATCGAGGGGCGCATTCGTCCCCTGGCCCATTGCTACGGTGCCGACGGGATGGTCCACGGTATCCGAGTTTTTGCGGATGTACACCTCCAGTTCGTCGTCCGTGGTGGCGTTGGCAAATACGCCGAACTCGCTGACGATGTAGTCAGACCATGTAGGGGCAGTGACGAATGCCCGAGCAGCCTTGACAGCCTCTCGCATGATGGCGACATCGACTGGACTCCCGAGCAGGTTGGGATTGATGAGCGGGGCGTCGAAGGGGTTCGTAGAGTTCAATGTGACGTTCCCACCTGTCACCGGCGTTTAGAACGACGGAAGGAATGAAGCGAAGAGCGGCTTGACACGTACGAGCCGTTGGGGACACCACCGCTGTGATGATCGAGAAGAAGTGGCCCTCGGCTGGAAGCGGAACGGTCTTCGATACAAACGCGTTCTGTGTAGACGATCAATACGGGTCATGAGCGCTCTCTAGCGCCGAATCGCTAGGAAGTGGAAGCGCACAGTAGGAATCTGCTCAAAGTGCGCAGACGTCTCTCCTGCACTCGGGTCCTCGACTCCCAGCGATCGGAAAAAGCCGGTCGCGTTCGGGACTCGCAACCATCCGAACTGGCTTGCTGCGCCCAGACCGAGTGGCCCTGTACCATTGATCTTCCAGAGCGCAAGAGCCTCTGCTGCAAGAGTGCTATTGCGGTGCAGATCGTCGAGCGTGTTGGTCGAGTTTGCTACCCAGCTGTTGCCTAAGAAGACGTGGTCCTGCATAGATTCGAACAGCTTCCAAAACAAAACCCAGAAAGGACACCCACTTGCAGGTTCTGACCGACGGCAGGAAGATTGACGACGGGTTTGATGCCCAGAGCAGTCAAGTGTGCAGCATCGCCTATACCAGAAAGCATCACTGACCGCGGTGACAAATGTAAGTCAGAATCAAGGCGCTTCATAGAGGCAATGGGAACGAACATATGTGAGGTGTCTTCAGGGATCCAGCGGACAATATGACCTCCTTCTTTGCCTTCAGAGTGTGCACTGGCCCTACACAAGGTCATCAGCTGCAGACGACAGTCACCAGGTAATATTGAAGCTACCATCGGCGCTCTGAGCAATTTCGACACCACGGAACACGGGCTTTCCTTGCTCTCGACCAACGGATACCACCTTCGTAACACGAGTGTTCACCACCACGTCCAGATTTGGGCGATTGATAGCCTGGGCTAGGTAGGAGCTGGCCGAAGTCACACGATGGCCATCATGGATCTGACTCTCGTCAGTCTACAGCTTTGATACCTGCTGGACGACATACCGTATTCTGCGTCCAGCCTACCGCTGTCTTGGTCATAAGCTCATCTACACGTCGAGACGTGGAGCTCACCAAACCCAATCGTGTTCCCCGAATTGTAGTCTAGATTGAAGGGGAATTGTTCAGCGAGCTCGCGAGTAGTGTCGATCACCCGGGAGTTGATTTCAAGAGGAAACCCCTCAACGCTAATCGGCACCACACCTGCAAGCGAGTGTCAGGTACACCCATCGCTGCTGAAAAGGCAGCAATATACCATTCTTGTGAATTGCGGGGTTGAACTGGCCGATTGTGTTGTGGTGATCAACCGGTGCCGTCATTCTGTCCACCGCGAAAATGAAGGGAAGGAGATTCTTGAAAGACCACCCATCATCCCCTGTCACGTTCGCCCAGCGATCGTAGTCGTCTTTAGTTCCTCGACTGAACACCATTTGATCTGCATCTCGACGTTAGCTCGGCCACACCTCCGCCAGTTCCCAGCTCACTGAGGGCCGTAGATCCACCGAGGACGAAGCCTCTCGGGTACCCGACAGGCCGATTGTTAAGACCCGGCTGAGCCATCGTGGTGAAGTTCCAATCCTAGAGCACGGGGTGACTGCATATGAGATACGTTCCTATAGCGATTGATGTTGGGTACGTACGAACGCAGACATCGGCAGGGTCGATGACCGTCCAGGTACTGAGATATTCAAATTCTCGAAGTCGCTGTGGAATTGCTATGAGCATCTGAGGCATGGCCGCACCCTGCAACAGAAAGCACATACCTCCCGCCCGCCTCTATCAGCAGAACTCGGGTAAGAGGATCCTCCGTCAACCTCGAGGCCATCACGCCGCCGCCGGCCCCAGCTGCAGGTCATGGAACGCTTGAGCAGCATTCTGGAAAGTAACTCGTGAGGATCCCACTCACCTCCTACTACGACAAAGTCGTAATCCTTGTTGAGGACTTCTGCGGTAGGCCCCTGGTGCAGCGCTGCAAGGACAGAGGCAACACTGAACGCCAGAACGAGCCCCGTTTTGTGCAGCATCTTCGCAGAGCGTATCAGAGACGTGGTAGAAGGGAGGAGCTTCGAACGACCCTGGCGCGGGGGGCGGTATTTTAAGAGTGTGCCTGTACGCCCCTTCGTGGTGGGCCAGACAAATAGGGCATCAGGAGGTCCGCCCCAAGATGTTCACACTTGCCAGAACGTGAGAGCGCCCGACGATGATTGGAAAGCGAGGAGATGGGCGTCCGGCAAACCAAAGGACTTCTTTGATGAGATTCCACGAACGTCCACAGGGGCCTCTATGAACGCATACAACGCACCTTCCGCTACTCAATCCCCCAGTGTGGTCCCATTCATCACGTCTTCGGTGTATTTCCACTCCGGACCTACATCACATCGTTGTTGACAACATTGGTCGTCAAGGTGTTGTGCAAGAAAATCCGTAGTATAGATGATAGTGGGCTCACTTTCTCAAGACAACAGGGTCCTATTCGGTGACCGGTGTCTACAAGCGCTGTTATGGCGATATTCAGTGAAGGACGCAAGCTCAGGACAACCAGCACAGCGCTCTGAAGAGGCCTTTCTGGCGCACAACTTGACGACGGCCTGCGAGATGCTCGTGTACGGATATGTCGTCCCTGACAGGACAGGGTGGCAAAAGCCATATCGGAGGGATCCGGAAGTGTCGCTGGTACGTCTATAATGATATGGAGAAACATGTGGCTGTGTCGCACGCGATCATGACGCCAGGCGCTTGGGGCCCAGGAGACATTTCGTTCAACAGCGTCCAAATTAGCAAATGCAACATTCGCGCCGCATCGTCAAATACATGTGGAGCAAAATATGGACATCCAACATGCCACCAGTTCAGAGTGCCCACGCGTCCATCGGGTTAAGATTTCTATGGATTCCCACCGTGAGCTCAGACAGCCCAAGCTCGATGTCATCCACACGCCGATGAGGTTTCGGGCTGACAGACCACTGCTCATCTCGAAGGCAGTCTTCATCTACTGTCACGGTGGGAGAAGAGCATTGCCAGCCAAGAGAGCCCATAACCTCGTTAGCGGAAATGTTGTCTTGGTGTGCCATCGCTGATGGGCTTCGTGCAGTTCCAGTTTGAAATGGGAAATAAGGACTGCTGTGATGCTGCAGTATCTTATATATCAGCGCTACGAAATCAGAGAGGTGAAATGAGTACGCAACGGCTCCAAGATTTTCGTCACGTGTGATGAGTTCGTCAAGGGAGTGTGTAGCACAGAGTTCTAAGACGATGCGGTGAGCACGTGTTAGGCTCGACATGGCGAGTCATTGCGTACCGGAAGGAAAATGAAAGTGACATGAAGGATGTTGAGTATAAGCATGATGCTATAAGCTATCAGTATATGTATTCGCTGCAAGTACAATTGCCTCACATGAAGTACACCGTCCCTGTTGTTTTGATCACCAAACAGGGTACTCTAAAGTCAAGGTACACGTACCGTTTGTGAACATGACTCTAGTCAGAGAGCACATAGAACCTCTCAGCCCGAGCATGATAGGTGGCCTTCAATGTGACTCCGATCACGACAGCGTCGGAAATGATTTGACCGCCTCGAATGACGATTGTTCCTGAGATCCCCAAGGCGTGAGATGGATAGAACTCAATTTGCCTCATTATTAAGTTGACTGACCGCTGACACACAGGTCAGGACAAGATGGACTGGCATAACTGTGATCACTCACACAAGGCTCAGGGGAGTGGGGGTCGTCGCGGCTGACAAGCATCCAAATGTTGGATTGGCAAAAAAGGAAGCGTGATGGAACTTGAGATCGTCCTATCGCCCCAGAGGTCATGCGACTGTCAGTCGGACGGCGTGGGAGGGCCTCACATAGTAGTCCAGCGGAAAGGCCAGAACAGACCAGAAGAAAACAAATGCACTCAGAGGCCGAATGCATGTTCTGTTGTAGTATCTACGTTATACGAGTTATTCCACCAAGTCTTGTCTGTGTGTATATGGAAGACATCTCTTACCTTTTTGGGAAGATGTAGATCTCCGACATGAGCTCGAAGAGATCCAACGCCACCGGCGCGCGTTGTAGGCTCCAGCCGATTTCAGATCTCACATCTTAGTTGTGTAGATGTACCGAGAGTAGCGCTGCCTGCGATTATGCTTTAATTGAGCCAGTGCACAAGTCGTAGGCACCAAAACGCGAGCGTAATGACCAACGTCACGGCGGAACTTGAAGCCAAGTACTGCTGGAATTCCGCATATGGAAACCACCTGTGGACAAAATCGGACACGTCAACTGCCCATTCGGGAAAAATAGACCCGTACCACGTTCTCGAATGGTCGTTTACTCACCTCTGATCACTATGACAGTCTCGCGTCAGCTTGCAGATTTCAAGGACAAGCATCCACACAGCGACAGACAAGTACGGAAAACATGATAACCAGGTATTTGTGTAGTAGAGATTACCAGAGCAAATATAAGATACCAAGCGTTGCCCAATCAGCACCACAGCAGCACAATAACAAAGTTGGACATATGCAGTGAAGTCGGTTGACTACATCTGCATAGCGTCGATATTCAAGGGCTTGAAGGGATCCACGAATGCATATAACGCACCTTTTTCTGAAAAGTGGGCTGTTGCGTTCCGCTAGATCGCCAAAGCTACATCAATGCATTTTCAGACAGTCAGACCATGGACTTGTTCATTCACATCCAGATCGCAATGTCCACATGCGCTGTCAAAGCGACGGTGAGCGAAGGGGGCAGGCTCTGGGCAACCAGCTCTGCCTTTTAAGGAGACCATTCCTAGGCACAATTCGACAACAGCCTACGAATGCTTATGTAGGTGACGCATCACGAGAGGGATGATGGAGGTTCGCTCCCAGGGTATGACTCGGGCTCGGTTGAAGACGAAGCGGTAGATCTCACATCGTCTGAGCTCATCAGGGAGAGTTTGGGCGCCAGGGAGTGTGAGATGCCAGCAAGGTAGGTAGTAGGTCGTGAATTTGGCCGGACTCGGAAAGATGGTTCGAGCGTACAGTACTCTGTACTTAGAAGGCGTTTTGGACGAAATAGGAAGGAGCGGGGTGATGATGGTGGCGCAACAGCGCGGTCAGCCCGAATGGGGTAGCGCGCTTCAGCGCTGAAGTCACGTGTCTCTGTTGCGACCCTAGATGTACGTCCACCAGCGGACACGACACGTCTCCTCGCTGTATCGTCCTTCTACGGTGCTAGGAACGTGTTATGTTGACTTACTGTGCTTTTCATCTGCTCTGCTTCTCCACCTGAACTCTCTTCCTCCGCCCCTGCACAAGTACAAGTACACGGAGTCCTCTTGGCTACCTAATTCACCTTTGTTTCCTCATTCCGCCTATCTGCAGACGGCTCCAGGTGGTGTCATGCCCTCTCTTCAATCGTGAACTCCTTTCCCGCACCATTCCTGACGTCTACACAAGGTAGGTCTGTTCATATCTCTCCCCGGCATGCAGAGGCATCAAGGAGCGGACACCAATGCTATCCGTGCTAAGTATAAGGTACGTGTTCATGTTCAGCAAGCCACCCTGCGCCTCGCATGTATTGTCAGGGGGAAAGGTCATCAGATTTGCCGCAGCGCCGGTTCCGCCATACATATTATGGCTGTACTGTGATGCTGCAGACCCTGGTGTTCTCCTACCCCTCAAGTGTGTTGACGTCTCGTAGCCTGCTAGATGCCGCTAAAAGTGCTAGTTCTTCTCGCCAAGATGTGGACGTGCATATGGAGACCCCTCGCATTGTTAGCGATCTAGGCCGTGGTGATGACAGCGAAACTGCACCGCTAAGGGCGTCGTCATTGACTTTGTGAGTACATTCGTATGTACAAGTCACTTAAGCGTGTTCGTCCTATCACTATATCAAGTACACCGATGAAGCCAACACGTCCATCAGCATCCCCGAGTTTCACCTCCTTGCACGCCACTTCACCGTCTTGGTGTCTCGTAGCGTTACCCCGCCGTCCACTGCACAGTTCCAGTCAACATCTGCCAGCTTGTCACAGACGAGGACGAAATTTACCCATCTAGGTGCGCTCCCATCAACTCCCTCATTTCAATCTCCCATAGTCCAACTTTTTCCCCGCCGGCGACGGGGGCATCTCACAAAGCAGGGTATGTTCACATCCGTCGCGTTCGCATAGTTCCGATGCGGGTCGCTCTTATCAATGCATCCGAGTTCACAGATGCGTTCTCCACCGGATATGTGCCACAGGGAACGGCCGCACCGGGCGAGTGGCCACTATACATCTACAGCATCGAGGCCTTCGAGCTGAATGACGCCCGGGCCAGCGTGCTGTCGCCCTTGCGCGCAGATCCAAGCTAGACGAAGCTGTGAGTGTGCAATAGGATAGACAGCTGTACGCCAGCGAGCCTGGGTACGTATGCTCGCGTGTGATACAGCCACGTCGGACATGCGATGGAGCGGCGCGCTCCTGAGAGCTGCATTCGAAAACACGACTACGCTCTTCACGAACGGCACGGGAGTGTACTGCAATACGCGACAGAAGGACGGCGCGGTGCTCGGTGCGCTCTTCCGCAGGGCGCTCGCGAGTCGTGGCGAGTGTGGGTGCGTCGTTGCGAAGCGTACAGCTTCAGACTTTGACAAATCGCCCCCTGACAGGTCGCCACCCAAGGAGAGCGCGGTGGAGATTGTGTTCAACCGGCAGGATGCTAGGTGTGGTGCGCTGGTGCGGAACGTGTATCTTGCGGTCGTGCAGGTCGTGCAGGGTATTGCGGACTAGTGGGAGGATGTACACTAGAAGAGTGTAGACCCGCAGAATTACATAGGTGATGGAATTACGACGTCGGGACTGGGAGCCTGCCATCTCGGCGGGCTCGTTCCACGACAGAGGGTCGTTGTCAGATGTTTCTGCCCTGCAACTGCAAAGATTCCATCGCGCTGGACTGAAGGCAGGTCAGCACACATGTAGAAATTGTCATCGAATGTCACTTTCAGTCACTGAATGCAAGTGGAGTGCGGTGGACATAGCTATGCATCTGACGACGGCGACTGGCTGTCAAGAGCATCCGATCTAGCACAGCTGCAAGGACGAAGATCCGGTGAGAACAGCGTGTTCATGGCATGTCCCTGACTTCTACTCCTGCATGTTGCCCAATGACTCACCCGTTGTAGTGCTTTCACTAAATGAACTGTCGAGGCTGTGACGTATTGGGCCCCTGGAGCCTCGTTGGCAGGGCGTGCTGGATCTTCAAGTAGGTACTAGGGCGCAACAGCGGCCCGATAAGCTCCCAAGGCGCAAGGCTGGTCTTCCCTTATCTTCGCATCCTAAGCAATACTGGACGTCTGACCTCAATCACGTCAACTCTGTCTATATCACATCGGTGGTTTACACTCCATGGTGCTTCGAAGACCACATTCAGCGCTACCAGACTAGCACCAGCCGCTCAGATGTTCGGTTCTGAATTGTGGCGAGTTCGTGAGAGATTGGGGTCATGTATCGTGTCGAACCTTCCTCAGGCTGTTCCTAGCCGGCCATAGTCCACCTTCTCGAGTGACATACTTATCACCGGTCCCTGTATCCTCATTGGGTCTCCAACATTTTTGGGGGGGGAACACGTTTCTGGCGACTGCCACGATGCTCTCCTTGTGAGATCACCGAGTGCATACATAAAGGCGTATGTCAAAATGCTTACTGGTCAAGCACCCTGCTTCATTAACCCGCACACTTGTACTCGTCATGTCACAATCGCGCTTCTCCTCGTTGCTCCGATTCCGGTTCATCAGGAACCCCAAGTCGGGTCATGTCCCGCAACCTCCCGGCCAATCAAGGCCGCATCCTCGCACAGACACCGGTGATTATTTGCGCCTTCATTGCTGAACAGGAATCGTAACATAACTCGATCCCATTCTCAGTTCCCTTGGCATCACTTGCGGACAAAGACAAGGAAGAACTGGCCAAGATCGTCGACGATGGTACCACTGCGCTCACTCAAACCCTTCCGGCCTTGTTGCGAGTTCTTGACGACATCTCTCAAATCCATCCATACATATCTGGTCTGTATACTTACCTTCGCTGTACAGGATGGATTAGTATGTTGAACAGGAGTTCTAGTGGGTTTGTTGGCCTTCCGTGTTGCCATTTTACTGGGAACGAAGTGGCTAGATGCAGACAGGAAGGTGGCGGTTCTTTTTCTTGCCATGCAGGAGATGATGGACGAGCTCGCCGGGTACGTCCTGCGATGCAAATATGATTGTTAGAATATTGACAGTGTTTCAGGCTCCAGTACATCAAGGATGTCAAAGGGTTAGAAGCTGACAAGAACCGCAAGGGAGCCCGCGAGGAGCTCGAAAGGAAAATTGGCGCCACCGCAAAGGAGATTGAACAGTGCTGGCATGCCTGCGAGACATATTCTCAGAAGAGAGTCACCACCCGGGTCATACAGTCCCTCGAATGGGACGCACAGTTCAAGCATTATCTCAGTCTCTTCTCCGAACGGCGCAGTGAGTTCAACGGACTGCTTACTCGGTTGATCGTCTCCACTGTTACGCAGAATGCCCGCAAGCTATGTGTCATCGAGGAGAAACTCGACCTACTGCTTGCGCGCTTCTCCGCGTTGGCATCTGACGAAGAACAGCAGCTTCAGAAGTTCATCAGCACTGGTGACTTCAGTCAGAAGCTCATCGAAGGGGATAGCGAGGCGTTGAAGAAGGTATTGGAGCGGGAATCCTCTCAGGGCGGGGTCAGGCGGATGCCCGAATATGGTGGTGCAGCTCGGAAGGACAAGCCGAACATCAAGGACGAAGAGATAGCAACCCTCAGAAAGGAGCTGTTGATGACACCAGAGGACGCTATGAAGAAGAACCTGGCGGAGTTTTCGGGGAAGTTTGACATGCAGATCGAAAAGTTGAAGGATGATATGAGGGCATTAGTCCGCCACGAGAACGATCGAGTCATCAAGGCGTTCAAGTCAGGACCTCAGGATGCCATTCTGGACAAGGTATTTTCACAGCATATCACGTTAACCTAAAATCCGCCGCTCAAGGCTTTCAATGCAGGATATACATGATTTGTGGACCGAGATCGTGAGAGCATTCTGTGTACCATGCATTGATGTGCTCTCACAGAATGCTGAGGTTCATTCGTACAGGGATGGCCAGGCCACGTCAAGACGCGTCATTTTGTTCTCGCACTGTGCGATTACTATCGTCAATGTCTCAAGGACAACAAACGCGGCGATGATAACAAACGCAACGAGGACAAACTACGTAATTTCATGTCAAGCCTCAGTGATGATCACAAGCGACATATCGCCGATGAGGACATATGGGCACTCAAAATCATTGACAACCGCAGCTTACAGGCACTTGCTGAGGCATTCGACGATGATGCTTCGGGATTCATCACTGTGGTGGAAGTCAACAATCTCACCTCGGCGCGTCCTCTCGAGTGGAGGTGAGCAACCTGTACCTTCAGCTCCTGAGCATTACTGCACAGGCTCACACCAATTCCACCCGTGTGAACAGCATGCCTCATTGGCTCGCCTATTGGGCAATTGGTACGCAACACGAAGCTAGGTCCTTGCAGAGAGTCCAATTTTTTGGTAGGTTGGCAGATGGCCGCGGATGATTACAAAGATGCCATCAACATCATCTGTGCTGACATGATCGCGATTCGGCGACTTGTCCATCCACGCAACCTGGAGAACGTGGATAGCTACCTCAACATTGTCTGGCAAGCCGTGATCACTTTGGCCACTTCGTTCAGCTGTCCTTCCTATTCAGGGTACATCTTACGCCGATTCAACGCGCATGTGAAATCGCAAGAGAACAGCTTGCAGGAGCGGCTTGAGAAAGTCCATTATAGCATTGGGGGAGAGAACACATTGGCCCTCGTCACCGGTCCTGGTCAGATTGAAAAGGTAATTGCACCTTCTACATCCGTGTATTTGTTTCTCTTCTGAGATTCCTCTTAACAGCACATCATGCCACTGCTTTACCTTCTTCTGCGGCGACACTTTGAGATCATGAAGCTTTGTCAGACCAGGATTATTCATGAGGACGAACTTAGCGACGCCGCCCAAGCTATCACCGATGTCTTCGAAGTATTCAAGAGCCGTTACGATGACCTACAAGGTTCGTCGGTAAAAACCATAGCACATCTGAGTCACGGCTTCCACTGTTTTCTTATCCTGAACTGCAAATCCTCCGCGCCACAACGGCATGCATTTATAGTACTCTTCAAGCAACGTAGAGTGGACCCCGGGCAGCAATTCAAAGTATTTGCGAATCAACTGGTATGTAGTGACGTGCCAGTGCTATGATACCCATATGTCTTATTTGTGTGTTATCTAGTTTTATAACTGGCACACATACAACGATTTCTGGGCATTGAATAACCTCCGCACACTGAGGTTCTCGGGAACGTCCTATGGCTCGAAGGAGGGAAACCCTGAATTCGCGAAATTCTTGAGATATCCGTCGGACGCCATACCAATACAATCTGATACCACACGGAGAGTTTTGCCAAACCTCAATGCTCAACACCGGTAAGCTTTCATGCAAAGTGTCTTACTGCTCGCCCAGGTGAATATCGAGTTCATCAGGCAGCTGATATCTTATATCTAGTTACGCCTGTGATAATTGTGATGAATCGTTATCTGGCGCGCGATTCATCTGCTTGGAATGCGGTACCCAGGATACGCTCGATCTATGCCAGCAGTGTCTCCCATCCGTCATCCAGTCTCGACCTCTCGGAGATCTCACTTCACCTCACCTCCCAACTCATGATATCGTGAAGATAGTCACCCCGATCATACAGTGTGCCGAAATAGGGAACTTGTTTCGAATTTCAAGGTCTTCCCTGGATCACGCCTCCAAGCTTCTGCGAGATCCAACCCCGGAGGAAGACCACTCTGTTGAGAGCGCGGGCGAGGGGTCCGATTCCACATCCACAAGCGACTCGGATGGAGGGATTCCACAATGCGTTGAATGTGGTACTATTATATCGAAACCTTGCTGGTTCTGTCTCAACTGTCGCGAAGGTACTGTCCTTGAATCTCGTGAGCTGTGTCATTGCTGACTCACTGTCAGAGCACTATTCGAATACCTTCATCTGTCACGCTTGCGACCAGAGGGGTACTCTCACGGAACACAGTGAGCATCGTGCAGACCATTCGCTTGTTCGATGTACGGCGAAAGCTCCTACGAAGAACCCAAAAGGAAACACCGTGGAAGGCCGGCTTGGCACTGTGGAGGAACGGCTTACCTCATTCGAAGAGCAGCTGAAGAAACTCACCGAGCATTTGCACGCGCTCCCAGACCAGATGGGGAAGTTGCTGCTGCACCACGCCCTCCCTGTGGGAAATTCACTGCCCTGATGTGAGTGCCTGCGAAACCAGAGTATAAGATGACTGACGAGCAGCTCCGAGAAGTGAATCCAGCATCGACGCGCGACAACAATCCTTCAGAGCTCTGCTCTTGTCCTATGCAATGTATCGCGCCGCAGTTTCTCCTTCACTCTTTCTTGCGCAGGCCCCACAACCCGACATCATCAGTAGTTCTCCTTCACCATACTTCACGCTTGTGAAATGGGCAATTCGCGTTCTATCATGCTAGTGCCGTGGACTCATAAGTGTTGATGTGGGAGTAAGAATATCGAAGATGCCTTGTACGAGTAGCAGTTACCGAAGTATACTATGTGTATGAAATCCGTTCACGCCCTGTAGCATGGCCGAAGGACCTAGACAAAGCTTCAGGATATGCGAAGGTTGACGAGTATTGATTTGACTTATTCCGATTATCTCTCTCCTCTGGGCTTCTCTCTAGAGTCCGAATACGAAGACATCGGAGCGACGCCCACCAATGCGTTCCACGAAAGGTCTCTGGACGCTAGGAAAAAGGCACGCAGATGCACGGTCATTCCATGGACAGCTAGCGCGAGGTATGGCAGTAGATCTTTGCGGAAACTGGCGCGAGGGTCGTAGGAAAGAAATTGGAGGCGACGACGTCTTCAAAACGTGGCCAGGAAACACAGACCTATATGATGTTCTCTGATGGTGGGTCACTTGATTGCTATGACAGTCTCGCGTCAGCTTGCATATTTCAAAGACAAGCATCCACACAGCGACAGACAAGTACGGAGAACATGATAACCAGGTATTCGTGTAGTAAACATTACCAGAGCAAATATAAGATACCAAGCGTCGCCCAATCAGGCCACGGCAGCACGTAGGACATATGCGGTGAAGTCGGTTGACTACGTCTGCATAGCGTCGTCGTCGTCATCCTCGTCCACCAGAGCGCGCTTAGTGCGCTCGCCGTCCCTAGACCAATTCGTCTCTATCAGCACAATAGTATGAGGCCTGATAACACCGGCAGACACTACCTCTGAATATTGTCCTCATCGTCCTCTTCCGAACGCTTCCTCCGCACGGAGAAGACGCGCTGCTGCGGTTGGGACGCGATGGCTACCTTGGCCTTGTAAATCGACTCGTATTCCTATCGGACACGTTAGCCAGCGTTACGTGTGCAATCCGCTTGACACCGACCTTGATCTGGGTCATGAAGCCGCCGTTGGGCGATATGCAGTACCGCCGGTTTTGGACCAGGTGCAAGGCGTCCTCCCAGGACAGGTTGTAATATTGCATGACGTACATCACAACGAACGAGGGAGACAAGCTTATTCCACCTAGGGTGCGCATGACGCCGTTCTTCCTCAGTTTCTCCAGGGCGATGCAGAATAGACAGAGGTGGAAGGCAAACAAGGCGGACAAAGGCGATCACGAAAGAGCATGGACGTACCATTACAATGTACGAGCACAGAACCGCCCTTCGAAATGGCTTCGTCAATGAACTGTTTTGCCCTGAGTTACGCGCACGTGCACAGTAAGATACAAGGATAGGGGGAACAATGGTTGTCAGTAGTGATAGAACACTCACTGGGGGAATAGGCGGATGAGATTCTGCTCCTCGCTGTCTTGCACGTCCAACACCATGTACTGGAAATGCTCCGGGAATCGTGGCCGTACTGAGAACGCCTCCTTCGCGTCTCGTATGCAAACACTACACGTCCATGGCATTGGGTGTGAGTAAGCTCGCTCGAGCATTTGTGGCGTCACAAATGAGCTACGACTCGCCGTACTGCGAACGTACATGTGCGTGATACCAAAGGACTTGAGGGTATCCAGCGACTTCGAAGCTTGCAAGGGACCAAGAAACAGGTGAGGCAGAATCTCCTGACACTGTCGCCTCATTTCATATCTGTAACATACGAACCGCGAGTCAAACTAGGTTGTGGCTGAGACTGTGGTTGCACGCACGTCCATTCTACATCGCTCGGGCCTTGGATTAGCTCGCGAAGCTGGTCTTGGTTGAACTCTGCCGCGTTCATATCGTATGGTAGGAGCTATTCGATACGGAACAGGAAAGCGAGATGAGGATTAGGAGAGAGGGAGAGGGAAAGATGTAAGGTAGCTAGGCGGCTGAGCGGCGAGGCTTGCACAACGCTGCAGAGGCCGGCGCTTGCCTCCCGATCGCGTCTGTGCCATAAACGACGATCTGCCCTCCTTGCGTCCGTTTGCCCGGTTCTCTACTCCAGCTCATTCTCAATGGACGACCTTGGCGAGATCCCGTATGTTCTGATTTCCTTGTCTCAAGACATAATGGAGTGCTTAGGCGGCATAGAGAGCTCGTTGATGCCGACACCACCAGCGCTGAGGACGCCCCGGAAGGACTTTCGATCCCAAACCTCGCCGACGCGAATGACTCCGAGCATCCGCCTCGCACGGTACCTCTCACCATCATAAGCGGCTTTCTTGGTGCAGGGAAGTCTACGCTCGTCCGGTGCGTTACCCGTCCATTCTTCGTGGGCGTCTGTCATGCGTCGGGTCGAGGCACCGCTCGGGGATCTCAGCCTGGCCTCTGTCATTCGTAGTCCGAACGGGGGCTGACCGTGCCGTTACGATCTAGACGGATATTAACTGAGCGGCATGGGTACCGGATAGCGGTCATCATGAATGAGTTCGGGGACACTGCAGTAAGACCAGTTCCAAGCTCGACCGAGGAGGAGCGTGCTGAGGGTGTCGGGATTGTAATGGTCTAACAGGATATCGAAGGTGCATCTAACGCTTCCGCCGCAGCCCCTATCAGCGTCGTTGACGCAGTTCTGTCTTGTTTGGCTTCCTAGCGAAGACGATCAACGTATCGTCTCCGGATGACCCGTCGCAACAGTCCGAGGAGTTCCTGGAGCTCGCGAACGGTTGCCTCTGCTGCAGCATCAAGGACACGGGTATCGCCGCCATCGAGAAGCTCATGAAGCGCAAAGGCGCCTTCGATCACATTTTGCTCGAGACAACGGGGCTCGCTGACCCCGGTATGCCATACAAGAATCGTTCATCTGTCCGCCCCTCGCCCTAATGCCGCGAACCTAGGCCCCATAGCGTCTATGTTCTGGCAAAACGAGGAGTTCTCACAAGGACTTGGCCGGGATATCCATCTGGACGGTGTTGTGTGTGTCGTAGACGCTGTCTTCGGGCGACAGGTGCGCGCCTGAGTCCCAAGTGGCGTGCCACAGAGTCCTGATCCAGGCCGGTCATCTCGCTAGCAAATGGAAGAAGACCACGCTGCCGATGGTATCGGGGAAAGCTTACGGTACGCCGCTAAACTAACACCCGTCTAGAGTCCGCTTGCTGAGTCGACATGGATTGTCGCGGATAGACAAATTGCAGCCGCCGACGTAATCCTGTTGAATAAGGTCGACCTCGTACCACCTGCAGAGGCGGATGCAACAGAAGCGGTCATCCGTGGCGTGAACCCCGCAGCATCCATCCACAGAACAGTGCGCGGAGAAATCGACCTGAAGCATATCATGGGCATCGACGCTTATGCTTCACGTCAGCTTTTGGAGGTATCTGGCGCAAGAGTGGCGAAGTCGCACCGCGGAGAGCACGAGCACGATCACAATCACAACAATGTGCACGACCACGAACACTCGACTTCGCCAACTCACTACGAGATTCGCGGAATCTCGAGTCTACAGATAGACTGTCCCAAGCTGTCCTCCCAGCAGTTGGATGTGTTAGACGAATGGATTCGCAGCGTCCTGTGGGAGAACAAACTACCAGGCAGCCCCTCGGGAGACAACAGCGGACTGGAAGTCCTGCGCTGCAAAGGGCTGTTCGTTACCACGGTCGGGGATCTTTACGTCCTTCAGGGTGTCAGGAACCTGTACGAGATTGCGAAAGTCGAGGACGAGGAGCTCGGGTTGCCAGACGCTGGCAAGCTAGTTTTCATTGGCAAAGGCTTGAACGAGCATGTCAGACGCAGTTTGCAGGAACAATTGAAAATTATATGAGTACACGGTCATTGATTACGCCTTCGTGCAGCCTGATCGTGTTTTCGCCCAATCACCAAGCCGCTTGCATCCGAAAGTGAATGGTATCGAACTCGGTACCAGTCCCTGCCATGTCTTCTATAACGTACTACCCGCCTTCTGCTCAGCCAGAAACAGTCAGCACGTCGGAACGGGCCGCCGCGTACAGTTGCTCACGTACCTGCACTGCGGAGTCTACGCTCGTGTGCGACTTCCAATTGGAGGACTGTCGTCCGCATACGTCGCAGCTGGAGATCATCTCCGATTCTCTCGCAACGCTCGGGTCTATCACTGTGCATCGACAGAGCATCGTGAGTATATCGCGAACCGAGACGCGTGATGAGGGACACAGATGCAAAGTTCGGAGTGCATACCCGACTGCGGCGGACACGCGAAGGTGACCGTCGAACCTCCCGATAGGACAGCACGCCTTCTTGCGCGGCGGACCACCTCAGACCAGACAAGGCAAGCTTGAGGGGAAACCTCAACTCCATTGCACCGCTATCCCAAGGCCCAGCTCTCTCGCTATAGCGAGAAGCCGCTCCTTGAGCCGTGCGACGTCCTCGGCCGTAGGACGCGCCGGCTTCAGACGTGCGTCCGCCCCTGCCCCTTCTATCACACCGCCCATCTGCGCCATGAGGTCCTCGAGGCTCTCCATGTCTCGCTTCGCCTTCAGCGCCTCGTTGAGCTCGGCAGGGTCGGTCACGTCGTCCTCATCGTCCATACGCGCATCTCTGTCCCTGCCCTCACCGTCGAGGTGCTCCCGCGCGTGCGCGAGCGCCTGCAGGTCCGGGGGCGCGATGTCCGAGAGGCGCACGTTCGAAAGCTCAGTCGCTATCGCCCGCACCTCCGCGACGCGTGGGTCGGTTGCGATCGAAGGGGGGCCGGGTGCTCTCGAGAGGAAAGCGAGGAGGGCGGAGGAGAGCCCTCGGAGGATGCCTAGGTCACGGCCGAGGGGCGCGCCGACGGACGCGAAGCCGTCGTCGAAGCCCTCTTGGAGGGCGCCTTCCTTCCCGGCTGTGATGCCCTCGCGGTAGCCTGCCTGTGGGGGAAAGAGACGTCGGTCCGCGAGCAGGTCGGAGGCAGGTGCGGAAGCGATCAGGGAGAGAGGACGGGCGTACGTTTGTGAAGTCGTTCGATATCTTCTCCCACTCAGTATTTTGCAGAGCCTTAGGGTCGTTTCCCCAAAATTCTTCGTCGTCCATGGGCCTATACGGTGTGAGACGATATGGAGGAAGATGTACGAGAGTCCGAGCAAAGACCGTGAGCTGCTGAAAAGGCTATGGATCTGAGATCGGCTCGATCAGGCGTGGCCGCGTGGGCGTTTATGACGACGGGACGCTCGCCTAGATTCTACGGACCTCAACGTCCTCAACAACCATCCGAAGTGCATAGTGCTGCTTATGTTGGATTCTCTGTATGTGGCTGCCAACCCGCCTTCGTGGTGAACGTTGAGCACTGTTGACGGTCGGAGGCTCTCGCTTGTTACTAGGGGTTCTACTTGCTTGGATATAGAGGTGAGTACTTGAGTAATAATCTCAGAATATATCTTCCTTTTGGGCTTCGGTTTGCACCTGACAGAGTACCCGCAGTGGCCTGCGTGACCTTCGTAATGAATGGATAGTGGAACACAACGTATGACACTATGGCCGTTATGACACGAATGTATGCTCAGATACAGTCTCCAGATCGGCGAAGTGATTAGCTTCCTGCAACAGGTCGCAGCTTGCCACCCGGCGTATAACGTTGGCGACGTCGTCATTAGACCGTATGGGGACGGGGCACGGAACTCAAAGGTAGCTTCCTCGGATACCCGTCCTTGGAAGTTTTGTCTGCCTTGAGTGGCAGTGGACTGCTCCCGTTCACAATCCGGGACCGGGGACAAGCTCATCCGCATGTAAGTTTTGATACTATGCTCCGGGACCTCAGGGCTCAGGTGCAGAAGGCACGGAATACAGCGCATCACAACAACATGATGGAGACCTATGCAATTCCGTGGCCAAGGTCAAACTTGCGAGGTGGAATGGTACGTCGATGCTCTATCGTGATGCTTGTTCCCATCAAAGACTAAGTAGAAAACGATCAGCGTCAGCTGTTATCCGCTGCGATACTGTTACGTTTAGAGGTCTTTTTCACAAGTGCACCTCCTAGAATAGTCTAGGATGCTGATGGCCCAGATCATGGAGATGTCTTGCTTATGGCCGTGGTATCACTGAGGTACTCAAGGGTCGCGAGGCTTCCGAGGCATGGAGCACAGCTTGGAGATCTAGACACGAGACCCATGATTCCGCGCCCTGCCGAGAGAGGGCGTCGCTGCAGTACCGCTCATGGAGCACGGGCTTTGACAGGAGCGGGTCGCCCGATGGCGTCGGGAGAGGTCCCATGTGGACGAGGCTGTACAGTAATACACCACTCCTTTTGACAGAAAAAACGTGTGACTCAGATTTCTTCAGATCGACTGTAGCAATACTCAATCAGTCTCGCACATCCATTGGGGCACCACATTACAATAGTTCTATGCTAGTTTCAGTATGTAGAGTGGGGGATATGCAGGAAATCCGAGGCGATCTGTCGCGGAATTCGTTATCAGGCGATATGCAGTCCTTTTGACAGTCACATCACGCTAGAGATCTTACCAAAAGGGGAAAGATTATCTGGCCTGGTCCAATGAGATGCAGAGCGAGCAGATTGCGAATGAAGCGCTGGAAGGGCGTTTCGCACATATGCCTTCTCGGTCATACGTTGGTCATCCCAAAATCGTAGCCTAATGTGGCAGTGTGACAACCTGTTTGATGGCAATGGCCACCGTGTTGCAAGTCTCATCTATGATACTCCATTCCCCTCGATAAGGCTGGAAATACACTCAAAGTTATGAGAAGAACCTAGTGACAGTGTTGTAAGTCTCCGATTTTTTATGATCGCTACACTGCGATCAAGATCTAGCGAGTAAGTCATATTTGGCTAATTTCGAGTGATCATTCCTCTGTATGAAAACATCGCGAGGGGAAGCAAGCCCCCAAACTGGTAGATATGTAACTACAATGTATAAGAATAGGATTATGAACATAAAAAGGAAGGGGGTACGAAGGAGGAACAGCGATCGGTCTTTGTCAAAAGGAGTGGTGCTGTCAAAAGGAGTGGTGTATGACTGTAAGTGTTCGCACTCGTGCTGTGAAGCGATATGAGGCTGGCGGAGCCTCAGTTGAGGTTGATAGGCAGTAGCTCTGAGCTGGCCCGGGCGGGCTATCGCCAGTCGGGAGACAATCGTGGATGCGAAAGACGTCTTGCACGGAACTCCTGAGAAGGTGCGTATTGAATATTGATTGCTGAGCACAAACGAAGTGTGAGCAAGCGATAGTACCTATACGAGACGACGGCGTCGGCCCCGGTCGTGCAAAACCAAGTGACAATGTGGGAAGGGAGTAGATCGGCTGCGTGATCCTGCTGACATAAGCGAACGGCATCTGCGTGGCGTGATTAGCCGGGCGTGTGCAGGGCGAATATAATCCTATCGTGCTTCCTCTGCACAGCTCAGCTTTCACGACGTCCTCTTCGTCCGACGTCCTTTCCTTATTTCCCCCTTCCCTCTCCCCACCTTCGCTCAGTCACCGGCACGCCCGTCGTCGAGCATGGCCTCTTCGGACGTCATCGTTCTCGCCCTCGGGGTCATCCTCGCAGCGGTCTATCTCTTCCGTGACCAGCTCTTCGCCTCCTCAAAGCCCAAGACCGTCCCTACATCCACCTCCAAGGCCAATGCCGGTGGAGGCAACCCTCGGGACTTCATCGCAAAGCTGAAGGAAGGCGTAAGTCCATACTCCGTCACATCCGGTGCGAGAGTCCGTCCTGACGAACTTGCAACGTGTCCCCAGAAAAAGCGCATCGTCATCTTCTACGGCTCACAGACCGGCACGGCGGAAGAGTACGCTATTCGTATCGCTAAGGAGGCCAAGCAGAAGTTCGGTCTTGCATCTCTCGTCTGCGATCCCGAGGAGTACGACTTCGAGAACCTGGACCAGGTTCCGGAGGACTGCTGCGTCTTCTTCGTCATGGCCACCTACGGTGAGGGTGAGCCCACCGACAACGCCGTCACTCTCTGCCAGAACCTCTCCGACGACAGCTTCGAGTTCTCCAACGGCGAACACAAGCTCGAGGGTCTCAAGTACGTCGTCTTCGGCCTCGGTAACAAGACCTACGAGCACTACAACCTCATCGCCCGCAACGTCGATGCCGACCTCACCAAGATGGGCGCCATCCGTATCGGTGAGCGCGGCGAGGGTGACGACGACAAGAGCATGGAGGAGGACTATCTCGAGTGGAAGGACGGCATGTGGGAAGAGTTCTCGCGCGTCATGGGTGTCGAGGAAGGTCAGGGCGGTGATACGCCTGACTTCGCTGTGACGGAGGTCGCAGACCACCCGCCCGAGAAGGTCTACCTCGGTATGTGTTAATCTTTCTCAAACGCTATCAGCAGGAGCTTATCCGGCGTTTCAGGTGAACTCTCCGCTCGCGCTCTCACCCGCTCGAAGGGCATTCATGACGCTAAGAACCCTTACCCTGCACCTATTACCGTGGCTCGCGAACTCTTCGCTGAGGGCGCTGATCGCAATTGCATTCATGTTGAGCTCAACACTGAGAACTCCGGCATCACCTACCAGCATGGTGATCACGTTGGTGTCTGGCCCTCCAACTCCGAGGTTGAGGTGGATCGTCTACTCTGCGCTCTTGGGCTTCACGACAAGAAGGATACCGTCATCCAGATCGAATCGCTCGACCCTGCGCTCGCGAAGGTTCCTTTCCCCGTCCCTACAACCTACGTTACCGTCCTCCGTCACTACATCGACATCAGCGCCGTCGCCGGTCGTCAGATCCTCGGTGTATTGTCCAAGTTTGCCCCTACTCCTGACGCTGAGGCGTTCCTGAAGAACCTCAACAGCAACAAGGATGAATACAATAACATCGTCACCACCGGCTGTCTCAAACTCGGCGAAATACTCCAGGTCGCGGCTGGGAACGACATCAGCGTTGCCCCGACCCCTGAGAACACTTCATCCTGGAAGATCCCTTTCGACATCATTGTCTCGTCGATCCCTCGTCTTCAGCCTCGGTACTACTCCATCTCCTCCAGCCCCAAGCTCTACCCTCATTCGATCCACGTCACCTGCGTCGTCCTTCAGTACGAATCCGTCAAGAACGAGCGCGTTCCGGCTCGCTGGGTATTCGGTACTGGCTCCAATTTCCTACTCAACCTCAAGTATGCGGCGAATGGCGAGCAAGCACCTTTGGTGGATACTAAGGAGGAGCCCGCGCGCGTTCTCACCCCGAAGTACGCCATCGAGGGTCCCCGCGGCGCATACAAGCAGGAAACCGTCTTCAAGGTCCCCATCCACGTCCGTCGTTCGACTTTCCGCCTCCCAACGAACCCCAAGAGCCCCGTTATCATGATTGGACCCGGTACTGTAAGTGTTACGTCTTTATATGAGCGCCCAAATGGCGTCTCGCTCACCACCGGTCACACAGGGTGTCGCTCCGTTCCGCGGCTTCGTCCAGGAGCGTGTCGCAATGGCGCGGCGCACTATCGAGAAGAACGGACCCGAAGGCCTGGCAGACTGGGGCAGCATTCGGCTGTACTTCGGCTCGCGGACGTCGACGCAGGACTTCCTCTACAAGGACGAGTGGCCCGAGTATGCCAAGGAGCTGCACGGGAAATTCACGCTCCGGGCCGCGTTCTCGCGCGAGGTGTACAAGCCGGACGGGAGCAAGATCTACGTGCAGGACCTGCTGTGGGAGGACCGCGAGACGGTCGCGGACGCGATCCTGAACGGGAAGGGCTACGTGTACATCTGCGGAGACGCGAGGAGCATGAGCAAGGCCGTCGAGGAGACCCTGTCCCGGATCTTGGGCGAGGCGAAGGGTGGGAGCGCGGAGGTGGAGGGCGTAGCGGAGCTGAAGCTGTTGAAGGAGAGGAGCAGGTTCTTGACGGACGTGTGGAGCTGAGCGATGAGCGGGACGGGCTCCAGGATTCTGCGTTGTGTCGTACGATCCCGACATATAGAGGGATTTGGGATGGGGATGGAGGACGCGGATGCGTCGCATTGCTGCATACTACGATGCCTTTACGTATCGTCGACTCTCGTTTGCTCTGTGGTTTTACCTTTGTTCTACTCTGTTCACTCCATGATATGGCATCGCATCTCAACATCGCTCTAGCTTTGAGCTTGCGCGAAGACTCGGAGGCGTCCGGACTTCCTTGAGGTGATGAACGGCGAGTGCATCATTCATGGCGACGTGCGGGCCAGTGATGGGTTATGTCCTCTCGCTGAATGGGATCACAACGTACTAGAAATCCAGTTAGCGCGATGTCGATGTCCTATCATGTATGCTCCTGCCTCTCGCATTTGGCGCGCGCTCGCGCTCCTATGGATGGGGCTCTTCAGTAACACGACGGACCACTTACTCCTTCTACGGATGGCTCATCAGGTTTCTGATCATGTCACCAAGCTCGCACATACAGCTTGTCTTTTGTGATGGTGCGCGGTGGAACCTGAACGTAGTATCTGATCTCTTTTCTCAACCAGAGTTCACAGAGGGCATCGAATCTGAGCCAAATGCAAAGATGAAATCCGTCCTGTATCGCGCATACGTCCTCTCTGGAAGTGGCGGGTGTATGCTATGCCTCAATATTTCGACTGCGCAAGTACATAAGCGTCTGCGTGAGACCAACACCCACACAAGGTTGTTGGACCAGGTGCGCTCCGTATGACTGCTTCAAAGTGTGTGTGCTCATATTGCGCCTTCGACAAGTCACTTCAGGTCCCGGGTCAGCCACTCTGAACCTACAGCGGCGAGGCCTTCGAAAATTGCAGTGTCTACACAAGACACGACAGAATCCGTACTGCAGATCGGTCAGCCACTTGCAAGGCGGCTTACACGCTAGAACGGAGGTCTACATACTACAAGACGTCATAGAACTTGTACCTCAAATCCGTCAACCGCAAAACCTTCACCGTGGTAGGCAGTTGTGAAGTGGCTGCGGAGGCGAACATCTCCTGTGAGCAGCCTATAAGGACTGGCATTTTCCTTAATCCATCCTCGTGCGTGGTTTCTCAATCCTCGACCACATTTCTATCCCAGCCTACCGTCGCTTTCTCAATTTCGTCTTCGCTGTCTTTACCCACAATGGTCGCCTTCAAGTACTCTGCCGCCCTCGTCACCTTCGGACTCTCGATCTGCACTGGTGTCGGTGCTCGTAATATATGTTGGTGCTCGCAGTGGCCGCCCCTTCCCACAACGTCAACTGACTATTCTTGTCAGTTGCACCCCGTCGCCCTGAATGCGGCGTCGACCCCGCGGCCTCGTCGATCATCACCGTGACTTCGACAGTGACTTCGACAGTGACCGCAACCCCGCGCACACGCCTCGCCAAGCGTACCACCGACGCCATCACGACTATCACCGACACGACTACCACGACTACCACGGCTACCGACACCACCACCACAACCACCACGTCTATCGAGACGTCAGTCACGTCGTCATCCTCTGACTCGGTTATATCCCCGTCGGCCCCGTTGGGCAACCCGTACTTCAGGCCTCATTCGACCAGAACCCCTCGCTCGACGGAGACGGCGAGCTCGACGGGATCCCTGCCGTCGAGCGTATCGAGCAGCGCTTCCAGCGATGCAAGCAGCGCATCGAGCGCGCTCAGCAGTGCATCGAGTGTCGCCAGCAGTGCATCGAGCGTCGCGAGCAGTACATCAACGGGCGATCTCAGTACAACTTCGTGCGTCTAGTATGGAGTGCGAGAGGATTTACTGGGACATGGGCGTCTCGAATACTTGGTTTTGGGTGATCATGCGGATGTTGCACATATTGTTATTAGCCACAGATATCCAAACGTTGGCGCATGCTGTATTTACGCGTTGGCATTCACCCTACGTATCCTTATGACTCTGCATAAAGGGAATTGGAAGTGGGAGCATCTACTGGGGCGGAGGCTCGGTGCGGCCCGGCCGTACGCGATGCCGCCGAGGTCGCCGATTGTGTAGACTGTGCTCGTCCCCGACAGTCTCCTGCCTGTGTACGTGTACTTGCTTGCGGCTTGTCCGGGCTGTGATGTTACGCGGCGCTCTCCGCACGCCTGCTGTTTCCCTCCAAACCCCACTCTGGTACCCAAGTCCCGCTCGGAGTACCCTACGTTATCTGAGACCTACTTCGCGGCATTATTCCACGCCAACGCAGACTCCGGAGAACAAACGAGAATCATCTCCAGACAACGGGTCGCTCCCGTCTGCAGAACCGTCATATAGGGAGGATGCTACCGCTACCGGTGGAGAACCCATAGCCATGCCCCCACCCCCTTCTGGATCCCCTTCCTCATCGTCCGAGACAGGATCAAGCAAGAATGGGAGTGCAGGCAGCACGGAACAGCCCAATAGCATCCAAGACCGTATGCGGGAGTTGAGTACGGGTGCGCTAAAGGAGATGCGCGTGCGCGGGGACGAGTTCACCGCGAGGGTGGCGAGGACGTTCTCAAAGCTCGGCGCAGAGCTCAACCGCGTGACAGGCTACGAGGAGATCGAGCAGCTGAAGCGCAAGGTGGTCGAACAAGGTGTGCAGGCCTCTAGTCTCGTCTCTGTGCTGCCCCGTCACCAACGTCCTCACTGCGTCAACCCGCTTTTCTCCGCATCCTGCCAGAATCCCGGATACATCACGCGCGTGAGGCGGCGCGCGCCGCAAAGGAGGCGTACGACAGCGCCGTCCTCCAGCGGGCCAAGTCGCAACGCGAAGTGAACGATCTCCTGCAGCGCAAGTCGCACTGGACGGACGAGGACGTGTCGCGCTTCACGACGCTCGTCCGCGAGGACCACGCGCGCGAGCACGACGAGGCGCGCGCCAAGGCCGCCGCATACGCCGCCGAGGACGCGGTCGAGCGCGAGTTCTCCGCGCTCATGCGCGTCATCCTCAACCGCTACCACGAGGAGCAGGCGTGGTCGGACAAGATCCGGAGCGCGTCGACGTACGGGCAGCTCGCCGCGCTCGCGCTCAACCTCGCCGTGTTCGTGCTCGCGATCGTGCTCGTCGAGCCGTGGAAGCGCCGCCGGCTCGCGCAGACGTTCGAGCGCAAGGTGGAGGAGATGGGCGCGCGCACGGAGCAGGCGTTCGAGGACAAGACGTCGGAGCTGAAGGGCAGGATGGACGAGCAGGCGAGGGTGCTCGCGGCCGTGCTGGAGACCGTGCACCTCGCGAACCAGGTCGACGTCGGCGAGCTCGTTGCGCTGCAGCGTGGAGTCGGGTTGGGGCCAGCAGACGACAACGAGGAGGCACAGCCGGCACTATCGCACCCGCACGGAGAGCGAATATCTGGGGCGCTGCCGAAACCTCGGACAGATGGGGAGATGGTACTGGTCATGACGGCAAGTGCTGCCGCAGCGGGGCTGTTCGGCTGGCTAGCGCGTAGTTGGTTTGGATGATGCTGCTACCGGTGTAGAGCGACATGCGTAATAGATCAGGTTCGTAGCATCCTCTTGGTTTCGTACTGCTCAAAGGTCGCGGCGTTGGTGCGAGCGTTCAATCCAGCATACTCTGGGCGGCGACAAGTGCGAACAGACGGCCAGACAAGCGATATTGACCCTGTAACGCAAACTTTCGCAAGATGGCATGGCGAGGGCTTCTCCCATCAGCTTCCTTGTCGCCATACTGCGGCATCTCCCTAGGGCGGGACAGCGACTGCCTATATTGTGAAACCTTCTCGCAGTCTGGCAGCAGTCCGTCAGTCCAGACAGATTTTTGTTGTCTCCAAGCCGTCATCTCTGATAGGAATGCGCGTTCTCTGCTCACAGAAGGCACCAACCCAAGTGGCCTTGATATTCTCCTCATCACGCAGCGCGAGAAGGCGTCGTTCACTATGGATCGCCGGTTCACCTCAATCATCTCGTATCAGCCGCCCTGCAGCTACCTCAGGAGAGAGAACGCTCGAGATCCTCAGGAAGCACAACTACGTGATGCAATAGCAGCAACTCCCGCGGGCTGTCACCGTCTGTCTCGCTTGCCAACACGGCATGTCAGCAATCTACGAAGCCAGACCAATCCCTAGGACGCTGGTGAGAACGACGGAGAAAGTTCAGCTGCTATTCGACAGCCCCCGCCGCCGTTCATATGATCGTCGCCTTGCCTTTGCGTCTTCTGTGCGTCATCCTGTCAGCCACTTTCATTCTCAAGGCGATGGGCGTAGCATGCGTTGCGTATGCTTTACCCCTTGACCTTCGTGGCGTTCGGGTGCGTGCCGAATCTCCTGAGATCGCCGGCTATATTGTACGCCCATCCTGTCATTGGCCGTGGTTCGCGGGATAGGGCTATGATCTGCTAGGTTCGACGGGTTCATACTTCCGAACAAGGCACGGATTCTCGGACAGCCCCGCCTCATCAGCATGCGGGGCAATGTGGGTCTGGAGGGAGCTTCGCGGTACGGCAGAGATGCCCTTGCAACGCTTTGAATCCCCACGATGTGCCTTTTGATGGAATCTCCCCCTTGAGGCCCTTGTTCAGTGTCTTGCACAATATCTCCCAGCCTGCGGTTCCTGTTGTGCTGACCTATTTCATTGTTCCGTACCAAAGAGGGAACTCCGACTGCAGTCGCAAGTTCGAGAAGACACCCTACATCGACCGTATCAACGAATGATGGCGTACTCAGCGTCCTGCTGCAACGGTGTGTATTTTCTCTCGCCGGACGGTGCGTCGGATCGCGGTTATTCAATTGACGTTGCCCTGCTGACCCGGGCTCCGTGTGAATCTCTCAGGAGAATTTGAGCGGAACAACGATTGCGGGATTTCAGGACGGATGGTTCTTTGCTCGGTATTGGTATGGGACTCAGCTGCTTGAAGTCGACGATTCGCAACGGCCAGCGGACAGTAAGACACTTTGCAGCGAACTCGGGGATTACGGCAGGGGTGCGTTGTTATCGGGGTAGCCACGGCAGCTTGAGAATCGCTTCCTTACCAGGCGCCCCGGCCTCTGGAGCTGCTCTCCCTGCCGTGTGGATCTGAGGTCGTTGTGGCCCCTTGGCAGTACAAGCACATTATCGACGCTCAATGTCACCAACCGTACGTTGACAGGGGGGACGGCATGTGGAAGCAATGTTCTGCATTGTGATTTCCACTTGTCAGGCAATATCTCCTGCTAACGGCCACTCCACGATACGCGGGCGGTTATAGAAGCCTTGCCTAGGCGTCCAGGAAGCCCTAAGACCGCATGTGCCGCAAACGGCGCCACGCCCCGGATTCCTGCAATTTTATTACGCAGCTCTGGGTGGGATCCACGGGGACGTGCTGACATCCCGCAGCGTAACCTTGCGTGGCATTGCAGCGTGTGCCTGCCAGGTGCTTCCCCTCTCGGAACTTCATGCACTATGCGTGGAGCGGTCCCGAAAGAGGTGAGCTCTCCCTGCGCAACTAGGCCTTCATGATTTGCTGAGTTCGAACCCGATGCAGATTGGGTTCTCGCCTTCTTGTACTCGCGCTCCCATCTCGCTCTGCCTTTTGGTAGCCTTCACCCTTCGCACACCGTAGCATCGGTGAGGGAATCATCAGATGACGGAACGGTGCGAGTGAATCAAGTGTTGTAACAGGTGCGTCTCTGCATTGCTTCTTGTCAGAGTCCAGCCTGTGGAAGCTGATGAAGCGATTGACGATTGACCGGGATGGGTGTAGAGCGAACTTTATCAGCGCAGCTCGTCGACTTATAAGTACTGCTACGTCGCAGCGCACCCGGTACCTCCAGAGCGAAGCGCAACTCCAAGAATACGGCCCTCAACCATGGCAAGTGATCCTTCTCAGCCGCCCGTTTCGAGCGAGACGCTCCTTCGGTCAGTCTATTTTTCCTTCTGTTTCCGGTTCAACGCCGTGTCTGACGAAGAGACCCTTACTAGTATCGGTCCCATCGTGCGTGTCTCCCGGTTCTCCTCTTTCAGTGGGAGCGAGAGAGACCTGAGCCCCTTGAGTCTAGCTTATCGGCGCCCTGCTCTCATGGATGCTCTTCGGCATTTCGATCGTTCAGCTCTGTACGTATCCGTCCACATATCGTGGCATCCTTCATTCCATGTGAACGCCCCCTGGGACGTTTACTGACTAAGTTGCTTCATTTCAGATATCTACCATGTGTCATTCCCCCGCGAGCGCTGGGCCATCTGGGCGTCAGTGTACATCATCTTTGCGCTCGATATCTTCCAGAGCATTGTCGTCGCCAACGAGGCGTGGGAGACGCTCTGCTCGGGCTGGGGGCGTCCTATCAACCTCCAGTTTCCGGGGTGGACATTCACCGCCTTGCCCATCGTGTCCAGCATCAGTGCGTGGCCGTACATGGTCAAAATGGGAGTAGTGACAGCTTATTGCATCCTTTGCCCCGCGTAGTCTCCGTTTGGGTACAGGCATTCTACGCCTGGAGGATACACCAGCTCGGCAAGTGGAGAGTAGTTCCCGTCATTATCATTATTGTCAGTGAGCCTCAGGGCGTTACATTGACCGTTACGATTTCTAACACTCCGTCTGATAGACTTCGCTTGCACAAGCGGGTGGGGCGTGTGCCATTGCGATCTCGGTGCATATCAGCCCCCCGCTGTTCTTCAGATGACGGTCGCTGATTATCATGTCGCGCAGTTCATCTGGCTCAAGAATATCGAGCGCCTGCATGACACGAACATGTTCGCTCGGACAATCGTATGTGCATATGCCCATTGATGTCAGATATCCGCCAACTAGTGTGCATGGTTAGGTGTGGCTGGGCGGCAGTGCCTTCACCGATGTGGTATGCATCATTACTTCGTCACCGTTGCTTAGAAGCTGACAGACAGGCTGCAGACCATCATGACGTCCATGTGCTACCTAGTGCGTCTACCCTCGTGCACGTCAGTCATACTCAGTCAACTATCATTGACCGCCGTCTCTTTTCAGCTTTACAGAGTGAAGAGGCAGTCGATGGCGTTTGAGCGGAGCGAGTTTGTCGTCAGACGTCTTATCAAACTGACGGTGGAGACCGGCTGTGCCTGCGCTCTTTCGGCAGTCCTGGAGCTTGCCTTCTTCCTCGGCATGCCTGAGACCAACATACATTTGATTGTGTAAGTACGCCACGTGCTCCTAGATCCTCTCTGAGCTTTCTGACACCCTCTCTGTTAGCGCGCTGATCCTGAGCAAAGGTGTGCAAGAATGTGACCGGCCGTCCTACCTGCGTTTCTGTCTAACCAAGCTCGATCTGAAGTTTACTCAAACACGCTGATGACGTCGCTCAATTCCCGTGCCAACATCTCTGGAAACAAGAGTCAGTACAGCACATCGACGACGATGGGTTTCAGGAATGTAGGCACGTTTGCCGACGCAGACGATACGTCTCGAGGTGTTGCTATCAGCATTTCACGCGTTACGGACTCCGGAACGGCTGCGTCAGGTACTGCCACCGACGATAAGTTCTCAAGGGTGCGTCAATCTATCCAGTGGAGCTGGTCACAATGATTCACCATGCGTAAGCAGAGTTGGGACGTTGAGATGAACGATGTACCCCCACCCTCCAAGGACGATCGATTGGCCCCCTCCCTCGGTGACACCACCTGGCATAAAGGGCTCTAGGTATCGACGGAGGACTTGCTCATCTAGCAAGCATCGCTCGTTGGTGAGGTGGTTACTTCCTTGGGCATCAGTAATATTTATCTTTGGCTCTGATCGGTCATCTACGGATCTGTTCAGCTGTAGTATGTAGGATAAGCTTTGTTGTAGGTTTCTCTGCAGGCACCGATCTCGACTGATCAATAGCATCAGAAGAATCTGCACAATTCTGAAAACGCAAGCAAGACCTTTCAGAGCTCTCGGAACTGCTCTGTAAGGGAATTTCGGGCGCTTATGCACCGCCACTGAATAGCGCGCAAGGCTTGACAGAACTTATGCGACACGTCGGATCGTACTACCCACGCTGGTTGCACAGAATCGCCATACGTCGCCATAGCTCTTATAAACGATTTCGAGATAGCAGGGAGTGTCCCGCTCAAATTTGGAAAGAACCAAAGCACGAGCGCTGCGGGGTGCCGACCGCAATTGGCGGAGCGCGCCATTTTTGAGAGTTCAGCACTCAGAGATCGTCAGCTCCACTGATGCTACGTCGCTTCAGATCGTCGGCGGAGGACTGCCTAGGACCGCCAGCATGATGCGAGGTGATGATTGAGCCGCTCACTTGCCCTTCGCGCAGATAGCCGTGGAGACCGCCGGTGGGCCTTTTAGCGTCTGATGGTGATGCCTGATATGGAGTCGCAGCGAGGTCGATCGCTCCGGAGTTAGCATCCGCCCTCCGTGATTGGCTTATGATCAAGCTCTGTGCAACGCGCGCCCCTCGTCTTTGTTGCGACATGCAGCTCGTCCCAGGGACGGTGTCCAAGCAATTTATATGGGCGTACCTGCGCCCCGCAGTGAATACCACTACCTCTGCTCCCTCACAATCTTGTCACAGACCACTCCAGCACATGGTAGGGATCTGTGTTGCCGGGCCACATCCCGAAGAAATCGTCTCCACCGATCTCTTTTCGCAACCTGGCCTTCACCTCTACCTTCGCGCCAGCCTCGGCAAAGACTCCTTCCCATAGCTCTCTCCAACTCTCTGGTGAGTGGCATTCCATCGACCAACCGTCGAGGCCCGGCGTCCATAGGCGCTGAATGGTGGTTCCGCCCTGGACGCCGAAAAGCACTGAACCCGGAAGCGGGGAAAGCAGACCGGCGAGAAGCTGCGCGATGTGGTGCTGCTGGGGGTAGGAAAATAGATGGAAGAACGCGCCGGCAAAGATCGCTGAGACGTGCCCATGAAGCCCGTTCAGTGATGTTAGGGAAGAGAGAGACGGACGGGTCTGGGCAGGGGAGGAGGACGTAGGGAGAGGCGCAACAGGAGAGAGGAATGCGGGGTCTAGGATGTCGCCTTCGAGGAAGTGCGCGGGAAAGGTGGCGGGAGTCGACCGGAACATCTCGTGCCCAAGACTCCAGAAGTCCTTGTTCAAGTCGCATGCGACTATGTTTTGTGCGGGGAAGCCGTCCAGAGCTGCTTTACGGACATCGTTCCCAACTTTCGACAGCTTCAGCAGACGAAAAATCGTGCAAAGTGAGCCCACACTCACAACAGCAGCCCATATCAAGGAGCACTGCGTCTGGTCGTTCCCTTCCTAATCTCAACAGATCGGGGTAGGCTGGCAAACGCGCCATTTTCAGTCGCATGAACTCGAAGATGCGAATATAGGGATACTGGTATCTCTAATGGACTATCGTATATCAGAGTGCTGTATATGCTGAACGGCTCTACGGCTACCTTGAATGCCTTCGCCTGGACCGAGATGACATGTTGTTTGAGCTCCCGATCACCGTCGATGCCAGTCACGGCTTTCATGAATTTTGTTTCCTCCTCGTCTGGGTCATACAACGAGTCGTCCAGAGGGTGGTCAGACGTTTCCGCCATGAGCGTGTCGACTGCGTGCCAGTTGCCTCGAGAGCGCGAAGTCTGGTGGAGCACAACTTCGTGTAGTGCGCGACATGCACAGTACGCACTCGAAGGGTATATAGCTATCTCAGGCCCATCTGAGGTAAGAATGACACATCGGACGCGTCGATGGCTCTGATATACCGGGGTGCGTGTGGCCAGCCCATGGCATATCATACGAGCGAGGCGCACAGCATGGCGCCCTATGTCCCCAGCTCTCACACGGCGGATCACGGAGAAGGCCACCGGAGCTTTACAGAAGGACAGACTAGGCACCATTCACCAATGCATTCGAAACGATGTTTATACACCTATGAAGGCATGCGCGGTGCAACGGGCTCAGAACATACCTTTGGAACACCGGAGGAGGTCAGCATCTCTTGTAAGAGCCGAGGGTGGCTCTTGGAACGGCGATTCTGAGCGGTTGCACATGTTGCGCACGAAGAAGCAGCACGAGGGAAGAAGTCAACGCGACTGATCAGAACAGTCGGTTGGCTGTACCTGCCTATCTCGGTGTGACCATAGTTGATTTCTGTCGGAACACACGATGTAAAGAAAAACACGAAGAGTAAATTTATCAAGGGTTGCTCAACGGATGGAGAATTACTCGATGGGAGAAGTTTGCCTTAGGACAGCAAGACAACTTACAGCATGTCGCATCACTGACTTCCGGGTCTCTTCAATTCTGGCTACTGTGCGAGGTTGTTGCGTAGCTGAGGTACTGAGTCGTCAGCGGGCTTATCGGCCTACGCATGTCCGACTACTAGGCGCTTTCCACGATTCCGCGACGAAGTGCAAACTCTTGCTGAGGTCGGAGAGACAGATGAAGCATGACAGCCATCAGCGAAGAAGTTGAACTAGCAAGAACGGGGCTCGCTATGTATGTCGTATGGGAGCGTCGGTGCATCAGTTGAGCCGGCACATGCCGGCGGCATGCGAATGCGCGCCTGGAGATTGTTTGTCTTAGTTTGGAGGTTTGTTTACCTGCGAGGGCTCTGCCGACCCCAAGTTGCCACCGATCACCATCATGCGCCAAATGCTAGCTATTCTGCAAGAGGCAAGGTAGCGTCGCAGTATAGGCGTCGAGGGTATGGCTTATACTGGATCCAGAGCAACTGGCTCGCATACGCAGGGTCTTTCACTTCCGACTGATGCCGCGATACGGCATGGCTTCTGCCGCTAAACTGTTGTCTTCCGCTTCGCACGGGCTGGCAGCCAGCAGGGCCATCGGTCCTGACTTACGTACCAACCCCACCTTCTCTGGCCATGTTCGTCCGGTATTCCGGATGGACACCCCAGGGTCAGGCCACCCCCGCCTATTCGCGTCGTCTGAACGAGTTAGATCGCTCCTGCGGTCTAGTCGGTGAGTTGTGGCTTGCGCGTTCATCATTGTGCCTCGCGATAGTCTCACACACTGTGGACAGGTCTCAAGGAGTGCCTTACGTTGTTACATCGGCCTACACTGCGCCAACACGTCCAAGGTTAGGTGGCGGTAGTGTCCAAATTTCTGTCTCTCGCGTCACGACCCAGATCAAGCCGGGCCGGCAACTTCACGCTTATAATTAGCCCTCGACACAACTTGTATGGGTTTGAAGGCGCAGCACAGTGTGGTGGCGTCTCTATACTTATAGGCAGGACTTCCCCACTGCAGTTAGTCAAGTGTACGTCGGCAACCTGGGCTATTCCCGCAGTCCGTGGCCGCAAAGAGTCTCAATCTTCGAGCTCGCCGCAGTCCACCGCAATGTTCTCTTCACCTCTTCTTTGCCTTTACGTGTTCTGTATCACGCATGTACTCGGTGCCATCTTCGAAAGCCCGACACCAGAAATTCTCAACAGCAAGTATGACATCATCATCATTGGTGGTACGCCTCACGCTAGTCGTTGTTTCGCATGGTCGACAAAACCGCTGATGTCACCTATCCACCGAAGCGGGTGCTGGAGGTGCGGTAATGGCCAACCGGCTTACTGAGGACAACAGTACAAAGGTTCTGCTCATTGAGGCGGGCGGAAGGTCAGTCGAAGAACTCCAGGACGATGTTCACCAGCTCACAATCAGATGCAGTGATTTCATGAACACCAATATCTTGGCCCCTGGTCTTGCCACCAGTCTGTCGCGGTCAAAATTTGTATGTTTATGCACCCGTGCTCGCGTGTGGCATCTAGAATCTATTGTTCTAGGATTGGAATTTCACGACGACCCCTCAAGTCGGTCTCAACAATCGTTCCGTACAGTACCCGCGAGGATTCGTTCTAGGTGGTTCGACAGCTATCAGTGAGTGGGAGCGAGAGCGATCTTCATGCTTGCTAAAATCGGGTACGATAGATCTAATGATATACAGTCGGGGTACGATTGACGACTTCAATCGTGTCGCGAACGTCTCTGGGGATGAGGGATGGTCCTGGAATGAGATGCTTCCGTTCATCTTCAAGGTTCGTTTTCTGCATCCTCTTCTACTGCTTCAACGCCCCAACGTATGCGAGTGCTTCTGTAGGTCGATAACATGACCACTCCTACAGACGGGCACAACACCACCGGCCAGTTCAATCCAGCGTTGCATAACACTGACGGTAAGTTTCTGTCCCAGGTGGTCAGCTGCCTTTCTGACAAATAATATCAGGCGTAGTAGATATCAGCGTTCCGGGGGTATCCCTGGATATTGATGCGCGTGGACTCAATGCGTCTCAGGAGTTACCAGATGAATTTCCATTCAATCTCGACTACAACTCCGGAAACACGACTGGTTTCAGTGAGTCGCCCCTGTTTTTGCCCTTAGAACGTCCGTATGCTTATCGCAATAGGTTGGACACAGGCAACTGTATGTGTCAGTGGTCAGGAGTCTTTGCAAAAATCTGATTACGAGCCTAGATCCATGATGGTCGGAGAACTACCTCGGCTACGTCCTACCTCGCGGAAGCATTCAACCGAACTAACCTTGATATCCTCGTCAACACTCGCGTCACGAAGATCGCGCCCGTTGGAGAGGTCAACGGAGTCCCTGACTTGCGTAGTGTTCAGTTCGCGCAATCTGCCAATGGTCAGCCTACACAACTCGTTACCTACCCTTACTGACATAATGGACACGCTTTAGGTACTCTGTACACCCTCGAGGCCGCCGAGGAGGTTATTCTCTCTGCTGGCGCAGTGCAGTCCCCTCACATTCGTGAGTCTCTCCATAGTATCAATAGATTGCCTTCCTGACAGCAATTCGCCACAGTGATGCTATCGGGTATCGGCAACAAGGACCACATCTCCTCTTTTGGAATCAAGACACTCGTCGACTTGCCTGCAGTTGGCACTAACATGCAGGACCACGTCTTCCTCGGCAACTCCTGGCTGGTCAATTCAAACTTCACCCTGGACGACCTTCACCGAAACGCCACGCTCTCCGCTGAGCAATTGCAGATTTGGGAAGTCAACGGCACAGGTCTGATTGGTCTTCCTCCGACGAACCAATTCGCCTGGCTCCGAGTGGACCCTTCCGTGTTCCAGAGCCTGAACGCAACGGATCCGAGTGCCGGGACGACGTCCGCGAACTTCGAGATGATCATCAGTGTATGTGCCTTACAGCTCGTAGAACTTACGAGGCGGTTGCTGATAGACTCGCGCCCGGACAGGATAACTTCGCCTCCAAGCGCGTCGCGCTTCCAGCTGAAGGACGTTTCCTCACCTTTGTGACCAACGTCGTCTCGCCCAGCTCTCGTGAGCCGTCATTTCCCTTAAGTTCTCTCTCATTATGTACTAGTATTAATTGACGTTCCTCGCACACTCTTAGGCGGTAATATCTCTTTGGCATCAGCGAACCCCTTCGACGCGCCTCTCATTAACCCTAACCTCCTTGGAACGGACGTGGACGTTGCAATTATGCGCTCCGCGATCAAGGCTGCGCGTGCGTTTGCCGCTGCCCCTGCGTGGTCTGACTACATCATCAGCGAGTTCGGCGCATTCGCAAACGCAACTACAGACGAGGAACTGGACGCGTACATCCGGGATAATGCGGACACTGTGGACCATCCTGTCGGGACGGTGCCGATGGGTAAGGGGTGTGAGGGGGCGCTCAACGCAGATCTAACTGTAAAGGGCACTGCGGGGTTGAGGGTTATCGACGCGTCTGCCTTCGTGAGCAAATCTATCATTCAGTCAGGTCCGCCCAGGCGCGGTTTACTGATGGATCTGATGTGATTGGTAGCCGTTCGTCCCTTCGGGGCATACGCAAGGTCCCACTTACATCTTGGCGGAACGGGCTGCAGAGCTCGTCAAGGCAAGTCTGGGACAGCAGGAGCGTAGTAGGCATCACCGCGGTGGTAACAAGTACTGAGGCCTCTTGCATGTCGTTCATTTTGAGCATGCCGTCATCTTGAAGACGTGGGTAGTTGGCTCCACATGTCGACAGGAAAAGTATCACCAATTGCGTCCTGTATAGTCATCATGAGAAACTTGTATACACGACCGCTCCAAAGCCAAGGATGACGAGGCGCTTACCTGCTCGAGAAAGTTCGTGACCGCAGCGCAATCTAAAGGGGGTGCGGACGCTTACACGCCAAATGATAATCAAGTACTGTCGGTGTCCGTGCAGAGCGGCGCGGAGGGACATGACAGGGCTTCGGATCTAGGCCGCTGCTTCAGACGAGGTACAGTAGTTCAATTACCGTGCTTGCACAGCCACGCTACGGGGCGCTGTCATAGTCTGAGCTCCGTCTTCTGCCATCCTTCGTCATATCCCAGGAGTACGTACATACTGTAGCACAACGAGGAACGCGGCGCCCTGCAGCGGAATGCCTTGTGCCATGCTAACTCTGCCATTACCGTCTGTTCTTGCCGATGTCCTGCCGATTATGGGCGCGGCGATGTGTTGCTGAGCTGAACGTCGCTCCCAAACATAGAAGGCTGCCGTTCATCACCTTCTATTTCCCATACGGGTATGGCACTGGGAGAATTACAGCATCCCCGCTATTACCGTCACCAGGGGGTGTCGGTCATGTGCCGTCTGTGGCCTCGGAGGGTGGTATGTGAATCTCTCAATGGTGGTAGTGCTTCCGCCGACGCTCAGGATATCTCATCATCAGGCTATCCACCTGGACGCCCGTCGTTCCGCGGGTGTTTCAACACATGCCGAGCAGCAGGTGCAGAAGTCGGCACCCAAGCGCTGAATCTCATTCCTTAATAATGGGTGTCAACTGGTTCGGACGACCTCCTGGGTCCCCCCTCGCAATACGTCGTTCATACGTCCACAAGGATAGCGATGCTGTACAGAAGCGGCTTTCTTGTGCTCGCCTTGGGCGCCACGCGTGTCCTGGGAGCTTTGTTTCAGGGACCAACAGAAGAAGTCCTGAAAGGGAGTTATGACGTTATTGTCGTAGGAGGTGCGCTATGGGTTCTTGAGCTACCGCGCGGAGACGACCTGACAGGTTTGTGAGACAGGCGGTGCGGGGGGCGGGGCCATGGCCTCGCGTTTGTCGGAGGACCCCGATATCCGAGTATTACTCATCGAAGCGGGGAGCTCGTAAGTAATGAAGCTCCTACAGAAGCATACATCCACTAATTTCGGTTGAATGTATGCACATAGCGATATTACAAACCTCAACAGCACAGTCCCTGGACTCGCGAATAATCTCGTCATGTCTGCTTTTGTAGGTTTTGACATATCGCATACACAACTTCAGGCTGAGCCCGTACCTCCACAGGACTGGAATTTCACCACTACACCTCAAGCAGGGTACAACGGACGCTCCATTGACTACCCGCGAGGCTTTGTGTTGGGCGGATCCACCGCTATCAGTATGTCGCTCCTAGGTTGTTTGAGCGTGAGTTCGGTGAAACTCATACTGAAACGCAGACCAGATGTTATTCTGCAGAGGTACCGTTGATGACTACGACCGCTGGGCAAGAGTGACCGGGGACGAGGGATGGTCTTGGAAGTCACTCGCCCCCTTCATCTTCGCTGTGGACCATATGACCCCACCAGTCGACCATCATAATACAACTGGAGAATTTAACCCAGTCCTTCATAAGAATGGTAAGTCTCCGGGAATGTTACTCGTGCCCCGCTTGACCGGTCATCACAGGCCCTGTCTCTATCAGCGTGGACAGCTTGATCTTAGATACAAACACGCGTGTCCTAGAGACAACTCAACAGCTCCCTGACCTGTTTCCGTTCAACTTAGACTACAATTCTGGAACTAGCGTTGGCGTCGGTAAGTGCTCCTTGATTACAGATCACCGATTTTGTTTAAACGCCTGCTTTTGTAGCTTGGAAGCAAAACGCCGTATGTTACACTGCCGAACTTCACGACTAGCTAGCTAATCGGACCACCAGATCCTTAATGGTCACCGAGTAACTTCGGCCACCTCGTACCTTGCACAAGCCATGAATCGCAAAAATCTCGATGTTGTGGTCAATACTCGTGTAACAAAGGTGTTCCCAGTAGGAACAGAGGATGGGAAGCCAGTGTTCCGAGGGGTTGAGTTTGCTCAGACAGCTGACGGTAGCTACTCTTTCTACCTGAATGCGCTTACAGCCACTCAAAGACCCACTCAGGACCCCGCCATACCCTGAAGGCGACTCAGGAGGTCATTCTGTCCGCAGGATCACTCAAGACGCCACACATCCGTGAGTGGATTCCTTCATCGACCACATGCATGTTCAGTTGAACTAAGCTTCCACTAGTGATGCTTTCTGGCATAGGTGACTCCGCACACCTGTCATCATTCGGGATCAAAACCATCGTCGATCTTCCTGGCGTTGGGCAGAATCTTCACGTACGGTCTCTCATTCCCATTGGTCTCGCTTGTCTTACAGGGGACGCAGGACCATGCTTTCCTAGGCAATAGTTGGACGGTGAACTCGACCAACACGCTCGACGACCTGCAACGCAATGCCACCGCCGCCGCAGAGGCGCTTGCGCTCTGGAAGGCCAATGCAACAGGTCCGCTCAGTGTGGCAGCAGGCTCCAGCCAATTTGGATTTGTACGCATCCCGAACGCTACCGCGTTCTTCCAGCAATTCGGCGTGGAGGATCCCAGTGCCGGCCCTACCTCCGGGCACATCGAGCACATTCCTACTGTAAGCTGTGCTATCGTATTGCCCTCACTGTGTGCGCTAGAGCTAATGCGAACTCGATGAACAAGAACTCGTATGTCTCGACCACGGTCCCCATCCCAGCTGAAGGGCACTTTTTCGCCATCATCACTGCCGTAATCTCACCTACTGCTCGTGCGCACTTTCCTCATCCCATGACGTCACGCGCTCACCCATAGGATGTCTGTCAAGGGGGTAACGTCACGTTGAGATCTAGCGACCCCTTCGATGCCCCACTAATCAACCCGGCCCTCCTTGGGAACGACGTCGACCTCGCGATCATGCGCGAGGGCGTCAAAGCCGCGCGTGCGTTCGTCAAGGCTCCCGCCTGGTCGGGCTACATCATCAGCGAGTTTGGGGAATTCGGGAACGCGACGACGGAGGACGCGCTCAATGAGTACATCCGCAACAACTCTGCCACTGTCGACCACCCGGTGGGCTCAGTCGCGATGGGCAAGGACGAGCCTGCGCCGCTTACGCCTGATTTGAAGGTCAGGGGGACGGTGGGCCTGCGGGTGGTCGACGCGTCTGCATTCGTGAGTTCAACTGAGATATTCGCCCTCCAAACGCGCGAGTGCTGACTACGGGATTGTTGGTGTAGCCTTTCATCCCGTCGGGACATACCCAGGGCCCGACCTACATCCTTGCCGAGCGTGCGGCGCACCTCGTTCGGGCCGATCTGAAGAAGTGATGTTGGACGCTGTTCGATCGTGTAATGTATATTGTGCGATCCGATAGATGATGATTTGCATCGCGAGCCCCGTTTGGGTCTACCGACATGGTGCTATGCAACTGGCGTTTCGTAAGAACAATATCTCGATCTGACGGAAACATCCCGGCTGTGATCCCACACATTACGACAGGCACGAGGTACTGACATATGTGGCATGCATTAACGTTGAGCACGAGAGTTATTGTTCCAATCGCAGCCAGTCGATGCTTCGACCGACTGCACTCGGTTGTAGCAGCGTGATCCGATCCCTACGTGGCGCGTTGTGTAGAACGAGTTGCGATTTGACGTACGAGGCGGCTTGGGGAAGAGAGACAGTTGGGGCTAGCTCTGCGGTGGTGGCGGGAAGGGATGCAGACGGAAGCGCTGATTGCGGCATTCGCGGCCGGGTGACGTCTGGATTCTGGATGTGAGAGTCGAGACGCGCCGGCGCGTAGCAACTTGCCCTCGTCCTGTTTACGTCTGCAGGCTCAGATCCCTCTTCCTCGTCGCCATTCCCCCACGCTCCCACCGCCATGGCCAGTGGCGCACATTATTCGTCCGAGCCGGAGCAGGACGACGTCGGGTTCAGCACAGTGGGAACAACGCCGACACCCAGTGCAGTCCAGGGTTCCAGAGGGCCGCTGTACCGTACCGTGAGCCACAGCTCTCAGTGGTCCGTCCCCGAGACCCCCTCCCATCACCTCCAGGGTACGTCCTACTTCACACAGCGCCCCGCATCGCCCACCCCACGCCGCGTGCACTCCGCGAACCCCAGTGCTGCCGGCAGGAACGTATCCATTAGCTCGACCACCAGGCGGAGAGGCGCGCGCAGCACGAGCGTCACAAGTTCGCATGCCACGACGAGAGGGTACAACGATGACGGGCAGCCCCTCAACGAGGAGAACGAGGATGTGTCGGGCTCTGCTGATGAGCACGAGGACTCGTCAGGCGAGGGCACTCCGCAAGCGGGTGACGGACGCGCGGCCGATGACGATGAGGACGAGGACCGCGAGGAGGACCCGATAACGCTCAGGGACAGGCAGTCGCTCATCAATGTCGAGCATCCCTTCGGTCTGCCCATCTGGAAGCCGGCGTTGTACAAGAAGCAACGTTCCGTGACCAAATACGCCGACCAGGCGCTGCATTCGATACCTAGTGCTCAGGCGGAGCGCCATCTCCTGCCAGGCAACATCTTCTGGCTTGTCGCGTTTGGGTGGTGGCTCGCTGTCAGCTTCTTCGCCGTCTCAGCTTTTCTCTACCTTATTCCCAAAGGCGGCCGACGCTTCTCGACCCTCATATTCGGTCTCGGATGGTACATTGCATGGCCCTTCGGGAAGTACGTAGAGGGCGAGCTCGGCGCCCTCCCTGATGATGAGGAACAAGGTATCCCCCCCGGCTCTGCTGCGACAGAGCAGTTCTCTTTCCCCGAGAATGTCCATGCGGCGGGGAGTTCCCAGAATTCTGCCTCTGCACAATCGACAATAACGCCTAGGACTGGCATCATCCATGAGCCCAGCTCAGAGTCTTGGGCTGCAGTACCGACCGCGACGACATCTCTTCTCGGGCGTTCGAATGGCAATTCTTCTCGTCCTTCTGTTCGTCCAGCAAAGTCATACGGCGCCACTGTCTCCGGTGCCTATGGCGTTGATATCTCCGCGGACAAGGAGGCAGAGTACTGGCTAGGCAAGGCATGCTTCTGGCTCGCGCTCATCACGATCATTGCTCCCCTTCTTCTCCTGGTCTCACTCGTGTGCTGGTTCTTCATATTCACCATCCCCATGGCGAGGCTCAACTGGGCACTCATCAAGCACCTCTACGAGCATCCAACGTCAATCCGCTTCTGTGCAGCGCCGATAATCCCTATAGTCCACGAGGACGAAGTTGTACGTGAGGGTGAGGAAGGCCGAGATGTGGAGGCGACTCCGGTAGCCTTCAAGCATGCCAGGTTGTCCGCCGGCCAAGCCGCCCCGTCCGGCTCACCAACCTCAACCGTCCTTCTGTGTACCTACAGGGCGTGGGGTTGGAAGTACTACAAGTACACGGTCGGTGGTGTCAACATCATCTTCGTCAACCTACTCCCATTCGTATTGTTCGCTATCTTAGACGGCATTGTCCTCCTGCCTCTGGTCGAGCGTCGCGAGCATCAGGGAAAGCACGTTCCTGCCTTCCTTGCCTTCATCACCTCTCGTGCACTCATCTTCGTGATGAGTCTGGCGTCCGTCATCCCGCTTTCGTACTTCATCGGCATGGCCGTCGCGTCTATCTCGGCCCAGTCGTCCATCGGTATGGGTGCAGTCATCAACGCGACTTTCGGTTCCATCATCGAGATCATCCTCTACGGCATCGCCCTCACGCAAAGCAAGGGCCACCTAGTCGAGGGCTCCATCGTTGGTAGTTTGCTCGCCGGTGTGCTCTTGATGCCGGGTATGAGTATGGTCAGCGGTGCGCTGAGGAGGAAGGAGTTGAAGTTTAACGCGAAGAGTGCCGGCGTTACCAGTATGCTGCTCATCATGGCGTTCATCGGTACCATCGCTCCGACCTTGTTCTACCAGACATACGGCAGTGTGAGTAGCTTCGTTCCAAGCACTCCATCTTACCGCTTGCTGAACGGACTCTGACAGTTCGAGCTCATCTGCGACGGATGCTCGTCTCACGACGGATCGTCTTTGACCAAGCCTTGGGTTTGCCAGCACTGCTATTACAAGCACCCTGATCCGGTGGATGACCCCTTCTATCAGTCCACGGTCAAGAGTCTGATGTTCTTCTGTGCTGTTGTGCTCCTTCTCGTAAGTCGCCACATCGTACGTATGACACATAGATGCTGATTTTTGCAACCTCTTCGTAGTCGTACCTTATTGGTCTGTGGTTCTCGCTGCGCACACATGCCAGTCAGATTTGGCAGAACCCTCAGCAGCTCTTGCAATCGCATGAGATCGTCGCTCCGAACAGCCGTCTATCCCTGTACCATCGCCTACTCCCTGGCAAGCACAGCCTGCACCACAAGCCCAGCATTATAACTACACACACAGTCGACAGCGAATTACCGTCGCGGAGCGAGACCCCGGTTCCTCGCATAAACGAGCCCATCACAACCTCCGAAGCACAACCATCGACTGTGCACCCTACTGTGCCTTCTCCTCTCGCCCATACAGGGGTCGCCCGTCGCATCTCGTATGCGAACCCGCCGGCCGTCAACGGTCCAGGATACACTCCCATCATGGAGAGCGTAGACCATGCAATCAAGGACTCAGGCATCCAACCACTTGAGCTACCAGGTAGCCTCACCACGGACGAGTTCACGCGCGCCGTCGCCGTCGCCACCGTGAGCGCGCTAAGGCACCAGAACCAGGCGCGCTCGCCTGCGCGGCTGCGGACGTCGGGCGCGGAGATGGATGCGGGGCATGGAGGGCACGACGCGCCGTCGTGGAGCCGGACGACGAGTGCGAGCGTACTATTGGCTTGTACGGCGCTATATGCGATCATCGCTGGTGAGTTTACCTATCTCGTGGCTTGATGCACTCCTCGACCATGCGAGCTGACTGAATCTGGGTATCGGGGAATGCAGAGATCTTGGTCGATGTCGTCGACGTCATCCTGGAGGGCTCTGGGATTGACGAGAAGTTCCTCGGGGTCACGCTGTTTGCGCTTGTGCCGAACACGACGGAATTCATGAATGCCATCTCGTTCGCTATGAACGGCAACATCGCGCTTAGGTGAGAGCATTTGCTCTTCCAGTGGTTGTGCCCTATTGACATCGCTACCAATCAGTATGGAAATCGGGTCTGCGTACGCGCTCCAGGTCTGCCTGCTCCAGATCCCCGCCATGGTCGCTTTCTCTGCTTGGTACGCCCCGGAGAGGATGGGGTCTGTTGCGGAAACTTTCACGTGAGTGCCCTCTGTTCGCTTGTTGTCGGCTGGCTAACCTTGAGTGCAGGCTGATTTTCCCTCGTTGGGACATCGTCGCGATCATCCTGTCGGTGTTCTTGATGACCTACACCTACATCGAGGCAAAGAGCAACTATCATCGTGGTAGCATCCTCATCCTCTCCTACCTCGTGTTGTTGTCCGGCTTTTACTACGCGCCGAACCGTTCCGACGAGGACGAGTTGATGGCTGGTTGGTTCCAGCCGTTCGCGCAATCACTCGGCTCATTCTTTTCTCCTCGCTGAGCTGAGCAGCTCAGCTTGACCTTAAACATACACACATCCCCATGCCCTCGTTGGGTGATACATATACCATGATTCGTTACCGCGTCACGATCTTCGACTTGCCAAAGTGTTCCCTCTCTTCCAGGATTCGACAACCCCAAACCATACGTTATGCTTTGTCTCCGTACATCCGATGCCGATCCTCGTCTCTCCCTCTCAATAGCTACATAATCGACCGTCTCGCAAGTCGATTGGACAATGCAGTCATGTCGCTCTCACAGCTTCACATCACCTCGTAGTTATGTATCGCCAATGTATCCGGACTAATACTTAGCTTTTCCGCGTACGATCCCTGCCAAGAGGCGCCCCAATGCTTGAGCGCTTGAGTTGTGACGTAAATGTGTGCTCGGCTCAAAAGTCAGCAACTTACTGCGACTTTCACATTGATACGGAAAACGCGTTTTGCGTGAGCCCGGCGCTCCTGGAGACGCCTGATGATCACGGGATGCAAACGCTGGAAACTGTGACACCGTAAATGGGTGTGTGACTCACCAGTTACCGGCAGGCCCAGATTGCCCCAGTGTTTCCGGTGCTCATACCAAAAAGCATTCAAATAAGGTGTTGGTAATCAAAGACATACTCTTTTCGCTAAAATGGTGAATATGGGGCTCTGGTAGAAGTTTGGGAGAAATCCATAGGAGCTACGTGACAGAGTTTGGCTCTCAAAGCGCCCTACAGACGCTGGGCTCGCAAAAACGCGTTTTCCGTATCAATGTGAAAGTCGCAGTAATGCTAAATTTCGGAACCGCACCTTGAGAAGTTGGATCCAGTTAGACTCATACCGTCTAGTTGAAAGAATACGCTTGTCGCTAGCCTTGTTCTGCTGACTCTGCTCTAGTCTCATCACCGTTACACCGTTGAGCACACCCCTCGTCTGTACTTGCTCTCATGGCAGCTGCAGAGGCCTTGGACGTGCGCAATGTTACGACGATTGGCCATGTCGACCATGGTAAGACTACGATGATGGATGCCCTCTTAGCGGCCAACAACATCATCTCGACCCGGATGGCCGGTAAGATCAGATATCTCGACAGCAGAGAGGACGAGCAACAGCGGGGGATCACCATGGAAAGCAGCGCGGTTTCGCTGAGGTTCAAGGTCATGCAGAAGGGTCCTGAAGGAGGTACGTGCGCGATTGCAGTACATGCACGTAATCCCTTTCATGATTGCAGACCCTGTCCCGAAGACCTATGTCGTCAATATGATTGACACCCCTGGACATGTCGACTTCTCGAGTGAGGTCTCGACCGCTTCCCGCTTGTGCGACGGTGCCCTTGTCCTCGTCGATGTAGTTGAGGGTGTCTGCACGCAGGTGAGTGCCTGTATGCAGCTTCGCTTGAAGTGACGACCGCTGTCTGACTGGTCACGCTGCGTAGACAATCACCGTGCTCAGACAGGCATGGCAAGACAGACTCCGACCCATCCTGGTCATTAACAAGTTTGATCGCCTCATCACTGAGCTCAAGTTGTCGCCCATCGAGGCGTACCATCACCTGTCGCAGTTGATTGAGCAGGTCAATGCCGTCATGGGTAGCTTCTTCGCGAGCGAGCGGATGGAGGACGACCTTCGATGGCGGGAAGAGCGTGAACGCCGACTGGCCGCTAAGAAGGAAGCTCATGCGGAAGAAGTTGACGCGACCGTGAACGAAGAAGATGAGTATCAGGAAAAAGATGACGAAGACATCTACTTCGCTCCTGAGCGCGGTAATGTTGTCTTTGCGTCCGCGATTGATGGATGGGGGTTCCGTATCGGCAAATTCGCACATCTGTACGCCGTGAAGCTAGGCATCAAAGAGAAGAACCTGCGGACGGTACTGTGGGGAGACTTCTACCTGGATCCGAAGACGAAGCGGGTCGTCAGTCATAAGCACCTTCGCGGTCGGTCGTTGAAGCCACTCTTCGTGCAGTTCGTGCTGGAGAACATCTGGGCTGTGTACGATGCTGTAGCGTTGAATCCGTATGTATCAATATATCTCCTTCACGCCATAGACGCTCAACTGAGGGACTTGTGCACATGTCTAGGAACCCGGACAAGGTCGCTAAGATCATCACAACGCTCGGACTCAAAATTCTCCCTCGCGACCAGAAGTCCAAAGACACCCGTCAGTTGCTTTCCCTCATCTTCTCCCAATGGCTCCCGCTCTCGACATGCGTCATCCAGACCATCGTCGATATCGTCCCTCCACCTTCGGAAGCGCAACGCACTCGCATCCCGAAGATGCTCTACCCGGACCTCTACGAGCCAACTATCGCACCGAAGGACAGGCTCGAGGAGGTGCTGTACTCGTGCAACGGCAGTGACGACGCGCCCATGGTCGCGCTCGTCAGTAAGATGTTTGCTATCCCTAGCACGGAGCTGCCCGGGAACAAGAAAAAGTCCCTCACAGCTGACGAGATGCGTAGCCGTGCGAAGGCCACCAGGGAAGCCCGCGCTGCTGCTGCTGCTGCTGCGACGGCGGCTGCCTCTCCGGAAAGTGCGGCGCCAGAGTCATCTGTCCCGCTCGAGGAAGCGATGAACAACGCACAGCTGAAAGACAAGGAAGAGACGGAGAAACTGGAGACGGAAGACGAGGGCGAGACACTACTCGGGTTCGCACGCATTTACTCAGGCACGATTCGTGTCGGGACAACGATCGTCTGTGTCCTCCCCAAGTATACCTCGACGCTAGGGCCTGCGCATCCGCGCAACAACCAGCACTTGGTCACCGCGCAGGTCAAGGAATTGTACACCATGATGGGGCGGGAGCTCGTGCCTGTGGAAAGTGTGCCTGCCGGAAACGTCTTCGCGGTGAGGGGTCTGGAGGGCAAGGTTTGGAGGAATGCTACCCTGTGCGCCCCGAGAGCAGCTGGTCTAGAAGAGGTGACGGACCTCTCTGAAGTGAAGGACTGCTTGGCCAATATGGCGGGGGTCATACGCTATGTGGGTCAGCCAGTTGCGGTGCTTTTATGTGGTACTGACGGTCGGTTTCCGTAACAGGCTGCACCCATCGTTCGTGTTGCTGTGGAGCCGGAGCACCCTGCAGACATGCCTAAGCTCATCCGCGGGTTGAAGTTACTTGCTCAGTCCGATCCGTGTGTGGAAACGTTCCAGCAGCAGACAGGAGAGCACGTCATTTTGACCGCGGGGGAGCTGCATGGCGAGGTGGGTGACATCGTACCTTGATAACCCTTGCGTCAGTGTGCTCATGTCTAGAACAGAGGTGTCTGAAGGATCTTCGAGAGCGCTTTGCGAAAATTGAGATCCACGCGTCAAAACCTATCGTACCATTCAGAGAAACAGCTGTGAAAGGTGTTGGTGAGTGTAAACCAGAGCTATCTACAACTCAAGCCCTCATCAACCATCTCAGATATGCCGCCTCCCAAGGTTTCGGGCGCGAAACGCGGCACTGTCCACGGTGCTGCAGCCCAGAATCTAGTCCGATTCACCATCCGCGCATCCCCTGTACCGCCATCCGTTTACGACTACCTCCACGACAATCTCGCCATCTTGCGCCGCATGCGGCTCGAGCGAAAAGCTGAGGGAGCGGACGCGAACAGCGCCATCGAGGGCGAGGACGCGATGGCTAGTCGAGATGAGGACTATGACGTTCAGGGCGATTACATCAAGAAGCCCACCGTGAAGGCAGAACAATTCTGGGATGTGCTCGCAGAGAAATGCAAGGCCGCGGGCGGGGAGTGGGCGGACATCGTGGACAAGATTTGGGCGTTCGGTCCCCTGCGCATGGGGACGTGTCTGTTGATCGACGCGCGGTCTGGGAAGCCGAACTCGTGAGTAATCATATCGTAGTCGATCCTCGGAAAGGATGTTGACGCTGTCTGGCAGACTGAAGCAACAAATGGTACATACGAAGTCGCACGAGGAGATGATGGAACAGGACCCGCTTGCGCTCGCGTTCGACAACTATCTCGAGACTGGATTCCAGCTCGCGACTTTCCAGGGTCCGCTGTGCGCAGAGCCGGTTGAGGGTATGGCGTACTTTGTGGAGGCTGTCACGCTTGACAGGGAAGGCATCGAGCAAGAACAAGGTGTGTATTTCTTCCATGTCGATATTCCTCGGAGACTCAAGAAATGACTGCAACAGCTTCAAATCGGACGGCACACCTGACAGGGTCTCTCATATCTTCCGTTCGAGATACTTGCCGTAATGGCTTGCTGGACTGGTCTCCAAGATTGATGTTGGCCATGTACACGTGTGATATCCAGGCTTCTAGTGAGTGTCAAGCTGATCATGGTTTTCACTTGCGTGATGTTTTGTATCTGACAATGTTTCTCCTAGCCGACGTTCTCGGCAAGGTATACGGTGTAGTTGCGAAGAGGCGTGGGCGCATTGTGGCGGAGGAGATGAAGGAAGGGACAGAGTTCTTTACCGTTCGCTCGAAGCTTCCTGTCGTTGAGAGTTTCGGATTCGCGGATGGTATGTACCAGGATCCTGGGCGTTGGCTTGCCCTCTCTGATCTTGCTATGTGCGCCCGTCATCACCAGATATTCGGAAGCGCACGTCCGGCGCTGCCAGTCCGCAACTGATCTTCAGCGGGTGAGCGTTCTTCGCAGGTCCTGTTCCGCGTTAGAGTCTAGGGAGCTGATGCTATGGCGTTAGATACGAAATGCTCGATCAGGACCCATTCTGGGTTCCAACCACCGAGGAAGAACTGGAGGACCTCGGCGAGAAGGCGGACCGGATTAACATCGCAAAGGCGTACATGGACTCGGTCCGTGAGCGCAAAGGCATGTTCGTGGACAAGAAAATCGTAGAGTTCGCTGAAAAGCAGCGGACGCTGAAGCGGTAGACCGTAGCTCCCGGAGATTGATGTCATCATTTGTAGCATGTGCAATTCCCATACAGATGTATCCTTGCAGAGGTGGTAAACATGTAGCCTAACGCAGCTATTGACCAATCCGGAGGCTCGCGGCGCAATTGTTTTGGGAAGATATGTCAGAAAACAGGGCGTCATTGACTATATTGGGCAACTTGCGCCCGTGTGGGAGAAATGGCAGTGGGCGTACTGCTGCTATGCAGCCCGGTGATCTGACCCCAGTCTCCCTTCATTTACGCCCTTCCCTGGGCTTTCGTCAAGCCTAATTCCCACATGCGACCTCGGTGGAGACCATGTACGACCCACAAACTTCCATGAGCCACGACCAATCTCAGACTGACGACGAGCAGTACACCTCTACCTTCTTCTGCCGCGCTCTCTACGACTATCAAGCCGACGACCCTTCATATCTTCCTTTCCGCCAGGGCGACATCATCGAAGTCCTCACGCGTCTTGAGACCGGTTGGTGGGATGGGTTACTGAACGACCAGCGGGGGTGGTTCCCATCGAACTACGCCACTGTGATTTCCGACGAGGAGGCGGAGGCTGCTCTCAATGATCGCGACTCCCAGGCGTCGCTCCCAGACGACTCCATGGTGGATATGGCACATACGATGTCCCAAGCTCTATCTCAGTCGGACACGGATGCGGATTGGCTGAATGGCGGAGATGCAGATTACGAGGGCCCCCGGGTCGCAGGGTCCAGGAATGGTGGCACTGCCGATGGTGGTGGAACGAAGCATAGTGACTTCTGGGTGCCACAGGTATCGCAGGACGGTCGAGTGAGTCTCCAATACCCAATGCGGTACTTGCGACCGTTTCCTGAGCTCCATGCACATAGATATTCTACGTCAACACGCAGACAGGCCAGCAGTCTGCGGATCTCCCCACCGAAGGCGATGCCGACGAGGACGCTGAGGTCGCTGCGCTCTCGCCCCAGGCTTCGAGCCGTGCGGGCCCGACCACTGCCTATGGTCTTGTGGGTGCGGTTGCTCGCTCACAGGAGATCACCGGGTTTGGTGTTCCATGGAGGACACAAACACCAGAGCCATGGGTAAGGCGTCTGGCTGACGACGGTCTGTCGTATTACTACGTGAACAGGCTTGACGGCACCATCTCCTGGGCCTTGCCTGAGCCGGGTGCCCCGCCCTCTTACAGTCAAGGCGAGTATTCGGGGCCCCTAGCGTCGAAAGGAACTACATCCACATCTTCTACTACCAACACCTCCTCCATCCTACCTGTTTCACGTAGCGACAGCATTAGCGATATCTCACGACTGCGGGCAGGAGCATCCCTCTCACGGACGCGCAAGGAGAGTGAAAGCAGCGCTGACATTCAATCCGATGATTCCGACGTCTTCTCTGCTGGACGCTACGGCTCACGTTCTACGACAGCTGTCGTGAAGAGTGCTGCCAACGGCACTGCGCGTCCGTCCCTGACTGCGACTTCGTCGGCGTCCTCCAATCCGCCAGGCACGGCTGCTCTAGACCTCATCGAGGCTGAGAAGTCCGCAAAGGCACTACAGAACGCTCTATCACCATCTCCTCCTGAGACCGTCGTGGAGTTGTCGGATCGAATCCGAGACTCCGTTGCAGCGGTTTTGCGCTACCTCCAGGGTTCCTCCATCCCTAGGCGACCGGAGCGCTACCAAGAAATTGATCGCTTGGTCGTCGAAGTCGGTACAACAGTCCGCAATCTCCTCTACGTGACCTCGACTCCTACTGGCCATGTCCCAAGCCACCTCTATCCGCGCGACCAACGCGATCCGCGATCAGCAAGCTCGGCACAGACGTTGCAGATTCATCTCAAGGCAGCGCAGCGGAAGGTCGCTGGAACATTATCAAAGCTTGTCCTCTCTACCCTCGCATTGCGGTACGACCCAGGTTTCGCTTCGTCTTCGTCCGATAGACCCAATCGGATGGAGTCAGATGTCTTAGAGCTCGAGCGAGCAGTAGCCACGTTCGTGCAGGAGGTAGAATTCTTGCAGGAGCAACATGGACTGTCGACCTCGCTAGCACGCGTCGGCGGCGGGAAGCGTCTCTTCGGCATCTTCTCTACAACAAACATCGGACTAGGTCTCCCAGGTGCTGGCCTTGCTGGAGACTGGCGGGGATTTGGGTATGTTCCGCTAGACGACGGTACCGACGTTCCCCAGCGGGTGCTGGATGATGACGTTGTCATCGCATTCAAGGCCGGCTTGAAGGCACTCGAGGCTCGGTTCGGTTCTCTGGTCATTTCTTTGAGATATTTGGAGAATTATCCAGGTATGCGAAGAGCTGGTACATTGCCAGGACCCTTGCTGAGTCGCATACATCATAGAACGGGTCTCCCAGGAAGGACAGAGCGCCTCCGCCTACCTCTCATGGACGCTACGTTCACTCTGTGGAGTCAACGTCGCGAATCATGTCGACGTAGACGGGATAAATCCTGACTCAGGTCCACAGTACAGACAGACGGTGGCGAAGGCCCGTCAGCTTGTCCGGACGTTGGAAGCGGCCACACAGGCGTTATACGATGATGGCGCAATCATCTTCATGGCGGTACAATCTCTCGGATACGCCAAGCTGTCTTCCCAACACGATCGCGCAGCTTTCGTGAACACTATCGAGACCGTCGCTCCCATCGTTCGGTCCAACTACGTCTTGATCGCACAAACTCTGGACTCTCTACTCACGATTGGTCAAGTGCAGTCGTCAATTAGCCAGGGAGTCTATCGACAGTCGATCCAATGGCGGGCCTCGCACATCAATCTAGAGGACAGCGCTGTAGCGACAGTCCCGCAATTGGCGGACAATGCACCAGTTGACAATGGTGTAGTCGGCATCGAGGCGACGCCCGCACCACCAAAGACAGGGATAGCACAAGCTGTATCGATCACTTCAGAATCGACGCTATACGGCAACGCGAACCACCAGCCTTATAAGCTGTCTCTGGACGCCTCGGAGCTGTTAAGGACCGATAGCACCAGCGAGACGGACGCGAGGGAGAGCACGCTCATAGGACCACCCTCTCCCGAGACGGTGTCACCGTTGGACGAAGGCCTTCTCGCATTTCTGGACGAGGACGACCGTAAGTATTTCTCCGCGTGGTCTCGGTGCGGCGATACAGACTGATCATTCACTGGCAGCTATACTGATGGGTAAATCCCCGTCGCGAAGGGGCGCCAACAAGCTCGTGAAGCTTCTCGGCGAGGCACCCAAACACTACATAGACACCTTGAACGCAGGGAAGAAGCCGTGGTACTTGCGTACGAACTACGATCAATCCACCATCCTCATCGATCCCGACGGGCAAGTACGTGCTGGCACGCCGGCAGCATTGGTTGAGCGCTTGACACATCATGAAATGATGGGTAGGTACTGTTTCCTATGCTCTCTACGTGATGACTGATCGAGGCCGCTTGCAGACACGGCATTCACGAAGAACTTCATGATGACGTTCAAGTCGTTCATGACAGTGAATGACTTGTTCGAGCTGCTGACTCAGCGCTTCTGGATCCCACCCCCTCCCAACTTGAAACCGAAGGAGCTTGAGGAATGGACTCGTATGAAGCAGCAAATTGTCCGCACGCGGTGAGTGCCCAAGTTCGTTTCGCAGAATCATAGCTCAGGACGGTATCCAGCGTATTGAACATCCTGAAGACATTGGTCACCGACGACGACATCTTGGAGAAAGATGATGTCTACATCCTCAGTCGCATCAAAGAGTTCGTTTCCGGAGAGGAGGTTGTGACTCTTCCGGCAGCTAAGCAACTGCTCATCCTCATTGAGCGCGCCGTGAGTCTCGAACTCCTTAACCGCCAATAGCAGTGTTGACATGCTCTCGACAGCAACGCGGCGGTGATGCACCCATCAGGACTACATACACGGTCCCTCTGGCACCTCCGGCCCCTATCGTACCGAGGACGTCAAAGAAACTCAAGTTGCTGGACGTTGACCCTCTCGAGCTCGCACGACAGCTCACACTCATGGAAGCTGCGCTGTACAAAAAGATCCGGCCTGTGGAGTGCTTACAGAGGTCGCGAGAGACCAAACCTGGCAAGACCGCAGATCACATCACCACGATCATCCAACTCAGCAACAAGGTAAGACACTCAAAGCAGCACCCAGAATTTTGCCTGGTAATCATGACGAACAGATCGCGGACTGGGTAGCTGAGACGATCCTGGCGAGAGAAGACTCGCAGCGACGTGCACGGATCATAAAGCACTTTATCAGCGTCGCTGATGTGAGTATTGCTAATTCTCGTGATCGCGCTCCTGAGGCACTAAACCCCACTCTGCAGCGATGTCGCACACTGCAGAACTTCTCATCCATGACTGCCATCGTTTCTGGTTTGAATAGACCTCCGATCCGTCGACTGAAGCGAACGTGGGAGCAAGTCAATGCGAAGTTCCTGTCGCAGTTGCAGATCTGCGAATCGACCGTAGACACAAACAAGAACTTCAATAATTACCGTTCCACTTTGGCAAGGATCGCCCCCCCTTGTGTTCCCTTCATTGGTGCGTGGCTCCAGTTCGATGATATATATTAATCAGCGCTCATGTGCGGTAACAACAGGGGTCTACCTCACCACCCTAACGTTCATTAACGACGGCGCGGGGGACAAGCTCTCTGGTGACATGATCAATTTCCGCAAGCGACAGAAAGCCGCGGAAGTCATCCAGGACATGAAGCGATGGCAAGCAGCGCCCTACAACTTTCAGACCGTCGCCTCTATCCTCTCCTACCTTGAAGAATCCTTCCAAACATTCCAGGATGGCGTGGACTATGGCGACCAGTTTTGGAACCTCAGCCTCGAGCGCGAACCGCGCGAGCGGGAAGACGAGAAGATGGCCAGACTGCTCCAGGAAAGCGGCTTCCTGTAGAGCAAAGTGCCGAACTCCACACCTATCTATTTCGCACTGCGACAATCTTCTCCACCTACCCTCCTCTTCCTTCCCTGTGCTGCCTCTGTCCGACCACCTGGGCCAGGCGTTCATGCTGTCCCTGAACGCAGACCTGATAGGCTGTGCCTCGCTGCTCCCTGCGTCTCCCACACCCAGGATGCTCGGCATCTGAAACGACAATTCAGGGGTTCGACGGACACGTGAACCCACCGGCGGAGTTCTGATAGCACACCGGGATTTGCTCCTCTGTAGGGAAGGGCACCTGCCCCACGTGCCGGTGAACGGAACCGCTTCTATCCAATACGGGCCGCTATTGTGGACCCGTCTAGGTAGCCCTTCACCTCCATCGCTTCCAGTCGCATCGGGGTCCTCAGCTCTCATCGCTCGGTCACTAGGAGGAAGCATGCTCTCATGTGGGCGATCCGTATCGGACCGTTCATCTACATCCACGTAGCAACCCACCACTTCTACCGCTAGGCCGTCGGGAGCCCGCGCAGTCGATGCTTCCAGCGATGACTTGACGCTGTGCTCTTACACAGAACGGGAGGTCATTGAGGACAGCTATTGAAGTCCTTGTCGTATCGTGGCTCGCAGACAACATCGTGTGCGATTCATGCAATTGATTGATGTCGAGTCCGCAGAACTATTCCGGATTGACAGTGACCACATGTTCAGTCTATCAGGTCTCATCGCAGTCAGCCCTCACAGTCTAGGAGAGGGTCCAAGTAGTCTGTGATCCATAACCTAACAGACCCAAATCCAACGCGTCGCTTGGGTCGGTGAGTATACACCTGAGATCGGGGATCTTGCGTACGCAATTGATCTGTTAGTCGGTCGTCTGGTCTGTGGTGAACATGCCTGCTTATACTTGGTTGACCCCTTGCTTTTCCGGTCCGAACTGCACGCTATGTTAGGTAGATATTCAGTAGTTCGGATGCATCCATAACGGTGCTCCACGTGTTAGCGGCAAGCCGGAGTCCTTTTAGGCTTTCAGTGAGCAGTCCAGTTCAAGTCAGCGTCATCTCGTTTTGATAAAGTGTGTACCGTAGCTTTGGATTGTTATGATACAATATATGTTACATCGCACTTCGCCCCCTGAGCTGAGGGAACTCGTATGCTTCACCTCCGATCCCCGTCATCTCCTGCGGTAGAAGCAGATCCTGTCCCTAATGCCGTGTTGTCCGACGGTCCTTGATCCGCTCGAGTAACGTACAACGTCCTACTCGACTTCAGGTATGGGCAATCCCGCTGACTTGGCTATCCGCACAACCCTCTCGGCCTACGCGGCGGGGAGATGAAGTCAAGCGAGCCGGATCGCAGCCATCACTACTCACCTGTTTGATCATTGGAGCGTCTATCATCTCCATCCCTCCTCCCTCCAGCTCGAGACCGGCTGCACCCCTGTGAGCGAGATGTGCTTTCTCCATTTGCTTGAGGATGCTTGCGGCGCGAAGGATCTCTGCATTACGTTCAGCAGGAATCGAGGCGCTTCAGAACAACCTCGCTGGAAGGTAGCAAGAGGAAAATAACTTGCCTTTATCACTTGGGACGAATGTGGACTGAATGATGTCCACTTGATTTGGGTGGATGGCTTGCTATATGAGACGATGAATGGCGTGAGACACTGAACAGTAGGGAACAAATCCGTGTATCACCTTCCCAGTGAAGCCGAGGCGCTTCCCGTCCTCACACTCGCTTCGGAGGTATTCGGGATCCTTGTAGTTTACGCAAACCTATCGCAGGCACACTGTAAGTGAGGGCACAGTGGGACAAGGATGCTTTAATTGCTTAGCACACCATATCAATGGCACTGAGCCCGAATGCCTTGGCCGTGACCACGATGTGGGATCGAGTGTAAAGCAGTTCCTGCCGTGTGGACGTGCGAACGATACCCGTGTCCGCACAATCTATCACCACGTCAGCCCAGCTCTTCCTCGAATAAACCGTCCACAGTCGGACGTACAGTCTTCTGCTGCAAACTAGTGTGCGCATCAGCACAATACGCGACTTCGAGCAGCACCCAAAGAGCAGAACATACCAACAGAGCAGAGAGCTTCCCGCCCTGCTCAGGGCCCCAAGCCGACTGCCACGACGCAATCTCGCCGAGATTGTGCATAGCCTTCGCGCTCTCAATGCTTGCGACGATCTGTACGGGAGGCCCTTGCGGATTCCGGATCTTGTGTGCTCGGTAGATCATGTATATGTGCTCGGACACGAAGTGCAGGTCCTGCGCTGAATGAATTTTCGGTAGTACCAGAGTGCGCACACAGGGAAGGCGCATCTAATCAGACGGATTAGCTGCGCCTATACCACCCGTGCGCTATGGCCACGGAACGCACCGCCTGGAGGATGTCCTCCTCAAAGAACGGGGTTACGTTCGAATTCAGCCTCATTGCAATGCGGGAAGGGGAGGGCAAGCTCCCATGACGAGTCTAGCGCATACGAATCAATAATGCCCATTGTGTTCGCCCAAGCTTTAACCTACTAAGAGGAAGTGGGCAATGCGAGACCTCGCACTGGTCTTGTCCGACGGCGGAACGCTATCCTCAAGATCGTAGACTATCACGTCCGAGTTTGTCGTCAACGACTTTTCTAGCATCTTCTCCGCAGTGCAGGGCACTAAACGAGCGTGGCAGGTTGAGTTCCGTTGCCGCAGTATGGTACTATTGTTTACATGTAGTCACGAACCGTATAGGTATGACCGACCGAGATGACCAGGCTGTCCGTCTCTCGCTGCCGCCTTGAGTGCGTGTTCATGCTCCTCAGCAGACCTGCAATCGTCGGCGGTAGGCAGCGAGTCGCAGTCATCGACCGTGCCTGTACTGCCCTGGCAACGTACGGCTGTAGAGGATAGGTTAGCAGCCAAAAGTCTTGCACGATTCACATGGTTGAAAGATGCTCGTATGCGTAAGCGGAGATTGCGCGGTGTAGCTCTGAACATCGTTTCGAGCAATCCGGGGGAGCGGGGGTAGTGGTGGTATGACGCAAAGCTGCTAAACATTCCGGCTAACACCGAGTATGCCGGTGCACTGCCACCAAGGCGTTGCAGTTCTGGGTGTCCGAATCCACCGGAGGCCCAAAGAAGTACTGTGCGTCCGACATCTCCATCCTCATAGTGATTGCGTATATTACAGAGGGCGGACAGATAGAGTACATAACGCATCTGGTAGTGATGTCCATATCAACCACTGGCAACAGAAACAGGCACCGTTGGCGCTCAAGAACGCCCAACCATCCCTGTCCAGTCGAACTTGTCGTACTTTTGCTTGAACCTCTTGACGCGATCTTTGTTTTGTCTGAACTCGACTTTGCGAGGCCTCCGCCACTTACGAGGCTCAATGTCGAGGATGTTTCCCATGATCTCAGCAGCGAACCACCTGGAGAAGGAATCAGCCGCTGACGTTCACTGTGGTCTTGGGGAGAAGAGCCGTCCCCGCTTGCGTCATAGCCCCGCGAGGCGGCTGAATGACGCGGCCAGCGTGGCTCTCTAGCGCGGGGAGGCTGCAACAATCCAAAAGACTAATGCTCACCTAGGGAACTCGCCGCCGCCCTTCTCGCCTTCATCGATATCCTCCTCGCCGTTTCCCGATGCCTCACTGGTCCCTTCAATGACGTGTCCGTAGCCCTTCTCCCCCTTGTAGTCAAACTGCACCATGAAATACGGAAGATTGGGCACCATCGCTCGTCGGAAGCCGCCAGGTCGCGCAGAGAAATCGATCAACTTCTTGTGTTGTGACCATTCCGTTTCGGACATGAGGATGGATTCCTATATCACAGCTATGATTATCATGCCCGTACAATGGAATGAACTGGCGACAAACCTTGAAGTATCCGGGGATCAGCTCGAACTGCTCCCATGGCAGCGGCACACATTCAATGTAAGTATGTTTCTGCGCCTTGATCGATAGGACAGTCTCGTAGAAGACAACACCCTTGTCTTCTTCGGCGAACATACGCATGAGGCACTTCATGAAGTTCTAGAGAATCGGCTAGTCAAGCTGAGAGAACAATGACAAATTGGGTGACTACATACCCGGACTTCGTCCCACATGTCATCATCTCCCTCAAGAGACGACAGATGATGGGGAATGGGCACAATCAAGCAATGACCATCGACAAGCTCCTCGTTCAGTGTACATGATAGGTAGACACGAGTGCCCATAGCGATGATGGGTGCCTTAGGGAGTGAGTCATCTTCCCCGTAGCAGAAGGGACATGACGCAAGGACCTTCATCGTCTTTTTGTAATCTGTGTGTTGAATTGTGAGGTGCAACATCCTCAGCACGACAACTTAAAACAGACCGTTGATCGCAAATTGCCGTTTCATATGGTCCGCTCGCATCTTCTTCCTCGCCAGCTTGTCCGCATTGTCGTCCATATAGTCCATGTCATTCTACCAATATCGTATCTAAGCATCATTCAAATACGAGTGAATTGAGGCAACGCACCTGGAAACCACCATCCGTCATGACAGCTCGCGCGAACTCCGCATCGAGGTTTTTCTGGTCCGCCATTCCAGCCCCGAACTTTTCTTGCCTGAGCATCTCCCCAAGCGTGATATCGTCGTCGTCGGGATCGACACGAATCATCTCACCGGTCTTGGGGTCCCGCTGTTCGACCTTACGAAGAGACGTCAGCTAGCTGTCAACCACTAGCAGTCTACCATGGAATACGCACCTTCGACTTAGGCCTGTGGTTGCCCGGTGGCGGAGGTGCGTCCTGTTTCCCTTGCCCGACATCGTACAGCCGACCATGGATGTCCAGCGTCGGCAGGACTTCCACCCGTGTCCGCACTTTACCCTCCCCCTCATCTCCGCCATTCGCCAGCTTCTGCGCCTCATCATACTCCTTCTCGAGGGCATCCGCGTTCGGCGCGTTCATCAGCTTCGCACGGAGCACCTTCGCCTGCAGCTTATTGAGCGACGACGGCGACATCGCGCGCGCCTTCACACCCGTCGCAGACAGCGATGGCGTCATTGCCGACGGAATGGGTGTCCGCGCCTGCGCGAGCGCACTCCCCGTCGTCTGGCCCAGCCTCGACGGTTCCAGCTTCTTCAAATGCGAGTCGCTTTCGGCGAGCCCAGGAGTAGGTGGCCCGCTCCGGTCCAAATCCGGACGGCGGAACGACGAACTACGGCTGGCAGCACTGCTTGGCGTCGAGAAGTCTGTGAACATGAGCCGCCGCTCGCCCTCAGGCTCCCTCCCCTTCCCTTTGCGATCCCGCTCGCCCGTCCGGGAAGCGCGCTTGCCCTCGCGCTCGTCGAGTATCCGCCGCTCCTCCTTCGCCTCCTCGAACAGCTCCATGGAGCCGAAGCGCTCCATAGCGACGTCCTCGACCGACCGTCCCTCCTCCTCTGCCGTTTCGTAGACTCTCCGAAGCTTCATCATGCGCCACTGGGAGCCCGGCCCACCGGCTACGACGGGCTTCTTCGGGGCATCTGGCATGTCGTCCACACTCTTGCCCTCCCTGAGTGCAGTATTAAGCTCCTTATGGTGGACCATGTGAGGCTATCGCACGTATCATGAGACGTCGCGAACGTTGAAAGGATGACCATATACAGAGGGGGAACTGACCTTGTCCGGGTCTGGGCGGTCTGGACGTGGCTGCTTCTTGCGCTCCGTACCCAAGCTTGAGAAGAAGTCTACGGTACCGCCCAACGTGCGCGTATTCGCTGAAGGTTCCCCGTAGCCGTCCGTGGGGTCCTCGTTCATCGGAGTGCCTCCGTTCGAAGGTGACGGTGCAAGGAGGCTTGTTTCGGGCATGAGCATCCACTCGTCCCGCACGAGCTTGGTCTCTGTGCGCACGGGCGGGGGAAGGGGAGGGTCATCAGGATGCACCTCAGCTCTTGTCTTCAGACTGAGGTCTTCCGCTGACGGGATGTCCGTCGCGAGTGGCTAAGAATACACACGCACATAAGCAAAGCGGGAAGCACGGCGCAGCATGAAGCACGCACCACTTCGCCCTCCATGTCAATATTCTTCTCTACCCACATGTCCTCATCGTTGGCGTCCTCATCTACAATGTGCAAATGCTCGCCGTTATCTTGGCGCGAACGCTTCCTGCTGGAACTTCCCTCCTGCGCTTTATGCTTTCGCTTGCTCTTGTGCTCGCGGTCGCCCTTGTCATGACGGTGTTTGTGTTTCGACGAGCGTTTCGAATCGTCCCCAGCCATGAGAATAAGTAGAGATGTAGAGCTATAGTAGTATCTTTCTTCAGTGTTTGTAAGTGGAGAGCTGGCAGAGATGCAAGGGAACGGGACCCACAGACTCTGGACTCAGGTTGGGCGAAGCCAGATCCTGCGCCATTGCGTCACACGCGCCTCGATCTCCAATAGGCAATTCATTAAATCCAGATACGAGCGCTCGTGCTCTGCCACCCGCGTTCTTGCCTCAGAAGCTCCGTGAATTTCATATTATTGCAGACACTCGCATGGGATTGAAAAAAGCCTCAGATAGATTTCAAAGGAACGGCGTAGCACATGATGCTAGTCTAAGGTGTGATAAAGATATTACAAACTTTGCGAAGATCCAGGGAGTAGTACTTGTCTGTGGGATACTGTACAGTGTGATCGTGTAGAGATGGGCGATGCTGAAGCGAAAGACAGGGTGCGAGGCAGAACGAAAGCAAGACAGTGCAAGTACTGACAGATAATATTAGTGTGAGCTATGTGCAGCATTTGGATTCATGAACCGCGCGAAGCTGGGTGAGTCGTATTCAAACAGATCCGACTCGGTATCGGTGTCCGAGTCCTCTGAATCCTCGTACGTGGGAGACAGGCCCCCAACGTTGAAGACGTCCACAAATGGTGTCTGCGGGACGGAGTCCACCGCGTCAGTGGACTTAGCCAGGATCGCCGCCACACGCGCCTCTAGTTGTCGATGCGGGACGGAGCCGGCACCCGGCACCTCTTGGAAGTAGCTGCTGAGTTCGTGCAGGTCTTGGACCATATCGCCGAGGTCATCCTCCAGCGGATTGTGTAGCATGGCGAGCTCCTCATCGGGCTGGAAGTCGATTCGCGAAGGCCGCAGATTGCCCTTCCCCAGGTCGAAGACGGCGACGACGTTTGCACGGCAGGTGCCGCGCAGCTCGCTCGTGTGCGGAACGCACCAGCCTGACTCCTGCGGTATGCCGAAAATCTCTGCAACAGACTCGACCTCCTTGGCGTTCGCACGTAGGTGATGATGTAGCGACATGCGCAACACATGCTTAGCAGCGGGACCACCGGAGATCTGCATGGGCTCATCCAGGACGTCTAGGGCTTGGGAGGAAAGATCTGTCTCTAGGAGGCGAAGGAGAGGCATGAGCAACTCCGACCCTAAACGATCCACCTGGTTCTTCGTCTCGCGCTGTTGGAAGAGCACCTTCAGAATCTGCATGGTGTGGATCTGGAGCCAGCGTTGCTTATTCAAGACCAGCCCCATCAGGAGTGTGATGACCTCCGTCCAGTGATCGATACCGTAATGCTCCCGTAGACTCGCCACGGATTGGCGTAAGAAGTCGTCTTTCGTGCGGAAGCGTCCTTTCGCGAAGGAAACCATGATGCGCTCAATGCTTGGTCGCTCCTCCTGTTCGGCCAAACGACTGATGTTGAGGGCGAACTCCGACAACGACTCGTCCTTGATGTCCTCAGACATGGCATGAAGACACCACGGCAAGGAAAGGGTGTACAGGTCCCGGACGCGGCCTTCTGACTGATCAATTAACCTAGAGTCCTCGATCGTCGTCAAGCGCTGCAGGATTTTGAGCGTCAGCTCAGAGGTAACGGAGGAACGCATGCCCCTGAGCAGGCTGGCCTGCATCGTCATCGGGCCGTTCCAGTTAACGGGCATATATTGGAGCAGAAGCTCCGCGGTGAGCGAATCGTTCAGGTCCATGCGCGTCAGCACCGTGTCGAGTAGACGTAAAGAGTGGAGGAACTCGGCTTCCACGGTAGTCGATAAGCAGGCCACAGCGCACCAATAGAGCTGAGGAAATTGATTTGGCTCGAGGTCACCAGATGACGCCAGCGCGGATAGGGTGGAGATGATCTCGACGTTGAAGCTTTGGATGGCGTGATCTTCGTCTGCAACGGTGTTCGCAAGACGACCCAGCAACATACTTATATGCGTCGGCCCGATGCGAGGCATCAGCGCTCGGTAGAGCTGCAGTGAGCGAAACGCGACGGGCCGTATTGAGCACGCCGTTCCCCACGTCAGCGCGAGGGTGCCCCATTGCTCCGAAAGCCGAGGGTGCAGCGGCTCGACAAGCGTGAGCACAGCATTCCCTAGCCATCTCAGCTTCGGCTCCGCTTCGTCCGCGTTGTCGTCCTCCTTCCATAATCTAGTCTCGACCTCCTTCTCCAAGTCTTTGATCATGGCTTTGAGCTCCGGTCGTGACCGGAGCAGCGACCGATCGGAGAGCTCGTCGTATCCGGTAAGGCATGAGCGGAGAAGCTGGAAGAGCATGTGGCGGCACCGAAGCTGAACAGCCGGCTGACGGTGATCGAGGTGCATGAACAACGCGTGAAATAGCACGGGGAGTTGGTCCTGGAACTCCCAATAACGCTCTAGGGCCGTTTCGGAGAGGAACAAGAGGGCGAACTGAGCGACACCAAGGGATAGTCGCGGTTTCTCGGAGAACAGCATGTCGAGGTCGGACCATAGCTCCAGGTCTTCGTCAGAGGGAGGGGCAAGCTTATGCTCGATACTTGGGAGCATACGCGCGGGCTCCACGACACTGCATAGCTCCTCGACTATCTGTCTGCCGATGGCACTTTGAGCGAGACATGCTACGATCTTCGCAGCACAACTGAGGAATATCGTGCTGCCGACCTTGTGCGATTGCTCAAGGAGGAAGCGAATGATCGCCTGGCCGTTCGACTGGTTGGGAGCATCAACGAGCCGCATCCAGAGGACAAGGACTTGTTCCGAGTATATCTCCGAATAACGTAGGGTAAGCGCCATCAGATGGTAGATGGTGATGCGACCGTCCCTCGAGAGCTCCGTCTTGTCATCGCTCATGAGATCGATGTTCGGAACCCAGTGCTCGAGGCTCTGCAAGAGCAGCAAGACTCCACGCTCAGGGCGATTGTCAAAGACACTCGGAATCCAGATTGCTAGCTGGGTAAGAACCTTCACTGCTTGCTCCGGATGTTCGCCGGCCAGTACGTCCGAGATGAGCCGTTGGGCGTAAAGATAGGTGCTAGGAGCTGCACTCCCGACAGCAGCATCATACTGGGAGAGAGAGATGATGCCAGCAGATTGCTCGTGGACCATCTCGAGGATATTGAAGGCTTGGCGGCGTATCTCCAGGAGTGGGTGACAAAGGTTCGACAAGCCGAGGCAGACGACTTGGGCGAAGCTGAAGGTAGTAGCCGCACCGCTGGAGATCGCATCGGCAACGACCTCGAAGAAACGTGCATTGCTGGTATCGAGCTCCCGACTTGTGACAAATGCTCTTCGGAGACACTCGTCAAGGAAAGTGGGGCTGCATCGATGGTGAGATAACAGCGCACGTAACGCTTTCCTGAACTCATGGTCAGGACAGATTGACAAATGTCCAAAGTATTACTCACTTGGCCGCCTTCTGATTCGGTTCATGGAAGGAAGCGAGTATCGCCGTCAGTCGGTCGAGGGTTGGGCCGGCTTGCAGTGGCTTCACGAAGTCAAGCACTTGGCGATCCGTAGGAGAACCTGTATCCACGTCAGGTGGAAAGAAGGCCTTTTGCTGTGCATCTGGCAGGTCAGAAGTCGTGCCAATCGGTGCTGTATAGACCACTCACGCAGACCGCAGCCATTGCGCCGATAGCAGCATGCGAGAGCAACCGGGTCTCCGTCTGGAATTTCTGGATGACATCTGCTTGATCGGCAGCAGTAGTGTACGACTTCGCTGCCATGGTCTGCATGTACACTAGACGTTTCTTGACATCGTCGGACTGCTTGCCTAGCTGACACCACTCCTCGCACATGGTATAAAGCGCCAAGTAGAGGTTCGGAGGGATGAATCGGTCGGAATCCTTGAGCGTCGCCAGCGCATCGAACACACGCTCAATGGTGCCGCAGAAATATCGCCGCAAACGCTGCATGAACCACCGATCCCGGTGTTCCGCAGAGACGAGGAATCCATGAGTCTTCCGGACGTACTGTAGGACGTACGTTAGCGCCGCTTGCTTCCCAGATGACCTCTGTTCTTGGAGGTAATGCGCGGTTAGGTAGTATATGCGAGCAATCGCGGCTAGGAAGCGCTCCTGTCTGCGTAACTTCCCGATCATAGGCGCAGCTGTGGCACCCTTCAGTCGCGGGTCATCGTAGTGTTGTCTTGTGTGTAGTTTATGCAGATCCTCAAGCAGATGAGAGTAGGCATTGGCAGGAAACGAGCTGATACACGACACGGCCGTGTCGCGGACAACCGGGAAGTCAGTATCGAGGAATTTGCTAAGGGCCCAGAAGAGGTCGTGAGTCGTCTGCATCTGCTCCGGTCCCAGCTCGGAATCCGATCGAGCGCGAGAGTGGTCCCGCATACCGCCCATCGGAGGTCGCGAGTCGGACACTGACGCTGTCGCGCAGATGATCTTGACCCAGATCCACCACTGGTAGACAAAGTCCTTGTGCTGAGGTACCAAAAGCTGCCCTTCCCCAGACGAACCCGTACGCTGTGGAGCATTGCTAGGAACCCTGGACGACACGCCTGAGAGCTGCTGCATGAGATGCGTCCCACGAGCAGCTGCCGCCACTAGCTTCTCCCGCAGGCCAATCACAACCGAAGGGGCGGAGTCCAAACAGCGTCGTATGAAAATAGGGTAGACGTCCCTCCACAATGCCCGATCCAGCACATGTTCGCTTTCAGCTAGGCGAAGGAGCTTGTTCGAAGAGGACGACCTCCTCCAGTGCTTTAAGCGTTCAAGCTCTTCAGCCTCCAGGATTTCGTCCAAGCCGCGAAACAGGGCATCGGCGGCGTCTTCTTCGAAGAGCGCTTGCACGGTGGCGAACAATTCGCTGGGGGGGATTGAAGTAGGCGTTGAGGGTTCCGGGTGCATGTGGACCATTAGGAGCTTGAGCAAGCGCAGGGTCTTGATACCAGTCGTGAACGCATTCTGCTTCACATGAGCTAACAGGAAAAGAGCTCCAAGCTCAATCTCTTCTGCCCGCGCGACCACGATTTCTGCCTCCTCAACTGTCCAGGTGTGGAATGCCCTCCGTCTCATTTCGTTGATCCACTGCTCAACGAAACTATACCAGAGATCTAGGAGGCGAGTGCATTCAACTGGTAGCCTGAAGCCATAGCTCTCCTGCGTAATGGCAGCCGGTGCGAAGAGGAAGGTCGAGAAGCGCGCGAGGAGGACGGACGCGTGCGCCGGCTCTGCCATGAAGCGCTGCAAGGCAAGCCTGGCCGCCTCACCGACGGCGGGTTCAATGTGGATGACACTGCGAATGAGCATGTTGAAGACTTCTTCCATGGACAGGGAGGCGTGTAGACATCGAGGCCAGGATTGGAAGATGACCTGGAGAACGTGGATGTGGGAAGCGTACTGGTCCGAGTATGCTATGGAGCCCTCAGGATGATTACGGACAACATGGTTATGTACATCCTCGTAATTGGGACCGAGGCGAGACGTCGTCCACTGATCGTCCAAGACCGACCACCTACCAACGACTTGGTAGCAGCCGAGGGCAATAAGGTTCAAGCAAGTGGTAGCTCGGTCCAAAAAATCCGACCAACTAGCCTTCGACGCAATCGACGCAGGGAGGGGTGTAGAAGAGGAAGGGTAGTCATCGGGGGATGGTATGCTGGAGAAATCGGCGCTCGACGGCCAAGCAGGTAGGGGTTCTTCCCGTTCAATGAGGTTCAACGAGAGCAGGATGGCTTGGGTCGCGATGGTAATCCTCTCTGGAGCCAGGGTGTGCGAAGCCTGGCCCGTCTGCGAATTCATGAAGCGCTCCTGCAGAAGGTCGAGACAAAGCTCGCTGCCGACGTCGAAGTGGCGGGAAAGAACGAAATGGACGATGCAAATGAATGGCTGGAGATGTTCGTCATGGGGAGTTACCGCGACTCGGTTGGGTGGGAAGACATGTTTGAGAATGGTGTCGAGCTTCGCTGAGGCTGTAGATATAGGTTCGTGACAACGGTACAGGTACGTCCATAGCAGCCTTAGCATGCCATTCAAGACGGGGACTCGGAAGATCTTCTCCTACAGCATGACCATGAGACAGCATCTTGGAAGGAACCAACCTGTATGACTTGCCTTTAGTTTGCCAAGACCAGCTTCGAAGCAAGTATACCAGTTACGGAGGAAGAACTCGTGTGGTGCGACGCACAGGGCAGTCACAGCCAGAGGATAGGCTACGTGCCAATAGCGGGGTTTTGCCATCATATCCTTAGCCTTCGGATAGATCACCTCCATTGCCTTGGCCCATTCGGGATGATTGACCTCCGCTTGCGCCGTCTATATATCCTAATCAGCGGCTGGCAGAGTAACAAGATAGCTGCAGCAGCACCTTGCCAATTGGATGCAAGATCTGGACCAAAGTCTCAGCGAATATCGTCTTGAGACGGTTTCCATGAGCGTTCTCGAACGACTTAGACAGTGACGCTAGGAACTCTGCGCCCTCCTCGAAGCGCTCCGGCGGCCACACCTACTACGCGTCAATTGTCCACTCAGAACACTCAAGTTCGATGAGCTAACCTTGATGTTGATATTTCTCAACCCTTTGACAATGTTCTCATATTTCAAGTCGGCATCCTTAGAGACCTGTCCCGCCGCAACGGGAGCGAGCTCGGTCAAAAAGCGATCCGTGACACTCTCAAAGCTGCGAGGAATGACTCAGAACTCAAAGCGCGGAATACCGGTAGCGCGACTTACCGAATGTCAGAGAGCTGCCCAAGAAGCGCGGCATGCAACTCGGCAATACATCGATGATTCGAAGACTGCATCGACAGCTTCATGCCATACCTTTTGAATTGATCGAACGTCAGCTCCTCCAAGTTGTGCCCCACCTGCTCCGGGAGGCTGTCCTTCGCAATAGACCGGGTCACCGCAATGAGCGCACGACACATGATGTACATGGCCGCGAGCCACTTCCGTTCGTTCAGCATCTGAGTCACGTCTGGCATGCGAATAGCGCGGGAGGCGGATGGCGACTGCGAGTGGTGGTGACGAATCAAATCGGGGTCAGCTGGCTCATTTTGGCTCTTCCGCCAGCGCATGATGGAGTCCACGACCGGCTTTGCATGACGTTGCGCGACCTTGCCCAGAGAAGAGAGGATGTCATCGAATTTCTCATCCACGCCTGGACCCATGTAGTCTTCAAGGTGAACATCGCGGTCCTAAGCCACTGTATCAGTGAAGCGCGGGCAACGAAACCATAATACGATCACTTACCACCGGTAATCGCAAAATTTCATCAATGTGCGTTTCCGCAGAAGCAGCGAAGCGAATAAAAATAGCGTGAAGCGCATAATCCGAAGGAGTCCGGGGGTCGAGGACGACTTTATCCTCAGCATCCGAGAAGGAACTTCCATCGTCTATGTGGCCCCCGAACGCGTTCGGCATAGGCGGTACCGGTGGCGGGGAGGACGAGAAAGGGTAGGAGAAGCCCACATCGCTCCCGCCATCCGAAGCATGGAATAACGAGCCTGAATGCGAGTGCTGGGACCGCGCATACTGGTGATCCTTCTGCTTCGGTGTTCGCGCCCTCCCTTCCCCGCTTCCAGGTGTGGCCGGTCGCCCGAAGTGAGGCGGGCTCGCGTTCATCGTCTGCGCCCTCTGTGGTACGGGAGGGTTCTGCGCAAGGGAGGAAGTCGACCGATTGAACGGGTTCTTCAGCACAGGGTACGCCTGATGATCCAGAGGCGGCAACGGGGGCGGCTCGCTGAACTTCGCGCTCTTGAACGCGTTGCGGAGGGAAGCGAAGGACGTCTTTTTCGTGAACGGCGAGCTGCTCGTGGTAGCAACAGAGGACTGGGTCGAGTGCGTGAACGGGGCCTTCGCCTTCTTCGTCGTATATTGGATAGACTGCCCAGAGTCTTGCGACGCTACAGAGTCCCCTCGCGAGTGGAAGTACGAGCCTCCCAGCCTCTCCGTTGTCGCCTGAGGCGTCATGATCGTCGGAGACTCGAGGCCGGAGCTGGAGCTACCCCATAGACTTGCCTGCTGGGCACGTCCAAACAGGGGAGTAGATTGGAACGTGTCATCATCGTCGTGAAAGTCTGCGAGGGGTAGTATAGCCGTCCGTTATAGCCAGGTAACATGGGCCCAGGAGGGCAACGTCGACATACCTGGAATTGTAATCTGCATCCCGTCCGAACCCATCGTTGGCCACCTTTGCTCCTCGTTCGACCTTCGTTCCTTACTCAGCTTATGGCAGGGTACCAGAAAGGCGAGGGCAAGAAGTCCTTAGAGCGTTGGAACGCGGGTTCAACCAGGCCTGCAGGAGAGCGTACCTGTGCAACATTTCGCGAACCCGCACTGGGCTCGGCTGCAGTAAAGAGCTTAGGCGCCCATGACATACCGGCGTCCGCTCCTCCGCCACTTCCGATGAAGGAATGACAAGACCCAGATCAACGTTCTCAGCCAATGTCCGACTAATGCGTCTCGAATTTAGGCACGTTTTGAATGGATTGAGATACAAGAAGCGTTGCTACGTATACAAAGCAATGGTACAGATGAAGCGAATGTTCGTACAAGAGCCGTCTATCCGAAACAGATGTTGTCTACGCGGAACCATTCACGCCGTTCGCACCGTTTACGGCGTGGGTGCCGTTCACGCCATTCGAACCGTTGACACCGTTTAGCTTCACATCGCCACGCGCTCCCTTCCGAACACGCGCCCGACGTGCACGGACGCCCTCGCGCAGCCTCTCCAGGACAGGAACAGTCTGCTCCCAGGAGATGCAAGCATCTATGAGAATTCGTCAGGTTAAGTCCACCGCAGAGAAGATTCGGAGATGACGGAAGTACCTGTGACAGACTGGCCGTACTTCAGCCCGGCCGAACCACCGACTGGGATATCCTGACGGCCCTCGACGAGATTGGACTCAATCATGACGCCCATGATCATAGAAGAGGTGTCGCTCGATTCCAGTTGCCGCGCCTAAAGTTTTAGCGTTCGCGTTAGAGATCTGGCTCAATGTATCTGAAAAATGAACGTACGATGTCCTCGGCCACCTCGATTTGCTTTATGTGCTGCTTTTGGCTATTCCCGTGGCTGCAGTCGATCTGCGATGGGCGGCCGCGGAGTCAGTGCGAGGCGCAAGAGAGTCAATGCCGGGCGTAACGAACCATAATCTTCTGCGCAAATCCAGCCTTAGCAAGCTTCTCGCCACAGGAACGGACAAACTCCGCCGCGAAATTCGGTCCGTTGTTTCCACCTCGCAGAATGACATGCACATCAGGGTTGCCCTGCCGCGGATTTGGAGATGAGGATCAGAAATCTCGTAAATGACGGAGCTCATGACGCACCTCAGTCTCGACGATACTGCTCAGGCCACCCTTGCCGACGGAGAGGAAGACGTGCGGGCGACTCGCAGCGCGGCACGCGTCAATGGCAATACCAACAGTGCCGTCCGTGGAGTTTTTAAACCCGGTCGGCATTGAGAGCGCAGAGGTGAGCTCTCGGTGAACCTGCGACTCGGTTGTGCGCGCTCCGATGGCGCCCCATGACACGAGGTCGGCGGTGTACTGCGGACTAATCGTATCCAGGAACTCGCAACCAGCGGGCAGGCCCATTTTTGCAATATCGAGGAGTAAGGAGCGGGCAATACGGAGACCCTTGTTGATCTGGAAGCTGCCGTTCATGTCCGGGTCGTTGATAAGACCCTTCCATCCGACCGTGGTCCGAGGCTTTTCGAAGTAGACACGCATGATGATGTGCAAGTCATCTTTTGCTGTCTCCGCGTAGTCACGAAGGAGGCGTGCATACTCCTTCGCAGACTCCACGTTGTGCACGGAGCAAGGTCTACGAAGTACGAGTATCAGCGGAAGTCCAGGATGTGTCATTGCTGGGTTCCAAAGATAGATGTATGGTAGGTGGAGACCCCGCCGATGGATCTGGCCTCGAGGCGTAGAATGGGCCAAGCCAGAGTGGTGCGGGCGCAACTACTTCCGCGGACCGGCGTGCAAGGTTCTCCGCCCTCACTCCCCAAGCCGGAAGAAGGTATTGGGGTACACCCCGGAACCCTCGCCTGAAGCACTCGATGAACACCGTGCAGGTCCCAGCCGGGCGCCGCTCAGTAGGGTGCCGACGAACCAGCAGGAAGGCGACAGGGCGCTCGATATATTGATGTTGGACTGAACTCACCCTACAACCACAAGAAGGCGGTCATCCCTCGAGTGAAGGATATTTTCGGTATGCTTGCGGCCATCGAGAACAGTCTCTGCGGCGCCAAGAGTCCTGAATATGGATTAGACACTGCTGTACGGAAGTCCGACGAGACCTACAACGGGAGGTCCTCCTGGAGGATCGCGGGCGGGATGAGTGGCCGGATGTTCTTCACGCGGCGATCGTCAAGCTGGGCAAGGGCGTCCCTAACGGTGATGCTCATTTCCGAAGACACTAGAAGTGAGACGGGTAGAGTGCAAAGGACGGTGATGTGGGATGGCGTCGAGAGGGCGAGAGGGTGAACGTGGATGGACCGCGAGGGTGCGAACGTGCAGAATTTGCAAGATGGCGAGGATGCTGCTTCAGCCTCTGTTGCATACAGGGTGTTTTATACATACTGGTGAGCGGTCTCCAAGATTCGAAAAGACGTGATGCACAGCACTAAACCGGGGCAATACCGGAGTCGAAAAAAGGCGAGGAAGTGAGAATAATGTTGCACGATCAAGCCGGATTTTGACTCAGGACACCTCTGCACCGCTCAGGCGCCCGCAGATCCGAGATCGGGGTCGTCGGCGCTTCCAAGTTAACCTTGCTCTATGATGCGCGTTGCGACGATGAACCCTTCCTCCACTGAACTGCAGCTATTCTCAACCACATCCGGGGCCACCCCAGCATGTACGCTTGTCTAGCTACTCAAGACACTGGACGTGAACCGCGACATCACATGAGAACCGCCAAAGGCGTCGTGGCGTGAGACGAGCGGCGAGTGACCTCGGCCGCTACGCTCGTCCCTTCAACTCGACGCATGGTATACATATCTCGAACGTGCATTCCACTACTCCTTTTCGGTGAACCATATCTCCACTCCAGCTGCAAACGTTACACCATTTACCTGCGCTCTGACAAAGCTCACCGGCGCGAACGCCACTTCGTCGACCTAAGCCCGCAATCGCGACTCAAAGCAAATCCCGCGGTTGGAGGCGCCACCAACGGTTCGATGATGATGTCTGCCATATGCCGCTCAGACCATCGTCATTCCCGAGCAAGCGGTACACACACCGTCCACGCTTGCTGAACGCTGGATTTGTTTACAGCACCAGGTAATCTGGAGACGATCCTGGTCGTTGCGGGACGCTAGATTCGCCAATAAAGCGCTGTGGATCAGAGCATGAAGAGTATTTCTGGGTATGTGTGCGCCCTTCAGGCACCGCACTACGTCCACCGGAAACGCAGGGACATCGAACGTTGGGGCCTCTTGGCGTTCTTCGGTGGTATTCGGTAAGCTTAGGCAAGAGTCGCTGACGCTTCCAGGCGAGAAGTGGTCTGATTTTCAGTTCACGACCGATGGAGAGGGGCCTGGCGACTCAGTGGGGAGCACGTTAGCAGATAGCCTGAACTGTGATGGACAAGAGGTGGAGATATCGCCATCTGCTGTTGCGTTACAATTACAACATCACTGTGAGGTGTCATTAGCAAGAGATATTCACGATGCTCCTTAGTTTGCCTGAGGTGGTAGCATTGAATCTAAGGTGACTTTGAGCCTCTTTGCACGCGGCCATATATGCTTGCGGAATCATGGCATGGCAGGTAGTGGCGACGTCGGCATGAACCAAACCGCTGGTTACCAGTCCCTCAGGAAGACTGCATCACAGCAGACACAGGTGTTAGCACATGTGGACGGACTCTGATGTATATGCCATTCTCTGCGCTCTCCCGCGGGATGCTCACGGCTAGAGCCCCTCGACTTCAAGCTGAACGTTCTCAGGAGCCCTAAGCAAAAGCATGCAAGGCAGGCATTACATCAGTACATATCACGATGAAGCAGCCAAGAAGCAGCGTTTCATGAGGGTTAGGGAGCTCTCGAAGCGTTTGGGGAGGAACGCGATCGCGTCTGCGTTGCCCACGCGAGCGCCACGCTATGTGGGCGCTTGACATTCTCTGTCCCTGAGACGCCCGCGACCGCGGTGCTGTCATTTGCAAGTCGCCGTTCCCAATTCTCTTTCTTATTCCTCCCTGCATCCCCCACGCCCCATTCACCATGGACTTCTCCGCGATGAACTCGGCCGAGCAGGCCCACATGACTCGGGTCATTGAGCGGAAGCAGGTGTGTAGGACGTCTTCTTTCGCCGCGCGCGTGCCACCACCACTGACGCGTTTTCCGCCTCGCCAGATGCAGGACTTCATGCGGATGTACTCGAACCTCGTAGAGCGCTGCTTCAACTCGTGCTGCAACGACTTCACCAGCAAGGCGCTGTCATCAAAAGAGGTACGTCGCCTCGCCCCTCCTTTCCCTTCACTGGTCCTATCACCGCCGGCCTGCTATGTACCCCTTCGATCCAACCCACAATCCCAATCATTGTTCCGGTTTCCTGTCCGGCTCGGTGGATTGCGATGTTAACGGCGTGCTGTGCGGCCTCTTCTCTCCCCAGGAACAATGCGTCCTCAACTGCACGGACAAGTTTCTCAAGCACTCCGAACGGGTGGGAGCGAGGTTTGCAGAGCATAACGCTGGTACGTGGCTATCCAACGAAGCTGCGTGAAGGCCTCGCTAAATGACCTTTCCTTCTTTCACGCCCTTCGCAGAAATGATGAACGCCTCGGGCAGCAAGTAACGCACCGCCAGTGCTTTCTTCTGACTGTCGATGTCCTTTTGTATCGTATAACTTCACTGCTCCCGCACATCTAATCATACACTATAATGGTTACATCTCCCTTCCACCATGCCAAGCACGTCTAGCCGGGCAGTTGCGCTGTCGACTCAGTGATTGCGGTTGTACAAGCTTCGTGGCGCAGACTCGCGGCTTCCCCCTGTCTCCGACTGCCACGGAGGTTGCCCTTTCGAAGCTCAAGAAAACTACATGAGGCCGCGGATAAAGGGTAGCGTCAACATGTACTCGAACGTTCATCGCTGAATTACGATTAGGCGGTGTAAGATAGGTGGGTACAGAAGCACTTGGACACCGGATTATCAAAAGACGAACCGCACACATATGGACATATGCGTGTCGAGGAAGCCGACTCTGAGAGAAGGATCCTGTATGTGTACATCACTCTTCCCGCTTCAGGCCTGGACAGCTTGCGCAGCCCGACCAAGCTCGCCACTGGACGGAGTCTCCGCGGGTGCGGCGCCGGCACCTTCCGTAGGTGCACTCGCCGCGGTGCCCTCGGTGTCGGCAGCGGGTGCAGCGGCATCAGCGGGTGCCTCAGCAGCCTTCTTCTCCTCTGCCTCGAGCTTGTCGAGCCATTTGGAGACGAACTTGACATGCGCAGAGTAGTTGAGGGTCGTGTCGAGGACATCCCTGCGCATATGGGAATATACGGGCCAATCATGAGCGTGCGCAGTCTCCGAGTGCACGGAGACTATCTGGAACCTCACCTCACGGTACCCTTGCTATCGATGAAGAACGTCACTCGTGCGGTCTCGGCGAGACCGAAGAGGCCCTTTCCAACGTGGTACGCCTTGCGCGCCTCGCCGTCCGGGTCGCTCAAGATCGGGTACTGCTGAGCAGCCGAAACGTGTGTTACCACGACCGGGAAACAATGGGGAAGACCGCAAGTGCACGCACGGTGAGCTTCTGCTTCTCCACGAACGTCTTCTGCTTGTCGACGGCGTCGGAGCTCACGCCGACGATTTCGACCTTCGTCCGCTTGAATAGGTCCTTCTCTGCGCGTGCCCGCCGCCGGTGTCGGCTTCTCGGCTAGAAAGCGAGGACGACGCATGCTGCTTACCTGCAAGCGCATCGCGGAACTGGCATGCCTCCTTGGTGCAGCCGTACGAGCCTGCGTGCATGCGCGAGTGAGTGTGAGCACAATCCACGGATCCGCCACCGCGAGCGGGCGGAGGGCAAGCCGCGCACCGGACTTGGGATAGAAGAACAGCGCCACAGGGACGCCCTTCGCGCCCGGCGTCAGCGTGTAGGTCTCTCCGTCCGCGGCGGGGAGAGAGATCGCGGGAGCGGGCTTTCCGACGAGAGGGTGCACCATCGTTGTTCAGCGCCGGGCTCGCAGTCGTCAGCGTCGTCAAGGGGGTCGTCGCAGGTGGGGAGGGAAGAGAGTCTCAGGGGTGAGGCCCGCGAACTCTGATCGTGTTATATACCCCTCGGCTAGCACCCGAAACCATGTCCATCCGGGCGGCGACGAGGTGCTTCTGGCCAGGGCGTGTGGTGTCAGTGCAGAGTGCGCGCGGCGTGCGCCGTGCGACGACAGGAAGACTTCTGGCACCTTCGACGGGCCTGGACGCAGCTGCGAAGCCCCAGGCGTGGGTCGCGCGCGGGTATAGGGCTCGTGTCGCTACGAACAGAGGGCGGGTGTTTGCGACCTCAGGCCGACATACGGGCTCTGCCGACGTGTATGGACTGGAACGAGGAGCACGTCGGCGATCTACACTCAAATGCAACGTGAGGCATTTATGCACTCTTTGTTGGGACAGGTTCGTCAGACGCCCTGTGATCGAGAAAAGCGTGAGCTCGAACGCCGAAGACGGTTAGACCGCGCGGACGTTGATTGAGATATAGGTCATCAGGTCGGTACGATCAGGTGCGGGGTTATGTGGGGTAGGACTTGATATGCAAGGCATTTCAAGACGGCAGCTTGCTCCGTCCAGGAGGACTTTGACCATGGTTCGGCCTGCAGCTCGGTCCTGGGAGGATAGTAGAATATAGCGCTCATGTACGTGATGTTGTTCACCACCCCGACAGGCAGGACGATATCCGTGGCGTCCAGCGCGACATGCAATGGCACGAGGTTACTGAGGTGCCTTCGGGAACCTCTCCTGCTTCGCGACGACAATGCTCGTCGCAGCAGCTTCTTGATGAGCTGGTGTGTGTGTGTGTAGATACATTGCAGGAGGCGAAAGAGGGCGGTGAGGATGGAAAACCTGCAACTTGAACCGGTTCCGACGCTTGGTCGGAAAGCGTGACCCGTGCATTGCGCCGGGCCGATAGGGGAGTGGCGCTGGCGGCCAGGGACGAAGTGCACGCGCCGAATTGGGGGCTGGTAAGTACGCAGCGGTCATGGAGTTGTTCTCAGCACCAAGGCATCTGATCCTCTCTGTATCGTGCCCGGCTTTCAGAATGCCGGAATAGCTTCCAGTACCCGACTCGACCACGACACCCCGCACACTCGGTTTCTACAAAGACCCCGCATCATCACTCGACTACCGAACCCGCCGCCCCTCGCTTCCCCTCCCCCCCAGCGTTCCGTCTGCCATCTGAGACAACCCGTAGCTTTCGGAATGCATTACACGTCCCCCTACCCTCCTCTTCCTCCTCTCCCGGAGCAGAATGTCCACGATTTCATCTTCGGCTCTCCCGCATTGACTGCGCCGGAGGACAAGCTGCTCCTCGTCGATCCCCTTTCGGGAAGACGGTGGCACAGGAATGAGTTTAAGGAGAGGGTCTACGACGCCGCAACCGCGCTGCTTACCCCTGCATCCGAAGGCGGTGTGGGACTCGGGCCAGAGGGTGAGATGGTCGCAATCATGAGCACGAACTGCTTCGTGAGTCCTCGAATGATATAGCGCTGTTTGCCGGCCATATCGTTTGACATAAACCTCGCAAGGAATACGTCGCTCTCCTCCACGCATGCTTCCGAGCCGCAGTCCCCGTCTCACTGATCCCCTCCGGCGCGACCGCGTTCGAGCTCGAGCACCTCTTCCGGACGTCCGAAGCAACGCGTCTCTTCATCCACCCGAGTCTGCTTCCGCAAGCGCTCGATACCGCCCACAAGTTTGGCCTTACGGACGATCGGATTTTTCTGCTGGAAGGCCATGCCGAGGGGCGCAAGTCTTTGGCCGACCTCATCCGTGAAGTTCGGGTCCGGAAGTTCGCGAGGGCACCAAGCAGGCCCGTTCAGCGCGATGCGTTAGCCTATCTCGTGTACTCAAGTGGGACAAGCGGGTTGCCTAAAGGTGAGTTGTTTCCGAGTAAAGGGCGTCTCACGAGGCTGACCCGGTGCCTAGCTGTCATGGTCTCACATCGGAATGTGATCGCGAGCTTGGTGCAAGTCGCAGTTGCGACGGAGTTCGAAGGGCCAGACCCCGTTCTCGAGGTTCGTCTCTTAGCCTCAGTAGACCGCAGAGAGATGGTGTTTGCAGCTATGGAGGAGAAGCTCTCAACGTCCATGTGCGTTGCTCTATGTAGCATCGGGAGTGAATGGAAACACCTAGTGACGTTTGTCGCGTTCACATTGAGACATGCTTGCGACAGACCATACTCTGCGGTCTGTTGTTCCTTGCCGAAGTACAATTCATTCATGTGCAACTATGCCTCCGTTAGAAGACCCCCATTGTCGCGCTCGCATTCTTGCCTATGTACCACACCTACGGCCTGCATTACGGGTGCATCCGCCCTGTTCTCTCCGTGATAACAACGGTCATCATCCCTAGGTGGAACGCCGATCTTGTGCTGGACTTGATACCCAAGTAAGCAGATTCTCTCAGACCTCTTCCTTCGGTCCGAACACCAAACTCATCACCGAGCCTAGGTTCCGTATCTCCTTCCTACCCATGACGCCTCCAGCAATCCTCCAGCTCGTCAATCACCGGCGTATCCGGGAGGTGGATCTGAGCTCACTCGTCGTAACGGGGAGCGGGGCCGCCCACCTGCCCCCCAAGCTGGCGAGCCTGTGGAAGAGCTACCTCAAGAACGTCGAGGCTATCTCTGAAGGTGAGAGCACCCCCTGATCGCGACGTACTCATCTAACCCTCATGTCTGATCGCTTCGCAGGGTTCGGCATGTCAGAATGCGTAAGGCGGCCTCGCGTATCCGAGCACTCCTCAACATCCTAATCATCTCTCTTGACAGACGATCTCCGCGACTCGTGCGGTGCACAAAAAGCTCGGCAAGCCGAGGCCCGGGAGCACCGGCGTCTTGCTCCCGGGAGTCGAGGCGCGCATCGTCAAGGACGACGGCACGCTCGCAGGGCCGAACGAACCGGGCGAGCTCTGGCTCAGGGGCCCGAACGTCGCGCTCGGATACTGGCGCAACCCGCAGGCGACGGAGGCCACGTTCGGCGGCGGCTGGCTCCGCACCGGGGACCGGTTCCGCGTGGACGAGGACGGACAGTTCTTGTCAGTGTTTCGAGTCTGATGCTCACCCTGTCACCGCCCCTGAACGTGAATCGATCGCAGCTTCGTCGAGCGCACGAAGGACATCCTGAAGGTGTCCGGCGCGCAGGTGTCCCCGACGGAGATCGAGAACGCTCTGCTCGCGAACCCGGACAAGCTCGTGTCGGACGTGACGGTCGCTGGCGTCAGCGGCGGACGCACCTCGGACGAGAAGGTGCCTCGCGCCTGGGTCGTGTTGAGCGACGAGGGTCGGAAGCGCGGGGAACAAGTTGTCGTCCAGACGCTTCTGTCCTGGGTCCAAAAGAACCTGAGCAAGTACAAGTGGCTCAGGGGTGGGATTGAAGTCGTCAATGAGGCGAGCCTCACATATACTTGAATCGGAAAACGTAAGGCTGATCTAATACAATGCCCTATGCAGATCCCGAAGAACCCGACAGGCAAGGTGCTGCGTCGTGTGCTGCAGGATCGATATGAACAGCAACTGAAGGCTCCCCAGGCCAAGCTGTGATGACGGTAGCGGTATGCTATCGCGCTGCCTACGACACTACAGGTTGTATGACTAGTCGCAACACAAACATGATATCTATGGACCGTTCACCGACCGTACAGCAGTCGTCCGCGGCGCCGTACCTCAGGACGCAGGAGAGAACGAGCGGGGGCGACCTCCGAGTTCAGTCATTGCGAGAACACACCTAGCTCCATATACCCTTGCGACATCACCCTTCCCTCCACAAGACAGTGATCCGGAGCGAGCGAGCTGAGCACGAACGAGACTGCTAGTAGTCTTATAGACCACTGTGTCAGGCACCTTGAACATCTCCGCCCACTCCAACACGTCCTCCACAGTGGGCGTTCCTCGCATGTCTGCCATCTTCGATTGTACGTAGTCTATCGTACTGACGGTCAGACTCGAACGGAAGGCCACCTGCTGCATTCAAGTGGCAACGCAGCACCAGTTTCCCTCGAATTCGGTGAATAGCTACGTAGCTCGTACAGTGCGAATATTATCAGCCCACACATTGCGTCCCGAGCACCACTTCTCGTGTTGTTCGTGAGACTTGAGTGTACCATTCAGTCCCTGGCATGCTCTTGATGTCATGGAATGCCGCCTGCTTCTCCTTCTGCATCGGACTGGTGCCCCCCGTAAACAGGGCTGTGACAAAGTCACGTTAAGGCGTTATCTCCCACTTTGGGCAATCAGCCTACCAAGCCGCCGCTTTTTGGAGTCGCCTGTCAGGCCTTTCTTCATTTCTAGATCCCGTTTATTGCCCTGCGAGGCCGTGCCTCATGGTAGGCCTTAAACTACGAAGACTATCGACTATAGTATGGTTAGTTGATCGGCTGTACAAGAGCCACAATGGACTTAAATCAATACGGTGTCCCGAAGGATTCCATTGTTAGCGTCGGCGCCTAATTGCGTCGGACGGACAAACACGGACAATTGTTAGCAGTACTTTATTATTATTATTATTATTTTCTTGTCTTATACCAAACATAGCTACAGGGTACGGTAGGTATGTAAGTAAGCGTGTTATCCGAGATTGTTTGACATTTCCACCCAGCGCGTCACTTAAGACTTGCACCAGCGTGCTCGGACCACGACCGAAGTCAGCGTGTGGAGTAAGGACCCGCACCTACCCACTCACACCATATCTGCCAACGGCGACCCGGAGTCGCCGTCCCCATCCGTAACAAGAGTGGTCGCCGTCGAGGAGGAGGACGACGACGAGGGGGGGGATGAGTGTCGCCAAACTATCCGCCCGGCTAGTTCAGTGACAGTGAGGGGGTAAGGACCGGGAGTAGTCGCCCATCCGGTCGTAGGAGCTTGCGGGCTTTCCGTCCGTCCGGCCGCATCCGGAACGGGGCGTACTTGTGGCCTCGCGCAAGTAGGCGCCGCCGGTCGTGCCGGCAGCGCTGGGGGAGGATGGACTCGTGACCGAAGTCCAGTAGGAGGAGGAGCGCCCTGGGCAGAGGGGCGAATGTGTGCGTGCT